CCACAGAGATGGGGACAAGGCCAACAACAGTGGTAGGAACTTGGGAATGCCAAGAAGCTAGCGCAGGAGACTTGCAGCAGAGGCCCTTAAAAGTCTGAGTGAGCTCTTGCCGGGATAAAAGAGGCTCTTTGCTATCCCACCAGACAAAGGTGTTCAAAAATTGATCCCGCAGTCAACGAGCCAATGGACTTCCCTTGACCGATGAAACGCGCTGCGCATTTGCAGTCATTTGACCATGGACCCTCGGTGGGTTCAGTCGGGGTTTGGACGTGAATCCGGTGGGTCTGGGGCTTCTTACACATTTCGTAGAGGTTTGTGGAGGTCTTGGGTGTTGCACCAGAAACCACGGCACTCTCACAAATTCCCAGAAGCAGAGGCTAAGGACCTTGTGCCCTCCAAGGCAGGGCCCGGACCTTCTCCTTCTGGGCGGAAATCCGGAACTTCCCACCCAAAGCGCGTCGTCCGCCTCCAGTTCGACCCAGCCGACCGCCAGGTGCATTCCATGCGCACTGATGGACGGAGCCAGGTGCCCATCCTTCACGAAGCGGTGAAGGCGGCTGGGTCGCGTGCCAAAAAAGTCGCGGGGGAAGAAAACACCTTTTTTGGTTTCCAAGCACCCTGAATGAGGTTTTACCGAAGCGCCAGCTGTTTTGCCAAGGATTTTACACTTCAAAAATTCCCGTCAACCTTTCTTTTGATGGTCTTGGAAGGCTAGAGCTGGGATTGTATGGGCCCATATTGAAGCCTAGGGCGGCTCTGTGCGGCGGGTGGTTCTTTTGGTGGGGGCGGACGCGTTTTTCCTGTCTTTGGCGGCCGAACTTGTGGTGGCTGCAGCGGGCCAAACCGTTTGCATGTCACGGTAGGTGCACCCTGAAACATGGTTTCAACCCCCTAGGAGTTCAAGACTATGTTTAAACATGGTGGACCCGGTTTTGTAGTGTCAACTCCTGAGTAGGACACAATGGTGCTTCGGGATGACCCGTTTTTTTTAATGAATGGTGGGTCGAATCTGGGCGAAACAGGGAAACGGCTTCTCCCCTAAGACCTCGAAGTCTGTTCAGTGAATATGTCACAGCTGCACGCAAATAGGACGGACTTCGTCAGCCGAGAACCGACGTTGAATCGGCTTTGGTGATCCTTGGAAAGACATTCCTCTTGATCTGGAATTGGGAACGTGAGCCCGTGTGTGTGTGTGTGTAACCCTTGGAGTTGCAGGGGTTCAGTCGAATTGTAACAGTAACAACATGGAGCACGGAGACTGACTTCCTATCCGCGCCAACGAAGCTACGAAAATCAATTGGAAGAGAGTTGGGACGCCAACTCTTGTACCTGCACTTCAGTTTGGTTGTGCTGTTGGTAATCACCTTCTCCTCTACCTGGACAGGCTGTTTAGGTGATTCTGAGGTCTGCAGACTTGCAGGGGACGTCGTCAACCTGTCGTCGATCTTGTGATCGTTGGAGCTTTGGAGGGTTTGCGTACCTCTTTGCCCTGATAACTTTCACGCCTTTTTTTAGGCTCTGGTTTGTCAGCTGTGTTCACTGTTGTTTTTTTCAACTCTCACGTTGAGTTCTTTGATGATCTTTGCCTTTCACGGTCTTTGCTTCTAGTCTATGTTTCTCTGCGCAGTAAGGGAGAGGAAAGGAAAACAGAAGCCGACAAAGAAAGCAAAGCTCATATCTAAAAAGAAAAAAAGAGGGTTTTGCTCATTCTTGCGTTTCTTTCAAGCGCTATAGGCGTTCACACCTAGGTGGGCTTGTGGCATGTGGCATTCAGATCAGTACGCATGTCAATAAGTGTGTGGCATATTCCAAGAACCTCTGTTCGGGGTGTCTATGAAAGTCGCCCATCACCACCCTTTCACTCCGTGCCTTCCACTTCCACTTCCGACTCGACGCGAGACTTGATGCGAGACTCCAGCACGCGTCCACCCGCCAGGAGGGTCAGATCGCGGCCGTCCGAACGCTCTTGGAGCATGGCGCCTGGGTGGATGCTGCCCGGCGGAAAAGTGGTCGACGCGCGGTTGACCGCGGTCAGAGCAGCTGTGGGTGAGATGGAAAAGAACCCAGATGCGACACGAAGCCCTCGTACCCTGGAGGTTATGGATGACAAGGCAGACATTTTGCACAATTGGAAGATCCAGGTATGGAGGGATCGGATATGGAAGGGTCTGGGGTTTGAAATCCCGAGGTATTGAGTTTTGAGGGACCGGTGGGCCTGTGAACGGAGCGTTTGGGTGGGTCACACTAGACTGGACTACGAGACATTGTCAACGTGGCAGGGTTTGGGGCCAGTTTTGACTCACAACCAGGCGTATGGGGTGTGTCTCCATCTGGAGACTGGCGAGACCTCTCAAGTTTGAGTCGACGTTCACTCCCTCTTGGCGACTCGCTCGTGTTCGTTCCACCGATGTTTTTGGGATGTGAAGTCTAGTCTAGTTGTTTCCCCTTTTCTAGTATAGCCACTAGTGGGGTACACACCCAGATGCTCCGTTCACAGCCCTCCCTTGGCCACACCCCTCAACGCTGCCCAAGAAGGGGTCCGAGGGTCTAGGTGATGGGTTGAAACCAAAACCATCAAAAACCCGTTGCCGAGGACGAGAACCGGCCGTTTCGGAAAGACACTCAGAGGGTCATTGAGTCATTTCCTAGAAAAAGATCGGCCTGGGCATGCCCGAGGCCGGGGCGCTCACTCAACTCTGAGGCGTTTTCGCACCAGGAATTCTTCAACGAGCGTGGCTTCAACCGTCACACCGTGCTTCGGCTGGGCTTGGCACGGCGCAGTCTGGCGCACCGTCTGGCGCGGGATGAGACCTCGCGCGCGGGAGCCTCCGAGGCTCAGACCGACCTCCCGGGCCTGATGGTCAGGGTGCTTTGACCCCTCCCGGTCCACCTCGGTCGGTAGGTTTCATCGGACCCGAAGTGGGTGGTCTGCATGCGAAATGTCAGAGATCCAGGTGGGACAAACCGGATCTACGACTGTCAGCCCGAACTGCGGGGGTGGGGTGAAGCCCTCCTCGCGAGTTGCTGCGTCGTTTTCAGGGGCCCTGTCCTGAGAACGGGGCGAGGTGCCGCGGTCCGAATGGTTCGGTCCTGGTCTGAGGAGGAGACGGCGCTGCATTTGGCCTGTGATGCCGGTGATCTGCCCATGTGCGCGTTGCTCTTATCTAAAGGAGCTCAGGTGCCTTGGAAACGGGATGTATTTGGGGTGTCAGGTAGGGTAGAGACAGCAGGATTTTCAATGGATGGATGATTGATGGCGGTTCTTTATGAGGCATTTGTTATGATATGTTTCTTTTATTTTGATATCTACCAGCAGTTCCTTGTCGGGGTGCTATCCATGGAGGAAATCGGGGTGCCCCTGTCACATCCACTCACTTGCGGATTCATACCTAAAAACCAACTCGTGTGGAACTCCTGGAATGTAGGTCTACCGTCTATGCATGGCTTTCCAATCCTCAGGCTTTGGGCACTTATGATCGTTCCTTTTCGCTGTGAAAGGTTGCTTTCAGGAATAGATTCGGTGAAGCACCTCTTGTGAATTGGTGGAGTCACCAAAAGAACAGATCGCAGATTGGCATGTCTCATGTCCACATTCTTGTTCCAAACAGATCGCTCTCTGTACTGAACAGCTCCACATTCCGAACATCTCCATATTTTTCAAAGCCTTCCTGCTACAAGAACGATCTCCACAGTTAATGCTCAACAGTGGTCCTTTTCTTTTTGAGTTAATTGCTCACTGCATGCCTTCGGATATAACAACATGGCCAGTGCTTCCTCGCACCCACCGCACCTCCTTGCAGCTCATCCTCACCTCACATCTCTCCAGTCCAGGTGAACACTTGGAGGAAGCGCACAGAGCACGTGCCCTCCTTGACGCCCTCGCCCACGGACGACCCGCGCGATGCGCGCTTCGTCTCCAGCGTGCTCTGTGTGCCCATCGAGGAGACGGCGCTGCACATCGCCCCTTCACAGCCGATGGAGACGGAGGGGTGGGGTGATGGAGACTGGTCAAACCCTAGGAGGGAGTCACATGGAGTGACAGGGTGGTGTGCCTTGGTGTGCCCCATCCAATGGCCGATGTGGATGTGGGGCACCCCCACTCCTTCCTCCAAGTTCGGCACGCGCGAGCACGGTGACTGCTGGTCTGGAAGTCCAGTGATGTGCGATCATTTTAAGAAGAGGAGAAGTCGACTGGACTCCGAAAGATTCGGATGTGGCCGCCAGAGTGTTTGATTGGGAAACTCATCACTGGTGGACGGGGTCTGTTGCGAGCTGACCGCTTCAGGATTGTGTGACAATCCAACACTTTTTTGTGATGCACCCAGACACTCTGCATGTATGGCATATTTACCCACAGTGACCCCGTTTCAACCACCCCAATACAGCTAGATAAATATGCCAATAGATGGAGTGTCGGGGATTTTGATGGCACTTGGGTCTAAAGATGAACGCCAACCTATACCAGCCTGTCGAAGCGGTCGAACCATTGGTGACCTGTAGAGTTGGGCTGTATAATATGAATATATCTTTGCCCGAAGAGGAATCCATGACACCCACCCCGTGCTGTGGAATCCCACCCAGACGCTCAAACCCCTCAAACCCTCAGAGTGGAGGGATCGGACCCGAACCGGCTTGAGGGGTCCGGGGCTTTTAGATCCGTACCCGTTGGCCATCCGGGAATGACCGTGAAAAACATGGGAACGACCTGGTGGTTCTGTAGTGCAAAATTAATTTTAACAGTAACACAATGGTTCTTCAGGCAGACCATTAAATCAATGGTTGGAAGCCTAGGGCCCAGGTTTTGAAGTCCTCTTCGGGCAAAAACACGGTCCTGATCCAGTCGGCATCGCTCATCCTGTACCACTTTACAGTCCGGAAAAGCACCTCTTCCGGACTGTTCTGGCACATTTTTGGGGCGCATCCAGGCTGAGCCTAAGCCCGAAACCTGCCTTTGACACCGAGGCTCTCCAGCAGAAAAACCCCGAGCTCGCCACGCTCTTGGCCGCTTGGTGTCTGAGGTTAGGGGGTGTTTGGTTCAACCCAGGTGCCCAGGTCATGTGGAGCTGATGCGATCTGCCCGTCTTGCGTGAGTTTCGGATCAGCAAAGGCGGGCTCCTGCTGCCAAGGCAGGTTTCGTGCCGACGAATTTGCAGGACTTGAGAAAATATGGATGCATGTCCATCTAGCTTGGCGGCGATCAAAGCTCAGATCCAATGGATTTTTGGCAGCCAGACGAAGTAGGCGGCTTTGAAGATGGGTCGTTGAACGAGCGGGGAACGAGTGCCAGCCCGTTGTCCCTACGTCCTCTCCCTGGGAAGCCAAAAACGTCGTGGGACTGTGGAGTGCCTTGCATGGCATCGTGGACCGGATTAGCTTCTCTCCTCTTGTCTGCAACCAAGTGAATGACTGAGCGGAAGAGCAGTATACCGAGTCGAAGACACATGATTGAAGCGGTAGCCAGCTGACTATGCTGACTGTCTATGTGCGTCGATCAAGAGGCCGGAATGTGTCGGTACCAATCAGTGAATAGACCATGCATATCATCCATTTCAGAGATGTTGTCAGATCACATGCTGAAGAGCCTGGAGGAAGGCAGTAACAAGGGGGGCCTGGCTGTGCAGCAGGGCTACGGGAATCCGCCCAAACGGCCAATGTCAGTTTCGAGACCGGGAAAGAGAGAGAAGAGCCGGGCAGGAGGCTAGCAGCTATCACTTCCACAAGCAACCCAGCCCAACCCATATATGTACAGGACACTAGAGAGAGGAGTCCTGGCTGTCCCCTCCGCCCTTCGGCTATCTCGCCACGGCTTTCCTGCTCTCAAACTTCTCCCGCGACGACTGAAGCAGCCGGACGAAGACGTCAATCCCGCATCGATCGAGACGTGCATCGCCCCCCTCCGTGCGGTTCCCGACATCTGCCGAAACGACGTCAATGAGGGTTGATCGTTCACCCCCCCGACGCGGAAGTCTGCACTCTTCGTTCAGTAGGGGCCGAACCAGCACTTCTGGGAAGGCTTTGGGGTCTGAAATCCCGGGTTTTGTGGGGCCAGGCGGCCTGTGAACGGAGCGGACCCAGGATTCCTGGCCCGCCATTGATTTATTTAGTCTGAATCCAGAACCACCATTGTTTTCCTAAGCTATTTACACTACCAAACCAGCTCAACCATGGTAAAATGCATCTTGGAAGGCTAGCGGCTAGGGGTCATCGTATCCCTACGAGACACCAGCTGTTTGAACATTCCCTAGAAGTCCAAGGGCCAAATTAAACCTGGTGCTTGACCTCCTTGAGTACTGGTTTTGCGTGACCGGATCCAGTCAAATGAGGTCCTTAAGACCGGGATTGGTCTGACTCGGATCTCACCCGAGTTTCTCGGAACTTTCCCCCACTCATCGGTTTCATGTTTCGTGGGTATGATCAACTCCAGTATATGTCATATGAGGTCGGTTCCTGTAGGCTAGTAGGCTAGTAGGGGTCATTCTGGGCCCCCCCCCCCCGCCCTGTGTGTCTTTCGCATGGCCATCTACAAAACCCCAAACGGTCCCCACAGCCGGACCAGTCGGACGATCGGTTCGGGTCCCGACCTCCCAGGAACCACCGAATGCCCTCGGTGTCCGGGCCCGGGACACTTCGGAGGGTCCCAGACTTCCAAGGTCCAAGACCATTACTGTAAAACACATGGTTGACCTGGAATTCTAGTGCAATAAGAATCTCCTGATAGCAAAAAAATAGGACCAATATCAATTGAATGGTGGTTGGTACCCAAACGGGGATTCCCCTCAATCTTCGCTTCCTCCCCACGATCTGATCGCAGGTCTGCTCTGGTGCTGACCTGACGCTCCCACGCCGGCGTGATGGCAAGGCGAGTAGCTGCCAAGAGCCTCTCGAACGGCACCAGGACGGCCTCAAGGACGGGCCGAGGAGGCTTTTTCGTTTTGGTGTTCGTTTTGTGATGGGACAAAGGCCGTAGGGCGTGACGGGCTCATGTTTGGTGGTGCAAACACGGTTTTTGCCCCGTCATGACACCACCAAAGAGGGTCAAGGCAATTGAGTATTGCAGGGCTACCAGTAGCAAAACCATCCTTCTTCTCACATTTTGTTGCCGAAAAGCCGTAACAAAGGGATTATGGCGCTATCCCGGTCAAACAGTGAGTGGTGGTTCGGTGGTGACGTGTACGCTTCGCGCGTCACCGGGCGCGCGGTCGTCGGGTCGTCGAGCCGAACGTGGAGCCGAGCCCGAGCGGCCGAGCCGAGCCTGAGGCTTTGCGAAGGTGAGGAGAGATTGGCTGAGGCCCTCAAGGCCAGGGCAACGCGGGATACGCGGGATACGCGGGATACGCGTGACGTGGGTCGTTGGTAGGGGCCTTGGAAGCCTACGACCGTGTTCCACCGTCTGCCTTCACTTTTTTGGGTTGAGTCTACCGCTTCTTAGGTACGTTTCAATGCTAAAGCAGCATGCCAGACGAATCCGGGGCCGGATTCCGGCCGTTTTTTCTTCTTCGCGTTCTGATCTAGATCTGATTGCCTGAATCCCGAACGAACATGGTTTTACTATGACTGCTTTACGAAGGAATTTGGACCGCAGGAAGATTAACATGGAACCTGATGGCGTGGATGGAAGACTATAGCTTCAGTCCAGCCATTTTTTCAAAAAACGCTGTCCCCGACTGGGTCTCCGACTGCCAAGTGTTTGAAGTGGAATTTGCATTGAGGGAGTGAACAGAACAGTTTGCTCGCGGTGGCTTTTGGGGGGTTAAGAGGTTGGTTGGGACGAAGCACAGGACGACTGGAGGATCATTTGGGTTTTGTTGGGTCTCTGACTTGTTGGCTTCTCCCTTTGGCCAGATACAGATTGCACCACCACCTCAGTACCACTCCAGAGGTGGTACCCTAGGCGCTCTAGCCATTGTTTTCCGATTTAATGCACTACAACACTGGGTCGTTCCCCATGAATCTTTCAATAGTGGAAGGCTATGAATCTTTCAATAGTGGAAGGCTATTGGGTATCATATCGTGCACCACGTTCCAACGGTCCGACCCGTGAACCTCCGGAACCTCCGCACCCGTCGCCTTCCGCGAGGCCACGTGGAGCCCCGAGACGCATCACCTCTTTCCGAGCAAGGCAGGAGAGCCACGACGTCCCGGGACGAAGGACGCGACCCGCACCGGAGGAGGCCGAAGCTACGGACGGTGGAGGCCACTAGTAGCCAGTACGGACTGGGAGTCAGTGGTTTTGACCGGGTGACGGTGAACCCAAGCCTTTCTAAGTGACCGAATTCTTGGTTCACCAAAACCCCCTGCTCTTGGCCTGGCGGTGTCCCAAGAGCAGGAAAGAAGGATCACCTCGTCCAGCCAGGACCCTCTGTTCGCTTCGTGTCTATAAACATTATAAACCCTAATTAGGCTTCCAAGACCATGAAACATGGTTGATCTGGTCGTGTAGTGTAAAATCCTTATTAAAACAATGGTGGTTCGGGATTCAGGCTGTACTCAGGATTATATGAGGCACAGTTGCAAGGCGATTGCTCAGGGTGATTGCAATGATTCTCACACTCTTTCTGTAGAGCAACTGGCATCCCCACCCCATGTAGCAAAACATCAACCCCCCGAACCGCCCATCCCTTTTTTGAAGGATCACTGGTCCGAATCGCTTCCCATGGCGCCGCTTTCTCCGAGGTGCGCGAGAGCGTGAAAACGGCTCTGATGATTTCTCAAAGGCAGAAATGGCCAGTGCCAGACAGCGCGCCTTGGACGGAACCGCCCGACCCAACCCCCCTGCGGGCGAGGGTCGGGTCTGCAGAAAGGAAGACGGCACATTTGGATGACAAAGGGCCTGTCGGTGACATGATGGCACAGGATGGCATGCTTAATGCTTGGCATGACTTTTGGGTGCTCTGAGGTTCCCTCTATCATATGTGCACCTGAGTTGAACTGAATTCTGTACTTGGCCACCCTATCATACCACTTTCTGCTGGTCCTTTGGTAAAGAACACGTCCTTTCCGGGGGTGTTGACAATATGTGGTTCCCTCAAGAAAGGACACAGAACGCGAACTTGTGTCTTTGAAGTTTGTGTCAGATTTGAGAATTCACTCCAGGAATTCCATGTGGGACCGTTCATTTTTTTGAAGATCCTCCACCCATCCTTTGAGGGTATTCGGGGGGCTGTGCTGCTCCCTGCCGCACGCACCCGCCCAGGTCCTCTTCAAGGTCTGCGCCATGTTCGCTGGCCCGGACCAAGCCGTGGCCTCGTAAGAAGACCTCGTTCCAGACAGCGCAGTACACGAACCGTGACGGTGCAGGACGAAGGAGTCGCACATTGGTATTGGCCCATCATCCGTATTGGCCCATTGGTTTGATCGAAGAACCGGACTGGTTAGACCTGGCTGATGGAAGCGCATCGAACAGCGCGTATCGAACCACCCTGGTTTTTACGCTTTTGCATGACGAAACCAGCTCGACGTCCCCCAAAGCCTCCTCGAACCCCCCCGGGTCAAAGGCGAAGGGGTCGACCGTGCGTCTCGTGCCGGAGACGGTCTTTTTGAAGAGAAGGCTGTCCTAACAAGGTCCAGTCTGACCCAAAACCTGGTCCTGAAAACCTTCAGCGACTATATATTATATATATACAGTATAGTTGTGGTTTTGTATGACCACGTTTAGTATTTCATGAGGTCCATTCCTGACCTCTAGGGCTGTGGTCTAGAACCACATTTCTAGAATCACCATTGGGAATCTCCTGTCCTAATTCCGATTTTGTTGAAGATACCTGGACCTTCAAGGGGTGTTCCCTAAGTAGTGTAGGGCTTCCAGCCAGGTGACCCCTTTGAAGGTGCTGGTAGTTGAGATTCAGGTTTGGTTGATTGTGGGTTTGGATGTCGTGTTGGCTTTGTAATGCCATGGCCATGGATTGGGGCGCCGCCCTCGGGTGGTGGCGGTGTTGGTGTGGGCAGCAAAACGAGGACTCGAAAATTCTACTCTGAGAGTAAAGGACTAAAGGATACTAAAGGTGACACAAGAACTAGGCAAACTGCCAGTATTCTCACCGCCAGGTCACTAATTGAGACCTGTTCGGGGCCAACAACCCTGTCTATAAACAGAGGAGACCTGTTGGAGGATATGTTTAATCAGTATAGTTTTCATATTTGTTTGTTCTTGATCCTCGCAGAGACTATAGATGCAAAATGATGAACAGATCTGTCGGTGTTCTTCAACGGGCTTGTACCAGATGTGAACCCCGTCTTTGCTGCTACATAGGGGTAAGCAGTAAGCAGCACAAATGTTTGAAGCATGTAGAGCAATATGTTGTGAGATTTTGTATATTATCCTATATCTCCTTGAGGATACCTACTAAGCGACTTCAACTTGACCAGTTGGTGGTTGGAAGCATCCAGTAGCCATGGATCCAATTCGGCATGGCCTGTGCATCGGTTGCTTTGGTCCTCCTTTCTGGCGGAAGCTCCAAGCGCCCTGCAGCGCCCTGCACCGATCACGGCGACGATTTTAAAGAGGCATCCTTGTGGTGCCAAAGTTAGCGTTCAAACGCATCCGTTCCAATGCATTTGAAGTCCAAAAGATTGCCCTGCGGATCCAACAATTGAATGAAGATGGAGCCAGAGAGAAACGGATACTGAGAGCTTCAGGATTTGATTCTTTTAGTCCTTTTGGAGTTTCATGTTCCAAGACATAAGTCGATAGGAGTCTATGCCTTGAGAGTCAAAGACGATATAAAAAGAACGTTTTGACATCTGCATTGGGTATATATCTGATTGTGGGAACTCCCGGAGAACCCCAGGCCAAGACGAAGACAAGGACCGAACCGGCGTCTTTCACTCGACTTCTAGGGTCCACTACTACAGTGAGGAGATGATCATGTCGACTCCTGATTCAGAACACCCCAAGTTTGGATGGTAAAACCCCCAAGTTTCGCTCCACATTAGGAGTGGATGAGTCAATGAGTGGAGCCATGTCGGCCAAAAACAGGGCTAGACTAGACTGACCTTTGCTGCATGGGATCCAGGGAGAAGTTGTGAAAAGTCGCGCCCACAAAGAAGTTGGGACCCCAAGTTCTGCATGGAGGCTCTCCAGGGTGGCGCAGGAATCCGGTGACATGTAGGTGCGTCAAATAAGTCAAGCACGCCAAAAGGAAGGTGATTCTGAGATCCCACCAAAAGTCTCCTATGTCCAGTCATCCTGGAGTAGATATATAGTTCATATAACTGAATTTCCGTTTGGTCATATTCTATCTACTCCACGATAGAGACCCAAGAAGAAAGGTCCTGCAAGAGGCCTTAATCTTTCAAGGCCCAAGAGGGTTGATCCGTCCCACCCTGGTCACAGCATGTACAGCCTATTTACAGCGAGCGCGTTATCTGACACGCCTACTCATCGCGAAAAGCGGCCCACCAGATGGTCCGTGAAAAAGAAGCGGGGCGGGCTGGGTGGTCTTTGCATGAACTGCTTCCATCGAAGGAAAGGACAGCTTCGTGGGCCAGTGCACCAGTCTAACAGGTCTCCTAGGCTTGGTGGCTGAAATGTAGGTCTCTCAAAGTTGCAGTTAGTGAGGCACGTTTTGGGTCCGATAAGGTTCACCTGACCAAACCGACAGACCTCTTTTGTCTCACCCCGTCACTACCAGGTCTTTACGTCCGACACCGGGCCAGTGGGCCGCCACCATGGTTCCAGGACTTCGTACCGAACCGAAGATACGACTGGACGTTTTGGCACCTAACACTGTCTCCAATGACCTTCTGACAAAGTACTTGGATCCCTAGGGAACCCAAAGAGCTGTGTTGAAGATAGGTCTTGAAGTTGCTAGTCCCGTCCCAATCAGGTGGACCGTACTACGGTCGTTGTTTGATCCCACTTGTTTGGGCGGGGAGGGGGTCCTGCTGGGGCTCCAGCCTTTGGGGCCCGGCGGCGTAGAGCGCGTAGCCCTCCAGCTTTTGGTGGTAGGTAGGTGGGGGCACCTTTCCTGATCACTCCTTTTCCATGTTTGAGCCGCCACATGGGCTTTCATGGGGGCCTGGGCATCAAACCAACGGCAGAGAACAGATATTTCGCAGGGCCAAAAGCACCATTTCAGAATCTGTGGGGGCCCGGGGTCCGGACCTATTGGAGGGGAGACATGGGGCGAGACCACCCACCGACCTGCAGCTGTTTTGACCCCCAGCGACGTCGCCTGCAGCTGGCCATGGCGAGCCGTGATGAAGAGCGGCCGATGGTGGCGCGGAGATGAACCACGAGGGTGTGCACCGGTCCTCAAGCACTGCCCCCTGTGAAAACCCACCTGTCACACATCCAAACACCAGGTGTTGACCATCCACAACAATCTTTGGCGATGAAGCAACCGCTCTCTTTCGAAGAGATCACACCGGGTGAAGGTCGAGTGAGGCACCCTCGAGTGTCCGCATCGAAGCCTCTTCGTGAGGTCGACCTTCCTGTTTCAAGGGGCTTCGCGTGGACCGCGCGTGGACCGCGTGGACCAATGTTCCAGAGATTTGATCCGTGACCTGACTGCCCACCTTCCGAGGCTGATGCGGAAAGCCCCGTGTATGGCCGCACGATCGCCGTAGGGCACAGCGGCGCTTGGGGCCCCTGTGCGGTGGGTGCGCTGATGCTGTGTGCAGCCGCCCTGGGATCTGTGGTGACGCTGAAGGTTCAGGAGATCTGGCTCCTTGGCAGAAGGGCCGAGCCTTTGGTATGAAGACCTATCCGGCGCGACACAAACCGGAAGGGCCAGACCTGAATCCTCTGGAGGGGGGGTCGAACCCAATCCCTAGACTTGGAGGGACCGGTCGGCCTATGAATGGAGCGTTTGAGCTGTTTTCTGTTTTCAAGAATGGCTGAGACTGTTAGGAGGTACAGAATGCCTGGTCGGTGGAACGAACGACTTGCCTGTGAGGCGGGTTGGTGCCCAATCGATGTCGTGTACCCAGTAACCAACCACATGCTTTGTGCCCAGTCACTTGCGGAGAGTCTGACACTCCAAACTGAAAAGTCTTCACTCCACCAGAAAACTGGACACAACCAGAACCTGTGACTTTACTGATCACCCATTCGAGACGTTAGAGAGGGAGTGCTGGCCAGGCATGATACCTGACGGACATGGGAGATCATGGAAGGTCGCCTTCGGACCCTCGACCCTTCAAAGGTTCACCTTCCGTCCAAATTCTTTAGTAAAACACACATTCTTTTGCAAAAACACATCAAACACCCATTAAAACCCACTGCTTGTTGGACTTTTGAAGGGGATGGCGAACTGCCCTTGGAACATCTTGGATACCCAGACGACCCCGAGGTCGAACTCGGACCGCGAGTGGGGCCAAGAGCCGAAAGGGAGGCCAGGTCACCAGGTGACCCTGCCAGGTCACCCTGGGACCTTTTTTAGTCTGTTAAAAGTCACCCGAAGAGACCTGGAGGGGGCTGGTATCTCCTTCCAATCACCACCCTTTCCGTGGACCTTGAAATCAAGTTGGTTGTGAGTCCTGGGCAACAGGAACCGACCATTTGGAACAACACCGAAGTGTTCAGGAGATTCCTGAAATTGGATCACCTACCACAACCTTCCAACAGGTGGTTTTGGACACCCCGAATCACCTGTAAGAGGCTATTTTTAGAATTTTACAGACACCTCAAACGGATGGTGGTAGTCAGACCCTTTAGAACCAGTTGTTTTTTCCTCAACTCCCAGGAAATCCCGTGTGGATCTTCGCACCCCAACGTGGGTTCCTCCGCTCGCAACAGCGTTTTCGACCTCCCGCGAGGTCTCCCACCTCGAGGATGATCAAGAAGCCCGGCCACGAAGCGGGACGAGGTGCTTCGGTGCGAGGTGACCTCCAAGGGCGCGGTGCGGAGCCGCTGAAGGTGCTGCCCCAGACCGACATGGATTGAAGGGGTGAAGGGGTTTTGCCGAAGAACCAGATGTTTTACTAGCCCAAAGGCTGGATGAAAACAGGCCAGAGTCCCGGTCCCTCAAAACGTAGGGATAGTAGGAACCGGAGCTATGGCGCACCCTCTTTGGTGGCCTCAAAAATCGTCTATTGGGACTTCTATAGGGACTCAGCAACTCCTTCCCAGTAGTGAATACATCCTAGATATGGTTCTTTCACCTCCCTGGTTCTTCACAGTGACCCTTTGAGATCACTTAATCCTCGCGGTTGCGGCCCGGCCCTGAACAGCCGGGACGCCGGAGTCAAAGACGATCAAAGAATTGGTCCTTAGGTGACCCCGAACTTCCTTTACTTCAGTGGGGCCAACTTTTGGTCTTTTTCGCTTCTAGGGTAGCCGCTTCCTAGGATTGGTATCAGAAACCCCCTCCGACCCCTCCAACGACCCGGAGAGGAAATCCGGGTCCACTCGGTGTGAAAACACCCTAAGGAGCTCTTATGGTGAAGCGGTCGCCGTGCGCTTCTTCCCTTCCAGAGCCAGCGAGGCAGCTGAACGGTTGGCTGTTTCAGAAAGAAGACGCACCGGCGGTGGGCGGTTGGAGTCAGTACTCTTTGAACATATAGCTTAAAGCACAGCAAAGGATACATCTTCAGTTTGTATTTTGTCTCATGAGACCATCAGAGTCTGGATTTGGACGCGGACACTCTTAATAGGTCTTAGAAGGCTGATTGGACCTGGTGCTGATTGGGTGATGTTTCTTGATTTTCTTGTCTGGACCCGCCAACCCCGGGAATCGCGGTCCGGGTTTTGACCCTTACAACTATAGGGCGAAATGGACAAATGTATAGCAGTTGGTTTTGGGTCCAGGGTCGCCTCTGGGCCAACTGAAAAAAAGCGAAGGTCTGTTTTTCCAAGAGTTAAACACAATGATTAACGACAGTCTTGCACCGAGTCTCGAGTCCTAAACTTTTATTCGAGTGGTGCCATAGTCTTTGGACTGATTGTTCATCTCCAGTGCCTTCGGTAGTGAAACACTGGTTCTTCTACCAGGACACCCTAAGGGGTGTCTATTGATAGCCCCTTAGAGGTTAAGGGGTGTCCATTAACCACCCCTTGTGGGTTCTTCTAGATTCCACCAATTCAACCCATTTTTCATTCGCCCTGATCCCCGTCGACCGGACGATCCATCGGCGAATCCAGGCGTGGCGTTTGCCACGCAAAAACCGAACATCATAGCACGGGTCGTCCCACTAGTGGCAGCCTGGGATCCTTTCCCTGACCTGCCCGGGGGTTTGCTGGGCATAGGTCTTTGGACCAAACAACTCATGGTTGGACCATGAACCTTTCTACCACCTTCCTTTCAGGGTCATCTGACTGGAAGCCTATGGGTATTTTGAGCCAGGACACCACTTACATCGTCCTTGAAGGTCAACCAAACAACACCCAGCTCCACCGCACTCTTTAAACCAGCACCACGGCAGGGCTCATCTAGGGCCTAGGGTGGTTTATTTCTCTTTATGTCAACCCCCCAACCCCCCTGAAGATGTCTGTTCCAATCACCACGGGTGCCACTCTCGGGACGTCCAACGCTCCTCCGCGGGGAGAACACCACCTCCCATGTTGAGGTCCTGGGCGAACTTTCCGCCTCCGAAGTGGAGGCCGTGGGCGAAACGAGGAGGTCTGGGAGGCAAAAGAACACCAGCCCCAAATGCTCCATGCACATGGCAGGCTGAAAATGACTGGTGGTTCTTGGCATGGAATGTAGGCCAAGTGTAGGCCATGTTTGTATACATGGAGTGTTTGTTTGGGATTGATTTGGTGCCCAGACGCGAAGTGAGGACCCGAATCCCGGTTCTCCTTGGGTGGGGTCTGGGTTTTTTAGCAATCCCTATATGGTTTTGAGGGGCGGGGAAAGGGCGGTGAAAACACGCAGCGTCTGGGTGAATCCTTCATTTTAAAGGATTTTTTCACTACAAGAACTCGCTCAATCATTCTTTCAGTGGTCTTTGAGTGGTCATTTTTGGGGGGTCTCTTGAACACCATCCGTGTTGCGGGGCCGTTTTGTCATATGCTGGGCGCCACAGAAAACGACACAAATGGAACTGCTGGTGGGTGAGACATGGTCGGATTCTGGCACTTGATGTTCGTTGTTCTTCCCGTTTTTCCCTCTACTGGGAGCGATCGGACGCTGCGTTCGGGGCTCCTGGCCTTACTACTAGAAACTAGCTAGCACTTGATGTTTTTATTTGCCGGCGAGAGAAAGAGAGAAAGAGAGAGAGAGAGCGCGACATCAATGAACTGGCCATGTCAACGAAGAGATCCTATAAGCCCTTGAGTGTGAATCTGCTCCTTTTCTCAGGTGTTGCATGGATATGGGTGTGTATCAAAATAGGGAGACCTGACGAAGATAGGTGTTGCAATTTCTTCAACGCACCTTGGCAGGACTCTGCTGAAGGCCAGGCAAATCCAGAGATCCCATGTGCATGCCTATTGTCAGATGTAGTCAGTTGGTTGCATGTGTATCAAACCAAAGTTCCACTTGCTCTTTTTCATGCCAGCGACGGACACAACCTCCACACCCCAAATCAGTACTCTGGAAGTCCAGTTCGACTCTATTTGGCACCATCAAAGTCTTCAAGACATTCCTCGACTCCAGACCGCTTTTCTACCCAGAGTCCCCACTGAGAAAACTGTGCGTTTACACCTGGACCTGAGTTGGCCGAAGCCCTCGCCACCAAATCACTCCAGGCCGTGGCCGGCTGGTTCATGCAGCGCACCGGCACGCAGCCCTGCCGCGCCGACCCCTCCATCGACCAGTGGCTGACAGGGCCCTCTTCGGTGGAGCTCCTTCGGCCGCCTAAGGCGTTGAAGTTCCGTGAGCGGACTGAGAGGACGTGAGGAACCAGGACCCGTTTGAGGTGTCTTTGAATAGCCGAATAGCCTGAGGTGAGGACGGGGTGTCCAAAGACCACCGGACTTGGAAGGTCCTGGAAGGAGATGTCCAACTGCAAAGTGTCCGCCTGTTTGTAACACCAGCCAGTGGAGGCAGACATTTTTGCATGTACCGAAGAACTTGGAAGATCCAGGTACGGCTGTGGGGTCATGGCAGGATACCGGGCAGGACCTACCGACGATACTTGCGCAATATCCAAACGCTTCCCAAAGGCCCTTCATCTGGTGATGGGTGCCTGGGAGTAGTGGGTGTCGGTCAAACTCGCTACAAACGGTGGACTGGTGCTCCAGATTTGGCCCCACGCCCATCGTTGCATAGGTCCAGGTATGCGGTTCGGGGGGAACATTTCACCCTACTGAGTCCTTGACCCTTCTGGTGCCGCCGCGTGCAGTGGTGAAGTCGTGCCACAGGAGCATGGTGTGCCGAATGCGGAATGGCATGCTCCACGCACATGCGTGGTAAAGCATATCAATCTAACTGCGCTGGCACAGACAGGACCATGTATGTTTTGAATCATATATAACAATGATTTACTGCAAGGTGCTTATGCTAAAGTCCCAGCGATATGCTATTTAGGAGTACTATGCACAGAGAGCATCTAAACGCAATCCCAGTGGTGCACCATACGTTAGGATCAACTGTGGAGACGCAGACCATGCAGAATCTGCTCCTGGGGCCCGTGGGTTCGCCGCTATCGTTGAAGCCGACGTGTCACTGCAAAGCTATCCAAGCACCAATTCAATAAGACCATCCCAGATCTGCGGGCACACTGGCTTTCATAGCTTCCCTTGTCAGCTTCTGAGACTCGCAGGTCAATTCCGTGAACCAGTGGGGTTCACTTCGCGCAAAAGATGTTTTGGGGGAAGGATGCGCCAGTGGAAGCACCCATCTTGGAGGATCCAGGTATAGGATTCCACTGACAGAAGCAGCTGGCAACTGGATGTCCGCCGGCCCGTCGTTCTTCTTTCGCGCCAGGCTGAGACGGTGGCCTATTTGGATGGCAAAGGTCCTAAACCCGCTCGCTACGCCCGGGTAGCGCCTTGGCCGGGCGAGTAGAGGCTTTCGGGAGGAGCGAACAAAATGGCGCATGAATGGGTTTGGATCTATTTCCCTTCTTCCGGGGGTCTTTGGGAGGTCTCCCTATTTTGATACATACGTACTCATATTAATGGCCTACGCTGAGGATTCCAGGCAACGTAACTGGGATCTGGGCTACACATGATTTGCCAGCGCCTTTCAGAGTCGCTGGAAACCCCTACACACCCCGACAGGAAGCTCTGATTCTGGATTTGGAACCTCCTCGTGAACCCTCATAATCGTCACATAGGGATCCCACCCGAATCCTCTGGAGAGGTCTGGGGTCTCAAGTTAGTTTTGAGGGACTGGGAAGTTGGCCTCTAAACAGCACGTTTTGGGTTGTGGGTTTTGACCCACAAACCCATTTGATCCCTCCATCTGATCCATGAGGGTTTGGGGGGATGAGCCCCCAACTCCGCTGCCAACTAACTCAGACGGTCGCCACCAACTCCTCAGTGGTGGAGTACAAGGCGCAGCCGCGACCGGCAGGTTCAAACAGAGATGCCAGCTCGGATGCGGCCGGCGCGGGTTTGAGCGGTTTGGAACATGATGGAACGTTACTGTAACCCTAGCATCCCAAGACTTACTGTAAATCAATGGTGGTGGGAGGCCTAGGGTGTTTCTTACCATTCTAATCGTTCTACTCCGGCCTGATACAGTGGTGGATTTTGATTCCCAGGTGGTGTAAAATGAGTCATTGAAAGCTCTGGGGTATATATATATATCATATAATGTATGTATGTGTGTATATATATATATGCTACCCCTCCAAAGATCTACCATTTTTGCCTCCCGCATGCATGTCTAAGTCAATATTATAGATAGATCTACAAGCACTTCAAAGAGCTTGGTTCTAAACAAAAACCAACCTTTACACATCAAGGAGTTTATTACTGCACTGTCGGCCTGCAAAATATAAATGTGACAGATTTTCCTAAGGATCTTATACGCAAGAGAACTTTAAAAAGGGAAAATGCAGAAGACATACCACAGCTTTATTTGACAAAACCCTCAATTGCTTAGGGATGATAAAGAACGTTTGATTTAGTTGAAGGACTTGACAATGTGTTATGACAATTAAGCTGTATCAAAATCAGAGTCAGTAGAGAAAATCAAGAAGAACGGTAAAGGAATGAATGTATTGAATGACAATTTGACAGATGCAGATATCTGGCGCTATTATAGAAACACGCCAAAAAGATAATGAACTTTATGACACTGCGCTTATGAGTGGGACAACTAGACATATGCTTTTGATAGGAAAATATTTGTGAGAAAGAGATGAGTTGACTGAAAGGGGGTATCCATTAAGGAAATGGATCAGGTATTATATATTGAGTTTAACATTGCAAAACCAAACATAAGTTATAACTGAACTGAACCAAAAGTTGAACAAAGTCAAATATGCAATCCAAACACAGAAGCCAGTTCTACAGAACTTCAGTTGAGGGTTGCATTACAGTTGAGGATGAAGACACTTATAACAACATGAACCTAGCAATGTATAGCTTCAACTAGGAGGCATTTAACTCAATTCCAAAGTGATACTATTCAATTAAGACGCTGACCTTAAAATACGTTTACTAAGTTTACTTTATTGTATGCAGATAATTCTATTTTGGCAACTGGTGTAATGTTATTCAAAAAACATATAATGTGATCTACCAGGCAATATGAGACAATTTTAAGAGACGAGCCAAGATACTGGCATGCAAAGAACCCAGTAAAACTCACAAGATTAATTACAGAGGTATTCAGAATCAGTTGGTGAACACAAACATATCTGATAACCAAGAAGAAGAAGAAGACAAATTCAAAAATAAGTTGATAGGTGTTGTTAACTATGGATTGCTGGAAAAGGATGCCTCAACAGTTATTTTTGAACCTGGATTCAAGATTCAGGATGCCTAGCAACAGTTTTTCTAGCAATCTTGAATCGTGATTCCCTATTTGTCGCTCTACTTTTTGTATGTTTGTTTTCTTCTCATAGACTGCCAAACCCAAAACCCCAAACCAAAAAACCTAAACTCTGAGGAGAATCTTTGGTTTCAGCCTGGAAGATTTTTTTTTGTGTTCATTGAGTTGTTTTTAGTTTTTTGGTTTCATTTATCAAAAAACACCACAAGGTTTTGGTTTTCGCTTAGTTTCTATCGGAAAACCCACCAAACAATAAGACATTGTTATTTGTTTTGTAATTCAATGCTGCATATATAGACCAACGCAAAACAAACAAACATGTTTTTTTTGATAAATGAAACCAACAAAACTAAAAAAACATCAATGAACACCAAAAAACATCTTCCAGGCTGAAACCAAAGATTCTCCTCAGAGTTTGTTCTTTTTGGTTTTTGTTTTTGGGTTTCGTTTTGGCAGTCTATGAGAAGAAAACAAACAGACAAAAAGTAGAGCGACAAATATGGACTCACGATTCAAGATTGCTAGAAAAAAAAGTTGCTAGGCATCCTGTTCTTGAATCCAGGTCCACAACAGCTAGTTTCTTTTAGGACAACTAGTTTGTCTAGTTCTTTAACGTGCTTATCTCCAAACTATGCACATTATATATGCTTCCCCCTGCACAGTTAACACCAATGTATTAAAATTCATGAAAAAAGGTAGGTCAGGACATGGATGTAGAGGAGTGAGGAGTCCTTGCTTAAAAAAGGGTAGATCTTTGGGGGGGTACCATATATATATACACATACATACACACACATCCCTAGCCTTCCAAGACCAGGTAGTGTACATCCGGAGTGACTGTTCGGCAAAAACCATTTGTGGGTATAGATGGAGGCATCCTTTGGTGCCTCTTCCATCGCCAAAACCGGAGCCGGAGCCGAACAAATCACGCATTGTTTTTCGCCAGGTGGGTCCTATCACTGATCTGAAGAACGCTCAGATCGAGGTCCTGGTGCCTGCAGGGGCCATCCCCTATTCCAAACGTCCAGGCTTCGAGGAGCTGGGAAGAGATCTTGGGGATGGTTCAGCAGGCTGAGATGTCCGGTGGGGAGGAAGATCGATTTCTGGAAATGGTTAGTTTTGGTCCACTTCTGCAGTCTGCCAGACTTCAAGGTGGAGCACACCACGCGACATCAGAGTTAACAGTTATACAGTAATCTACTTTTGGGTACAGAGTCAAGGACCAGCGCATGGTGGAAGCACGCTCACCGCCGCGCGCGCTCTTGCGCAAGCTCGATCTTGGCAGCAGGAGACGGCCTTTTTGCACGAAATCTACGATGCCACGGTGCGTCGCTTGGGTGCGCCTCTGCTAGTGAAGGCCTTCGGAATGATCTGGCCGCAGCTGGCCGAGCATGGAGGCGAGAGAAGACTCGTCGGAGTGGCCGTGAAACGCTCCGTGAGTTCACAGGCCGACCTCCCAGTCCCTCAAAACCATAGGGATTTGAGGGTCTGGGCCCTTCCATATGAGTCTGGCTCCTTCTTTCTGACATTCTTTCTGGCATCTCTTCCGACGTGCTTTCTGGCATATCTTCTGACATTCTATCTGGCATATCTTCTGACATTCTTTCTGGCAGATTCTGGCATATCTTCTGACATAGTTTTCGGCATTATTTCTGGATATTTCTGGCATATCTTCTGACTGTCATAGAGACAGTCCGCAAAAGATAGGGCCTCCGAGTGAAAGCAGAGTGGGAACGAATCTCGAGCACTGCAGACCGTGACTGGACTGGCATTCACATGATCGGACTTGAATCTGTATTTCCGCAGGAGCATGCAGAGGGTTTTCGACGTGCAGGCATGTCAATAGATGGGCTCGATGCACTCACGCACGCTTGGAAGCGGCTTGAAGAAAGAACATTGATGAGAGCTACAGTGTCCACGGCGCGCAGTTGGCAAGGCTCTCACGAGTACAAACGTTCCGAACTTCAAGCCTTCATGGACACCCCTAAGCTGTGGTGGATTTTCCTCACTCAAGGAGAAGGCTCACCTTCAACAGTTCCTAGGTTGCGGGAACTGGCTTGGAGGGCACTTGCCGGGAATTTGGACATGTGGCAAAGGTTCTTGGAGCTTACCAGAAACCTGGCGTGGAGTTCCCAGAGGGCAGGATCGACTCGGGAAAAACTGAAGCTTTCAAGGCCATGAAAAAAAAAGATTTGTGATCATATTGCTTTGGCGACCTTTGATGAAGCATCTGCGCCAGATGGATCGTGCCCGCTGGAACAAATTGCGGACGCGTCCGGCATTGAGGTTGGCGGGGCAGTGCTTCAAATGAGTCGGGACATGAGCAGGATGAAGATCCTGTTAGCTCATTCCCGATCTCTTACTCCTGCTCAACAGTGGTGGCCACCGCTCATCCAAGAGGCTTATGCCCAGGGCAGCTCGGAAGGTTTTCGAGACCATACGCACTCTGTGCTGGACTGACCATGCCAACTTAACGAGGGCGCAGTCTAGTGACATTGGTGTGGATTCGAGATTGGTTTGCTGGGTCTCGGAGACCTATTCCTTCCAGGGAAAGTCTCCTGCGTCGCCTCAGTGAAGGACGCCCGTGCGAGTTGCAAGCTATGTCCAATTCTTATGAATACCTGTCTGATGTTCTCGAGCAGAGCCTGGCCTTCGGAATCAAAATTTCCTTGCAGCTGCCAGGTCTATTGTCACCACCAGACTCAGCTCAGAGCGGCTCGTGCTTTCTTCCAAAGACTTCCTTTACGTGGAAGAGGCAATCACGGAGCACTATCTGTTCTTGACTTTGAAAACCCCAGGCTTGCAGTCATTCGAAGAGGCCTGCGGTACAAGCATATTCGGCGTCCGGCATTTCTTTGTGGAAACACAGCCGTGAGCCACTGAGCCTGAGCCTCTTGCCACAATGGAGCGGTGAGGCTCAACTGCTCACCTTTGTCCATTTCGCAAACACGATGATTTTCCCGTCGGGTCGCTTCAGTACAAGGACTTCCCTTTCGGTACTCGGATTCCTTTCTGTCGCACATGTGGCCGCCAGGACGGCGTCAATCATACCGAAGGATCCGAAGCAGGTCCTCAAATTGTTTAGTGCCTGGGTGTGTTGGTTCGCCCCGCTGCCATTATGCATACCGGCATACCCGTCAAGAACAGCATTTCGATGCCATCCTAGCCAAATGCTGTTATCCAGATATCCTCTTAGTCATCAGGTTGAAGAAGCAGTTCACCGCACAATTCGCACAACGCATAGACAAGATCCGATTCGGTACCCGACATCATTTCTCCCAATCCATTGTAGAGGCAGATGCCGACAGCTTAAATACAAAACAGTCCGGCCTAGTAAAGCCGTCCGCCAAGACCCTACTATGTCACATGACCCCCCGACTGAGACCTCGTCTTTAATGAATCACGTACCGGTTTTCGCCTCCTTAGTTCACTTTCGGTTACCCAAGGCAGAGTGCCTGCGCAATCGAGTTGTGGGATTTAATCTGCGCTCACGTTCTTAACCGGTCCGGCCGAGTTGAATAGCCGGATCGAGGCCGACAGGCAGGCAGCACGTTGCGCCAGAGTGTTGTGGTTCTCGCCAGCTTGAGCGAGACGATGCCGTGCCAGCAGCTTGGCCTCCAACCTACTAACGATGGCCTCCAACCTACTAACGATGGCCTCCAACCTACTAGCGATGGGCTCCCACCTACTAACGATGGCCTCCAACCTACTAGCGATGGCCTCCAACCTACTCCAAAGATATCGAAAATCGAGGCAGTTGTCCGCCCAAATCTTCGAGCCTCCCATCTCTGCTGAGGTTTGGGACACATCCCGAGCTTGGTCATCCCAAACAGAGGAAATGGATGCCGAGGCACGTCAATCTGCGCGGGCCTTTGTGGTGTTGTTTATCAACTTTCCCCGCAAGGATTTTCCCACCGCAGTTCAAACCTCGGTCTTGTGTTGTGTAAATTACCCCTAGACTCTGTCGCAATGTCGCGCCACTAAGGTCTACAACCCTGTCTTGGCCTCACTTGTCGAATCGTTGTGAATTGTGTCTGTTTGCATGTTTGCCCTCCGAAGCTGCCGCCGCCTTTACAGGGTTGGAACGCCACCGACGCATGGTCCTCCCAAACCTTGGAAATGGACATGGAGGTCGGGGTTGCTACCACTTGGAAACTTTAGCGCTTTCCCTTCCCGGCTATGCTTGTGCCAGGACGTCCCCGCCACAGTTCAAACCTCAGAATTCTAAATGCCAAATGTTGCTTTCGGTGCCGGACCGTGCTGGAACCTTTTTCTTTCTTAAGAGCTGCCACCCGACTACTACCTCACAGAGGAGGACTTGATTTCTTGATTTTGCAAGTTATAGGGTGCTGTGTCCAAGCTGACTCTAATACGCTTTCAGGAGTTGGATTGGCTGCAGAGTGGGGTAGCAGTCTGGACCTTAGACAGGGCGCGGCCATGATCCTACAGTGACTACATGTTGTTGGCTGCAGGTGCCAAATTCAATGAAGAGGGAGCGGGCTGTGGACATCAGCTGAGCGCTCAGATATTCTTAGTCGACCAATGTGGCCCACGCGCGCCCCATTCGGCGCTTGCGCGCAGGTGCTCCCCGATCACGCGCGCCGGATATTTTGGGAGGCCCAGCGGCAATTCTTTGCTTTTGTCGGTTTCATGTATCGCTTCCATCTATTGCCGAGGCCCGGCAAAAACGCGAACACATTCGCCAGCCGCGGACCAAAAGACTCCAAAGACGTGGTGGCAAACAGGCAGGGACCCTCGCGCCATGTTCGCTCGACGGTTGCAAGTATGGGCAATTTCACTTCCATGAAGGCACGGCCTTGGAACATTTGGACCTTCCAGGCCAACGCTTTCTTTTTTTCATAGTGGTGTTTTGGTTCCGCGGTCCTTCAAGCCCTGCTGCCAACAGGCCTTGCCGGTGCAGACAAGCCACGTCGCAAAGACCCCAGAGGCCAGCTGGGAAGAAACAAAATACATGTATAAGTGGCTCACTGACACTAACCACAAAATTGAAAACGGCGCTGTCCTCGCCTGGGCCTCAGAATGTGAAGCGGCCCGCGCGTTTGGGTGTTGCGATTGGCGCGATGTCGGTTAGGCAGTGTGGAAGCAAACTTCGGGCGCAGACCGCCAAGCCTCGCGACGTGGACTTCTGCGGGACTTGCCCGTCGCTCAGTACCCCAACACCTTTAAACGTCCCCCAAGTGTTTTACAACATAATTTGTAGATATTTTGTGTGGTGAGGGGATGCGGTCCTATGGACCCAACCGCTTCTTGCCCAACAAGGCCGGCGCAAGGGTCGCAAGAGCACTAGAATTCACCCACAAGGATTTGGATCGGGCCTGACCTTTCTGTTGCCTCTTCCACTTAATGCGAGCCTTCTCAGAATGCCCCTTTGAATTTTGATTTGATTCTGAGCTTTAAGCTGTCAGGACAGGAACCGAGTCGCCCACAGTTTGAACGGGAACACTGTGGCGATGGTGGGTTTTGACAAAGCCGGACGGATTGTTGGAAGCCAGCCCCTGCCGCGCCTTCCGCCGCATAAAGGACGCATCTGCGGCCTACCGCAAGTCAAGTTTCCGCTTTTAACCTATACTATACTCAAAGGTTTTGTTGTAAGAGCCGGGCCGTTCTCTGTACATGGACGTTGGCAGGCGGCTCCTTCAGATCAACTTCAGCTGGAACAGCTCAGGTCACAAAACCAGCGATGCGTGAATGGAACTGCGTGATGTATATACAGTAACGCATTGCGTGGTGGCCACCCAACATCATCTCGACTTTGCGCCGACGATTTTGAACAGTCTTGCCAAGCGACAGTCAGCATGCATACGAAAAGAACGCAAATTTTCCGCATCTTTCCAGATCATACAAGTGCACCGGCCCCCCCCGTTGCGTGGGAAACAAAACGTTTGCGCGTGTCAGTCTCGCTTGAAGTACTTTTTGCGAAGCCCGAAAATGAAATTGCGCAGGCCTGTTTGAACCAGACGCTGGCTCAGCAGCATATTGAGGAGATCAAGCATTACTATCCTATTTTCACTTTGGCTTTTGGGTTTGTGACTGTGGGTTTAGTTCGAGACTTGTTGATGTTTGTGATGCAAACAGAATGGCTGATATCCTCAGAACCGGAAGGACCTCACAACCCAAGGCTGTTATTTTTCTTCGCTTTTTGTAGTCACACTCCGACTGTGCATACTCATTTCGCGCAGTGTAAGTCTCTGCACGCCTCCGTATGCCATGTTCAAACCTGCCCTGGGAAATGATTTGGAAGTTGCAAGGCGTTGACGTTCTCAGTGCAAAGCGCGCCTCATCTTTGAGGATTCTGTGGCTCTGTCACTCTTGTGTCCCTATCTCGTTCTTCCTTGTCCATCTCGCGATCTCTCGTAACTCGTGAAACCCCTGCTGAGTTTGCTTCCGTTCACAAAAATCGCCTGGATTAGTTGATGCTCCGTGCTCTCCCCTTTTGGTGCTGGCTGTGATCCTGCATGGTACCTCGACCTCAAGACGCAGGAACAATGAGTGTATCCCCTTTCTCCCAGCAACCCTCCCTAACCAAGAGCAGATTCCTGTGTATGGAGATTTGACCAAACTTGACTGAGATTTTTTCTGCCGACAGGAAAATATGATTCGCATATATTCAAAGGCTTATCAAAAAGATGCATACAGAGGCTTATCAAAAAGTATGGGCAGAAATTCCTTAGTGATGTTCCCCACCATATTCAAAGCAAGGCGTCACTCCTTCGAGCTCGAGGCCCAAATGCCACCATCAGACTTCACGATGCATTCGGAGAGGCTACAATAATGTCCCCCTATCGCAAGATGGGCGCCGGGTAACATTCCGAACCGTACGGGGACAAGTTCCAGCAGAGGGAATACTCAAACAAAGCCGACAAGTCTATCAAATCGATCAAAAATCCAAAGAGTTCTGGCAACGTGAGAACGATGATGAGCAAACAACTCCTCTGCCTTGGAGTGATACAGTGCATGATCTACTGTCCGTAGTACCTCCTGCGCGATACACAACCCAAAACGAACATTTTCCATCGCATGAAGCTTTGTAGAGCCGAAGGGGTTGATGGCTGGAGAGCCGAGGAACTCCAACAGCTGCCGTTCATTTGTATCGACGTCATATTGCGGTATGGCCTTACAGACAACCTAAGGCGGGCATGCGCACTTCTTTTGTCACTATAGCAATCCCTTGAACCACTATAGCAATGGTAGACCAATAACGATTCTCGGTTACGTAGAAAGAATGTGCTCAAAATTAGTATCAGTCAGACCAAGTGTTGGCTGCCTGGGCCAAAACATGGCCTGCCTGCATTAGCAGAGGTCTGCCCCTGCGTTCGGTCCGCAGTGCCGCAGCATATCCTCGAGGAAGCACATACACACAAATCCCCCCTAGGAGGTTGGACACTTGACCTCTAAAGCGTTTAACTGGCTCCCAAGGTATCTCGTTGTCCGCATGGTGATACACCTGCGAGTACAATCAAATGTTAAGTCGTGGCGACTTTCTATTTGTGAAGCGGTTCCATGGGGATTTGAGTGTATGGAAGTCGTGGCGATGTCGCGGTTGGTTGGGGAGAAGACAAGGCAGCAGCGGCAAACAAAGCGCCGATCAAGCAAAATGCCGATCGCGGGCAAACAGGTGGGGAGAGGTGGGGAAACAAGTAAGGAGACACGTGCGCATATACATGATGAGGTAACTAGAGCAACTAGTAAGACTAGAGGTTTTTATTCTGAGGGCTTTCCTTGCTGCCATGGGCTCTGACCTCGTTCACCCTCTCTCGTTCACCATTCCGATACCTCGTTGCAACTTGTGTGATTTGAGTAAAGTGTCCAAGGAGCCTGGTTCACAGAGATGTCAAGGGACCACATTGTGTTTCCATGCAAGAAGCTTGTTGTGAATACGCGACAATTGCGCTAGGGAAGGAGTTTCAGAACATATCAAAATATTGCCAAATCATTGCGTTTTCATGCGGGAAGCTGGTTTTTGCAAGGACTATGCTGGGACCCCCCTCCTGGCGTCGCGTTTTCACTGGGGAACATCAGTTTTTCTTACTACGCCGTGACTTTCGCGGCTGAGTGTGCCAGCCACGGTAATTCAATCACTCCGACGCTTAACTCTCGTGGCGCAGGGACAAGTAGGTGATACCATTGGTTCTACTACTGGCCTTCCTGAAGGCGACTCATTAAGTGTTGTGGGGATGTTAGCAACATCGTTTTTTCCATCGCCACAGACCTAATGTTCGTCCCTTCGCATACGCAGAGAACTCGTCCTGTATGACCTCAGATGAGCGCGAAACATTTTGTGCATTAATCCCCACGCCCTCAATTTTGTCCACGCATTGCGCATGCGAATCGACTTCTCTGAGAGTTGGGGTTGGGGTACCACCCCTACATTCTGTTCCATTTGGAAGCATGCAACTGGCCTCCTCATGGACCCGACAGTAGTTTTCGGAGTTAAAAATTCCACGAAAAACTTGGGTTGTATGCTCCATTGCACTAAGAAACAACTTGTATAATGGATCGAATTAAAATAGGATAACAGCCGGTGCCAACGTCTGCAGTTCCCACCTCTGTCACTCATTGATAAGATGGTTAAGTTTGGCCCATTCTGTTCATGGTCGCACTGAAGGCTTTTTGGAACCCCATGCTCCCTCCAGAAAGCCGGAGGATATGTGCCGAACGTGGGCACTGTGACCACCTTGCCGCGGAACGACCCCTTGGCGCCGGCCGGCACCCGGCGCATCCGCATCAAGAGCGCGGTGGTGCCCCCGGCACCCTCGCGGCCGGATGCGCAGTGGCTCTACCCTTTGCCCTTGGATATGGAGGTGCCGGGGTTAGGGTGGGAGTGATGGGGGGAGGCCGAAAATTGGGGGTGAGAGTGGGTTTGTTGGGGGGTTTTGGGAGAGCATGGGATAGATACTCGATGATGCTCGTTTCGGGGCTATTCTTAGACACCCCCAAACAGGTGACTCTAGAAGGGCCTTTTTATACACAAAAGCAAAGAACAGATTAATTACTGCAAACCGATATACCACGACCTTCCCAGTGACCCTTTGAGATCCCAGAATGGGGTCATTTAGGTCACTTACCAATCCCGAAGTTCGGTCACTGGGAAGGTCCTGGTATATAGATTTACGAGCACCACGGAAGTACGGGTGGTTATTGGAAGCTAGGACAATACCCAGCACATCCAGTTACCACTATTATAGCTGGTAACCAGTTGTTCCAAAGACTAAAACCATATAGACCAAACGAATCCCTGGTTCCTTGTAGTGGTTTGCCTGGGATGCACTGGGATAGATAGTGAGGGGCTCCGTGGTGCTGGTCGAAGAGTTTCTGTAAGGTCACTCAGCGCAGCCTCTGACCCCTCAAACCACCCCAATGTAGCTAAACATGCCATAGGATGGATATACATGGATATACACTGGGTTATAGATGCTTTTGCCAGCACCACCCAAAATGTTAACACATGTGGTTATTGATCTGATTTCCTGCTGGACGCCTTCAACAACATCCCCTGAGCCAGAAGATGAGGTCCTTGCTCAGGGGCTTGCCATGTTTTGAAGCGGGCAAAGGCCGACATGGCAACACCCAACAGAGGTTCAGTGACCTCATAGGACCCGGAACACCTGGGGTACCCAACTGGGATAGTCGAACAGCGGTTCTTCAACCGTTGGACCAGCTGGCACCCCACCCAGGATCCGTCCACCCGTTTCTTGAGGTGACACTGCAAGCCGGGCGGTGGCCGAAACAGAAGAAACACATGTGAAAGACCTGGTCTTGATGGTGTAACATCCTTACCCTAAGGATCCGAACGCACCCTCCTTAGAAGGGGTCGAGCCCTCTATAACAAGGGTTTGGGGCCCCGAACCAAACCCTTGTTTTTGAGGGTGTAACATCCTTAGGGTAGTAAAACAGCTGGTTCTTCGGGCTTCGGAGGCTGCGACCGATCGGTTCGGAGCCCATGTTCGATCCACCCGTCCACCGTTGGCCGCAAACGACTTGAAGTCGGTAGGTCATGCCTGTTCAGTCTCCTGGTGCCGTCCACGGCCATATTAGGGGTGTATGAAAGTAGACCCCAAACCCAGGCCAGAGGGTCCTCCTATGAAATTCCGTACCCACCTGGACCCTCCAACAGGTGTTTCATGGTGACAGGTGCCCAATATTGCCCAGAGCCGAACCTTGAAGGGTCCTGCAAGATCACAAGTAGCGGCCGGACTCGGGTTTTCCTCGGGTCTGGATGGGGTGTGGACCCCAAACCAACCCCTGGAGGTACCGGGAGGGAGGGAGGTGAACCAACCAATCCCGAATCCTCTGCGGGTTGGACCCGAGCCCCCAAAACTCCCGAGGTGTTGAGGGACTGGGAGGTCGGGCGTGTGGTTGCCACACGGAGCGTGAACGGGACCTCAAAACCGAGGTGAATGTCACTGCCTGGAACGTCTCAGTGCCCTGGACGTGGGTGGTTCTGCCGTCACCAATGGTTCGACCATCTAGGCCCAACCCACCCTCACGCTCAAACTGTTTTCGGGCTTTCCGGTCCGGACCGATCTGGGGTGAAAACACGTGGCGTGAAAGGAACTTGGGGATTGCTCGCTAAGCGGGCGTTTTTGAGAGTGGGATAGAAGAATGACAGGTCTTGGCACCCGACTTCAGCCTGTTTTTGAGACACCCCGAATTCACCCCAGCAAGTCCGGTTTTAGAAGCCGACCGCAGGTGGTGTGTGGGCACCTGACGTGGAACACCCGGTGTGACCCCTGGGTCCAGCAGGTTTCTGGTAAAATCTCAGATCGGTAGAGGGCTATTGATTGACACCTCCAACGGAGAGGGTGGTGAAAACGGATCAACGCCCGACCAGTCCACCATTTGCCGCGAAAAACCGCTGAGTGGTACGAGCAACGTTGTACACTGTGCTTACTGGAGTAGTTGTCGTTCTACTTCACACCCCCAACTAACCATGGCCAACACAAACTGCCAAGGGGAGCGCCATGGATTGGTCCGCAAGGCGTGTTACCAACCAGGGGTCACATGTCGGGGTGGTGTTTAGTCCCATCCAGTGAGTGGAGTAGCTGGGCACCCCTAACCTCCATGGATCGCACCCCTTTGTGACTCACATCGGCCCACATCCACATCTTGATTCGATCGATTTGGACTACGTTCGAGCGACGAAGAACGAATCCCAACGAGCGACTGGGGTCTTCTCCAGTTTTCAACAACGAAAGAGCGCTCTGAAAGTGGTTTGATGAACTTTTGGATAGCGCAGAGTTGGGCAGTAGCCCTTTTGCGCCCATGATGACATCGATATTCTTCTCTTCCAGCGTACCAAGAGCGCCGGGATTTGGTTTTCTGAACTGCGGGACTCGCTTTGGTCTCAGGAGTGGTCCCTGAACCACATCACCTTCTGTGGTCAAGGCCCCTTTGACTCACCGGAAAGCGTGCTCGAAGCTTATCGAAGCGGGAAGCTCCAGCTGTGTCACCCAGATTTCTCCAACCAGGGACATTGGGAGCCTCGGCTCATCGTGAGAAAGGCTGGGGATGGGGATTTTTGGATGTCAGCTCGAGAGAAAAAGGAGGGTCCGACCAATGCTCGATTTCCAAGACGTCCTTTGATTTGGGCGAACTTGGGGTATTCACCTTTCTATACTTTTCTATTCTTCCAGCCTGCACTCGACTTGAAAACGTGGCAGAAGCGGTGATCAGGTGGAGCAGGGCCGACCCTCCTCGTCCCTCCATTTTCAGGTTTGGAGGGTCTGGAGCCCAGAGGATTCGGGGAACCGGGGAACCGCGCTGAACGGAGGGTCCATTTTCGCAAGTGGGCGGAACCAATCATCACCAAATCCAGCACACAGAGTGACACTACCAGCACCCAAAGCCTGCCAGGTCACCGAGTCACCACCTGCCACAAAAGTCACCAGAAGAGACCTGCTGGAGGGTGCTGGTATCTACTTTCCTTCCAATAACCGCCTTTTCCGTGGTGCTGGCCAATTATAACGAACCCTTTTTGCTTGGAGAAGGGACCCACGGAAAAGACCAGCAAGACCGCCATGGATAGCAAATTGACTTGACCAGCACAGTGAAATGCAAGCGGGTCCCGGTTTCGGCCGCGATGACCTTCAGGTGACGAACCCCCCAACCCTGCGCTATGATCGTGGTCCATGTCCGGCTTTGGGGTGATTCCTTTGGGATCCTGGACACCAAGTGCCCAGGTTCAGGTACGAAGCACTGGGGACCCTAGGACCAACAAGTGCCCAGGTGTTCCGATCCTTGGCCTGCTACGCGCCTTCGTCCTGGTTTCGCTACGCGACTCCGTCCCCACCCCAAACCGACCGACCGGGAAAACCGCCTCCGCCACAGCGACCACGTTGGAGACGATTTCTCAAGTCTTCGGTGCTATCAAAGCTTCCGGTGCATGACACCACCCACGGACACTCCATGTATGGTGGTCTTCGGTCCGTATGGCATATGTACCGATCAATTGGGGTGGTTGGAGTGGTCAATGGAGTGTCAATATTCCAGTCCCATGGAGTGTGCAACCTCATGCACCGCTCTCACCGTCCTTGTTTCGGTTTCATCGCTTTAACGTGGGGGAACCGAGGACACGCCGCAGAAGGAAACCCCGCAGGCGGGTGGAAACTGGGGTCGAACCAATCCCTATAGGTCTTGAGGGACCGGGAAAGGGCTGTTTTCACAGAGTGTCTGGGTGGAAATCAAAACCGAGGTGTGAGAAGTGCAAAGATAGTGTCGAGAGAGGTTTGACTTGAACAATGATTGAACAGTGAGCTGTGGACACAATCACCCGAGTCGCTAGTTTTCACAAGGGAAGAACCGTGATACTAAGACTTTCGGAAGGCGGAAGGCTTTCGGGTACAGGCCGGTAGCATACCGGGTGACCCGTTAGTGTGAGGTCCCCCACGATGTTCTGTGTGGCCCTATGACCGTGGATGTATATACAGTCACCCCGATCCTCACCCCGATCGGAGTAACAACGATACATGGTGAGCCATGTCGCGTGCCGAAACGCATAGAGGTCATACCTTGTGAGGTTTGGACCCGCCTGGCAGAGCGAAGGTGTCTGACAAGAGCGAAAAAGCAAAAGGGCTCTGTGGAGATGGCACTGGATCGATGTAGGGGTTTCAAGCCTCCAAGGCTCTAACAACTCAAGCCCTCCCGGATGGATTCCGGATGGCCCACCTAGTGATCTTAATAGCCGGGTCATCGAAGAAGAACCATTGTTTGATACGATTTCACACGACAAAACCAGGTCGTTCCCACTTTTTGGAAAGGGTCTTCCCGGTTTCCGCTTTCACAGGTTTCAACTCCCATCCACGAACGCACGAAGCTCCCGGTTTCGCCGGTCCGCTGCCAGGCGCGCGGTGCTCGGACGGTGAGCGGCCACAATGGCGTGGCTTGGGGCGCCTGGAGCTTCAGCGTGACTCAAAGGCCCTCCACTGGTGTGGCCATCACGGACATCCGCTTCCGCGATGAGCGGATTGTGTACGAGTGACTGGGATTGGCTATCAGTGGATTGGCTATGTGAAACATGTGCATACTGGGAGTTATCTTTTTGGGCTGCGGGGGGGGGCAAAGCATTTAAGAAAAGCTGTATTAAGTTTTTCCAGGACCTTCCAAGAGGTGTCTATAGCCTCTTAGAGGTGATTCAGGGTGTCCAAAAATCATCTCTTGGAAGGTCCTGGTTTAGAGGGCATTGGTTCTGAACCGGTGGAAGAGCTTCTAGCACCTGACCTGACTCTACAGGTCTTCGAAATGGTGGCTTTTGCAGACTTAAGAGTGGCATCCCAAACATGGAACATTCATTGCCACATCTAGGTGCCAGCCTCAAAATATCTTCCTACCACCACTACCACTGCCGCTGCTGCTTCCCTGCCACCGATCAGCCTTGATGAACATATATGCACTAAATGTGGCAGGTGATGACTTGTTGGAAGGTGCTGGCAGTTTTGATCCACAACCAAAGAGCGCTCTTCATGGTTTGATGAACTCAAATAGCGCAGAGTTGGGGAGTAGCCCTTTTGAAGAACCATTGTTCAACTAAGGATTTGACACTTCCACAACCAGGTCGGTCAACGAAACTCTTTCAAGGGTGAACCCTCGGTTAGCCGGTGATTGAGTGTTGATCCGAGTTTCTGGACTCCCAGTCCAACCAGAAGAGGTTTCATGATGACCATGTTTCCATCCTATTTATATAGGACTTACGAAGTTTCTGGGACTGAGTTCCATCCAGAAGTGTTTCTGCTTGGACTCCAGGTTTCCAGGTCCGCTGAGATCCCCTACCATCGGGCCCCAAGTGTCTAGGGGCCTCCAGTGCCACATCCTGGGACTGAGGTGCGACCGAAAACCCCGGTCCCACCACAGCTGTGTGGCCCGAGGTTCCAGAGGTTCCACCCATCCCGGGCCGGGGCAAGGGGGGATCGTGGGTTTTTTTCGGGTCTGACGCACCGACGTGTTCGTCACCAAGCGAGGGGGTTTCACATGGAGGTTAGTGGCCTCATTCGTTTAGGACCGGACGCACTCCTCTCCGAGATGTCTGGAGATTCAGGTAAAGACCAAACATCTGAACCACCCAGACGCTCCAAACAGCTCTTGGTACCTCAAAACCCTAGGGATTTGAGACCCCAGACCCCTCCATATGAGGGTCCGACCCCTCCATATGAGGGCCCATGAGCGTCTGGGCAGACATGGTACCAGGACATCTCCGACATCTCCGAGATGTCCAAACATGGTACCAGGACCGAACCCCAAGTCCGGTGCGAAGGGCGGCGTGTCGACACCCTGGTGGAACACGAAGTCCGGTGTAGGTCGGTGTCCGGTGGTTCTTGGACACCCCGGGTCCTCACCTCTGAGAAGAAACACACCTCTTGGGTTCGGTCCTGGTAGCTCGACCTGAGTTCGGTTCGGAAACACCGATCGGCAGCTATCGATCGGACGTCGCCCGTCTCTTGGAGCTATAGACATGTATAGTCTGCATCCGACTCTGACCAGGTCTCCGATTTTTGGTTGCTTTTGGAGACTGACCTGCTGGAGGGTGCTGGTACACCAGCATGTTTCTCCTCGCCTGGACTTTTCAGACATCTCTCGTTGAAGGGAGCAGGGCTCCAGGCGTTGGTGTCGTGCCTTTCTCAAGAGGAAGCGGACCTGGCCGGTCCGCTCAGTCCGCGCCGCGCCGAGGTTGGCTTTGATGGATGCGCAGGCGATCTATGGAGGAGCCCTGCGTGATCAGTTCATGTATCTTGGACGTGAGCACAGACTGGTTCCTTTGGGGATCAAAGACGGGATCAAAGACTATAGTAACCATATAAATTTCAATATTATAAATGATACTAAAAAGCAATGATACTTATAGCTCTCCGCTTGGACACTCTAATGGAAGCAGCTGGTATCGTTGACTTGTGCGTTCCAGGGACCTTCCCAGTGACCGAACTTGAGGATTGGTATACGTGACCTTTGACAGACTTAAGTCTTAAGTGGCCGACCCACCACTGAGATCTCACCAGCAAAGGTTGAAGAACCCTATAGACTGTCCTGTAGGTACCCCTGTAGGGTCCTAGTTCAGGTCACTTAACCTCTGTAGGTCAACCCTTTGGGGTCACTGCGAAGGTCACTTGGAAGGTCCTCTGTCTCGCCGGCGGGAGTTTTCAGGATTCCAGGCTCCGGCTCGCGCCTCCGTGGATGGACACGCCTTCCGTTCGAAACCAAAAATCCAAAAACACCAAAAACACGGTTGACATGCTTCAAAGTGACCAAACTTGAGAGGCAACAGCTGTAGAAGTGACCCTTCTACGAGGCGACCAAAAGTGAGCGGACCACTTAAAATCTCGAAGGTTCACTTTGAAGAGCCAGGGTCCTCGTTTGGTAGTGCGAAAATCTTCGCAGCTCGCCCCTCAAATCCTCCAAAAAGATCACCATCAGGTCGAACGAGGGGGTAGACTCTACCCTCCCCCCAAAAATCACCGGGAACCCTGCCGTCGTTCCGAAAAAATGCCGGCGGCCGATGGGCTAAGAGCTGCAAGAGCGAACAGGGGATGGGGATTCGAGTCAGACGAAATCGAAATCGACTTCCTTTTGGGATGGTTTTTTTCTCACTGAACAGGTGGAATTCTCGGTTCACCTGTATCTGTTCCAGGGCTTTGGCTCAGGGGTCGGACACCACTGCAACCTTCCCTCCATGGTCGGACACCACTGCAACCTTCCCTCCATGGTGCCGCAAAGGTGGCCTATGTTCACCACCCAATGCCACTCAGTCATGTACCATAGATGTTTTGCGCCAGAACATGGAGCGTTTGAAGCTTGATTTTGCTTTGACCGTGCAGGTATTCCGATAGCGCTTACACCTTGTCTCAGTGGAGCGCCTCCCTTGAGCCGGGCGTCGATTGCCCCAGCGAGGTCGACGGAGAAGAGGGTGGGGGAGTCGGGAAGTCCTACCAGGGGCCTCACAAACCATCAAAGAGCTGGTTTTCCCTAGCACAAGACAAGGTGTTTGTTTGTGAAAACCTCTATTTTCCATGGGTTTTGAGGGCCACTGGTACACATTTCGAGCATGCGAGGTCAGGCACCTGCACCCGGTCTGGGACAGGTCAGTTGCACCTCATTTTGCTGGATTTGCCCTAAGAATCTGGCGGCGAAGCAATGTGAAGGGTTTGGTTCGAGTCTGCATCCCCTGCTATGGAGCGTCCAACCCCTCCAGATGGTGATACCAACAGGTTCAGTGGGTCGGACATTCGTTCTCTTCGGTGGCTGAGATGTTGAAAGACCCGTGAACGACGCAACCCCTGAGTTCACAGGCCGACCTCTTGCTCCGTCAAAACCTATAAGGGATTGAAATCTTAGACGCCTCCAGAAGATTTGGATCGGACCCTTAATTACTTCGAAGGGTCTAGGCTTGTTGCGGATTTGATCATCCACCCTGCTTGTTGAGAGGACACAGGTGTGATTATATACTTGGAATCCGTGGCTTTGCTTTTGTAAGAAAAGATATCAAAAGCTGTCTTTTGATTTGCGCAAGATCTATTCCCAGTGGCAGAGTGCTTGGAAGTACATGGCGTACATGCCCTGTTGCAGCTGGGCTGGACAGGATGGGTACCCCCCAAATCCGACCCACGCCATAAACCACGCCCCAAAACCGGGAAATGAGTTCAGAACCTGTAGGAGAACTGAGAGGGTGGGGAATGGCAGGATCTGTCTTTACCCAAGCCCCAGACGATGTTCAACATTTAAACGATCCGATTTCAGGAAGGTCCTTGACTTTGGTGGTGCTAAATATCGTCAAACTGGACTTCGAAAGGTCACTTCCGACACTGGTAAGGGGGGGCCCCCTTTTCGATGCTTCGCTGGGTCCGGTTTTTCTTCGGTGGGTCCGCTTGACAGAAGAAAAGCTACATGACGCTACAGGCCCAGCCTGACGCAGGGTCCAATGCTGAAAACCTCATTGAGTTAGTGTTGTTGTATCACTCAACTCCAGCAAATTAAGGTCCGTTCCTGACCTCCTACGGTTGACTTCCATAGCCTGAAACGAGCACAGATGGATCCTGCGGGTTGGAAGCCACAGACTTGACTTGCTTTTGGGCTCCTAAGAGAGGTCCTTTTCTTTCTCAGAACATGTTGCCAACATCTTTGGCCACCCTAAGTCCCAGGTTCTGGTTTCTCCCTGGGTCTCCCACCAGCCTAGTTCGCGAGTAGTTCGCGAGTAGTTCGCACACTGGGCCAGGCCACGTACCTCTCAGCGGTCAACTGGATGGGTCCTGACATGAATCGGGAACCTGACCCCAGGACAGGGGCCGGTGGGCGATTCCTTGTTTTTTTTGCTGTTACTTTGAAGGATCCGAGTCCGGACCCGAACCAAAACGGGGGGGTTCGAGCCCTCAAACAAACAAGGGTTTTGGGGCCCCGAAGCCAACCGTTTCGTTTTGAGGGCCACCCGAAGACTCTGAGGCACCCGACCCTCTCGGTCGGTCCCACGGCGGACCGTCGGATGGACCAATTCCAGAAGCCCATTGGTTTGGATTCGGTTCGGGCCCGAATTCTGATTCACATGAGCGATGTGTGAATGTGGGTGACATGAAGGGCGGATCGTTGGTGGGGTGCAAAAGAGTTGAAGTCAGGTGCGAGCGAGTGGCCCGTTTTTGTAATCTAACATCCGTGCAAAACAACAGTTCTTTGGTAAAGACCATCAACCATATTAAAACAACATGGTTGTTGGAATCCCAGGGTTGATCCTCCCCCCATTACAACTCACTGAGCAAAGACTTCCGTAAAGAAGACGTACAGCTGTGACATGCTGTGCACCTCCACACCCAGAAGTTCCTTAGTCCATCCACAAAGTTCACATGCTGGGCGGTTGGGGAGCTGACTTTTCGATCCGAATCCTGCTGAATCAAAGACACCATGTCGTCTCATTGCTGCCATCAGGGCCGAACCCCTTCGTCCGGTGGTTTGGATGGACACCCCCGGTCCTCATCTCGGGCAGAGGACATGGACACCTCTTGCACGGATGGTCTTGGTGCCTGTACAGTTACCTTGGGGTTTACATGTGAGACATGTCATGAGACCGTCATGAGACATGTCATGAGACCGTCATGAGACCTTCAGGTCACATGGAAGTAGATGGCGGCCAGGCCCCGAGTTCGACCCTGCAAATCCTCTACAAACGCTACGTACAAATCACCCTAAGGATGTTACACCCTCAAAAACAAGGGTTTGGTTCGGGGCCCCAAACCCTTGTGAACTAGAGGGCTCGAACCCTTCTAAGGAGGGTGCGAACTCGGATCCTTAGGGGCCGTAGTTCTTTTTGCACTTCCATGTGCTAGGACGAAGAGGACCAGTCCAAACGGTCCGTTTTCCCTAGATGATCCGAAACACCCGAACACACAAATGGCCGCCGGTTTTCCTCGGGTCAGGGGTCCCCAGCTGAACCAATAGCTTTGGTTTTGAGGACCAAGCTAGGGTTGTAATTGGGAGGGTTTGGGTTCTGTCCAGACGCTCCAAACAGGCCGACTGGTCCCCTCAAAACCACAGGGATTGGTGAGAAGGTCCGGACCCCTGACCCGAGGATTCGGGTACGGCCCCTTCTTTTCGGGTCCAGGGTCCTTTGCGTCGGGGTGGTTTTCAGGAAGGCGCAAACCTTCTGGCCGATTTGCATCTTCGACTGGGCCGAAGACCATGAGATCTGGCGCCACATGGACGGAAATCACGTCCGCGGCCTGGTGCGGAAGACTGTCGTGGTGAGGCGCGGCGGTGCGGATGGCGAAGAAAAGATTTGTTGCTACCAGCACCGACACCGTGTAAGAGGTCTACAAATAGCCTTCTATTTGGAGGTTAACGGGTGTCCAAAAACCACCTGTTGGAAGGTCCTGGGTCCTGGTATGTGAATGTATGTGTTTCTTTTCGTCTAAGAGTCTTGAAGCGTTTGAAGTTAGCTTGAAATCTGGTGTTTGTTTCCTGTTTGTGGGTCAGAGTCATATAGTATAGCCTATAGTCTGTTTTTTGAGCTGAACCGTTGGTGTTGGTGGTCACTGTTTTTTGTGGAACCTGGGCAGCTTTCATTTCGCAAGTTGACCACCAACAATTGGTGAATGGGTTGGTACCTCCCTAGAAGTCTTGGCACCACCGAAGTGTTCAGGACATTCCTGGGGCAAAAGGGTCACAGACCATAAATGCATTTTATACCAGCACCCTCCAACAGGTGCTTCCTGGTAGCAACAGGTGCCCAGAAACCACCTGTCTCCAAACAGCTTGTTGGAGGGTCCTGGTACAGACCATAAATGCATTTTATATAGAATGGTGTTGGACTCCTAGGGGTATGGATTTGTGCGACAAGTTTACAAGACTCGAGGGTACCACCAAAGACCAGGCTCACCATGGAACGAAGGTGCACCAGTGCACCAGGAACGACATCCAAATGCGCCACGAACTCGGCGGATTTGGTGCAGACTCAAAGCTCTGTTTACCTCACTCCGACCAAAAGACCATGGCAGATTTATGTAGATTTTGATTTGTCTTTTTCCGTGCGTCGTAGACCAATCGAGTTGTTCTGCAGGAACAACGGGGCCCCTATGGATCCACATACCCTCTGAGAGGATGATTGGAGGGTTCAGTTGTACCTTCTCAGAAGCAGTGGATCCCTCGCGAACCATGAGAAAGACACTGTCGACATGAGGCATGTATCAAATTCTTACTCATGGGGCGAGTATCGGAGGTGCAGAAGGTATGTGGATCCCCAGGGTACACATTTCCAGGGCATTTTCCGACAGATCATAGATTCTCCCCCATGAATCCAAGAATTTTCGCAGTCGCCGAGTGAACGAGGCTCGACCATTCAACGAGTTCGGGAACGACCTGGTGTTGTAGTAGAAAAATCCTTAGTAGAACAATGCTCCAGCCTTCCAACCACCATTGATAAGGATTTTACATTTAACAAACCACGTCACGTCGGACTCCCAACGGAGGGTTGTTTGGTATAGACTCGACCAGGTCGACCCTGAAATCGGTGGTTGGGGAACACATATCAGAAGGATGACGGATTGCACTTATGCCGAGCACCTAATGGTACCGTGGTCGTGGTTTCAACAGGTCCATTGCCACGGTGGGAAACTACGACTACATCATGGACGTCAAGTTCCGAGACGATGGTCACCCGAAGCACCAGCCGTGTCGCGGGACGGTTGTCGGGTGTCGGGACGTGGTCGAAGACCACCAGCACCGACACCGGTTTTAGCTTGAGGTGTCATAAGGTGAGGTGAGGAAGGGGGTGTCCAAACAAGACCTGGCTTGGAAGGTCCTGGTAGCATGCATGTACATGCTCGAACTGTGAATGGACTGTTAAAGCATGGATGCATGGGCATGGGGCAAGTTCTGGCCAATTTTGGACCATGAACATGAACACCGGTGCTCTTAATCTCGCCAAGTGTCAAGAACTTGCATTAAAAAAACAGACACATCGGGTGAGGGTTCCAATGGCGGTCCGTTTTGGAAGGGTCCGTGGATCAGGTCCGGCGCGGACCAGTGGAGGTCCGGTCTCCTGCGTTCATGGGTCCAGCTCCCATCGATCCGGGCCACGTCCGAGCCGCGCCAACCACCACTGGGCCGAAGCTGAGAAGGCCTGCATTTGGGTGCCCAAAATCCTTGGTCAACCAGGACCCGACCCAGGACCGACCTGTTCGGGTCCTTTCCCTCACCGAGACGACCTGTTGGGACCTGTTGGACTCGCCCGATGTTCGAGGCGAGATCCACGTGGAGACGCGCTTTGCCGGATATCCCGAGACCCGCTTCCCGGGAAAGGGCGAAGAGGCCTTCTCCACTTTGGTGCCTTGGGTTTCGCTCTGCGTGGAGACGGGGAGCACCTCCATAGGGCACACCCTATTTGGGTGAGAGAGCCGGAAATGGACAGCGCCGCTGCGCCCTCTAAGATCGGTTCCTGATGACAAGCCCGGTGCTTTCGAAAGCAGTTGTTCGAGGAGCCCAAGAACCACCTGTACCTGTTGGAAGCTCCTGGTATGTGTGAAATAAATATATGAAAAACCCGATCAGGCCGGGGGTAGTTGAGTCAAGGGGCTAATGTAGGCACAGCCAGAGCCCTATTTTGTCCCAAGTCAGACTGGGATCATCCATCAGTCTCCAGGGTTGGGGCGTTTTTCGATGCTCAAAGAACCATGATTCATGATGGCCGAGGAAGAGTTAAGACCAGGGCATAGGCCTTTTTTCTTTTGGCTCAATCAGGGTGATTCTTAGTCTTCAGAACTGGGCCAATCCCTCGCCTGTGAAAAGGACACATTAAGACTTATTCTTTCTAGGCTCCTGGAGCAGCAAATCCAAGCAGCGCCCTTGGCGGATGGAAGGGCCGGATGGACCGGATGCCAGTTCGGCCGAGTCTGAGATGGAAGTCCAGTCCAGCACCACCCAGTTCGGGGGGTGATTTAATGACAAATACATCTTCAGGGCGGTCTATCAACCAGTGCGGGGTGGAGTGCCGACCGGCCCGTGAAAAGGCCAGATTCTGACAGATGCTTTTGGAGTCGCAAAAGGATCTTGTTACTTTTGCAGTCGATTTCAAGTCTGATTTTCAGTTGAGGCCCAGTTTTCGAGATGTCATGCCCACGGGACCTGAACTGGGTGGTGCTGGGTGAACGACTCTTTTTGGCACCACCAAAGTGTTCGGGACAAAAGGGTCATCTACCAGCTTCTTTTGTGGCTTCAAACCAGAGGATAAAAAGGTTACTTGGAGTATTTTGTCACCCCATCAAAACCATAGAGATACAATGATATAATGAGATATAGGGATTGGTTCGGGTCCTGACCTCTCCATACCTGGAACTTCCTCAGTGTTGTCTTTGATCTGCGGCGTGAAAACAACCTTTTGGAATTATATTATTTGAGTCTGCGATTGCCTGCGGAGGTTTCTCTAGTTTTCTGACTCAGAATCTGATATTCCACTGGCGCGCAAATACACAAACTATCACTATATACACGGGTGTTTATTGGTGAGCCACGGGCGTTTTACCCGAACGTGCTTTTTCTGCGGATGCTTATTTCGGTTGCGTATGTTAGTGTGGTTCACAGACCTATCATAAAACAAAAACGGTATGTTGAACTTCTGACCCCAACAAAGCAACCACAAGGTTGCCGGTATGAGGGTCCAATCCCTGCATATGAGGGTCCAGGGTCACGTCCAACCTGGCAGACCACCATCCGAACAGGTCACAGTCACACCGCTTTGTCACACCGCTTCGTTCGGCCTCGCGAGGTGCGTGATGGCGTGGCTGGAATCGTCCACACGCACAGTGTGGCGTGGAAAGCCGACATCGAAATCGCAGGCGGCGCGCGGTGCGTGTGAAAACACGCGACCGCTGGGCATCGTGGAGAGAAGATGGGGAGAAGATGGGGACGACGTTGCACGACGTCGGGGGGTGGATGCGAAGGAACCGGCACCTGGTGGGAGGTGCCCGGAATTGGCTTCGCCCGAACTCCCTATACGGGTTCAGGGAGATCCGACCGAACTCGTCCCATCCTCGACTCATCCTCGATGGTCGATCGATCTGAGAGGATCGAAGAATGCCTTGCACGTCACGGAGGTCCGGGAACACGCATCTGAAGGCCGGTGGGCTTGGCGAGGTTCGGCGTCGGGGGGGGTGAACTGAGGTCACCAGCGGGGGGGGGGCGAGGTGGCCAGCCGTGGGCTGGAACCTTTGAGAGAGAGTTTGACATGCTGTTTGCGCATTTTGGGCTGTTTGTGCATAAGAACATTACTGTAGGCATTTTTGAGGATTCAGCAGGACTTTTTGAGATGCTTTGAGACTTTTCTGAAAATTATGAAAGTATATTTTGATAGGTCACCATTGGTCCCAGCTCTAAATTCCCTAGGCTTTTGTATCAATATCGTACGCCAAGTCAGGAAGAGTGTCCACTGCTTTTGGACATCTACAAGCTGGGACTCCTGGCCAACCATTGTTTCAATGGTCTTTGCCAACCGACCAATTCACATCAACCAGGTGGATTTTGGACACCCCAAATCACCTCTATTCGAAGCTATTGATAGACACCTGTAGAGTCGGGTCCTGCACTAAGGATTTGTCACTAGAGAACCAGCACATGCCCCTTTTTTCTTTCACGGCCAGCACTTCCGCCTTCGCAGCTTCGCCGCGTCTCCGCTTCGCAGCGACCGCCCGTCGTCCGGAGTCGGAGTCGCCCGTCTGACCGAGCCGTTGCTGGACTGCACAGGGCTTGGTGTGGATTGGAAGGCCGATCCCAAGGAGCCCAGCTTCCCCACCAAGATCCTGCAACATCGCTACGTGGAGCGCGAAGGCGGTCGGTCCGCACAGCTGGACCCGTCGGGGCTCTCGCGGGTTTTTTGGGCGTGGAGTTGGAGACGGAGGTCGAGAGAGCCGTGACTCGGTGACTCTGTGCCACCCTGCTAGACCAGGAGACATGTCTATGAAACTTCGTGATCCGGGGTGTCCCAAAACCACCGGACGAACGGGGTTCGGTCCTGGTGTAAGACAAGAAGATCTCGGTTGACTTGGTGTTGCTTTGTGGTGTCTCCAACCCTTTGGGTTCTTCGGTTGCCCCACTGAAGTGTTCAGGAAGTTCCTGGGACCCCAGTCATCTAGACCTCATCAGACTATTCAAGACTGAAAGGCTGAAGTCCTGGACACCCAGAACTGCTTGGTGACATGAAAGTGCATTTTGCGGGAGACTTTTTTTCTCAAACCAAGCTAAGCAAACATAATATAGAACGGTTGAATCATTTGAATTGAGGTAAAAATTGCAGGTGCCTTCTCCAAGCTAGCATCTTAGGTTACCGTTTTTACATGTTTTAACTGTCTTCCAGCACCCTCCGACAGGTCACCAATTGAGACCTGTTAGGGTCCAACCACCCTCAACTAACAGCCTGTTGGAGCATGCTGGTTGTTTTTTCTTCCTAACTAACGAATCCTTGAGCCCTCCATAGTGAAGGTCTCGGACCCATAGTGAAGGTCTTGGACCCCCCCAAAAAACCCTTCCATTGGGAAGGAAGTCCAGATTCTTCGGGTTAAACGATATACCAACAGTTCCAAAGGAAGGGTTTTTGAGTCACTAAGTCCATCTAAGTCCTAAGTGAGTGGATAATGGGATCCCTTATTCTCCAATCATATACGCCACATCGACGCTCAGTCGCCGGTGAAATCCTCGGGTTTTTCCGACTATCCAAGAACAATCCCAAGGGTTTCCATACCACCCGCCCGACTAGAGTCGGGTGTCAACAGCCTGGAACGGGGGACACCCCGAGGGCTCGGAACTTCCTGGGGACCGGAAGGTGGTTTGGATACCCTGGGAGTCAAAGACTATAAAAAGAGTCTTTAGGTGACACGAGTCTAGGTCAACATATATAGTCGAACTGGACTTCTAGGATATACATGTTTTCACGGAGAATGTCGGGTTAGACGGTTAGACGAAGTCACATTCTGCAGTTCCGAGATTTGCCACGTGTTTTTTGGGTTGTCGCCGCTGTCTAAAGAAAGGTCGACCCTTCGTCCATCCTGCACCCCTTCGTCCTCCCTTATCCTCCTCCTGCAGGTGCCAACTCCACCTTCGTGGCCGACACGCCGCTCGAGTCGAAGAGGGGCGGTTTGGGCAGAGGGAGACTTGACTCGGATGACTCGAGTCCAGGAGCATCCGAGACCTGCCAGGGTGAAAGACGCACTATATGACCCTTTGGTCACTGTCCAGGAATTTCCTGACAACGCTTCGGTGGTGCCCCCCCACAATGGTCTTTCACTGGACTGGGGTCTTGTGTGGTCCTTCCAAGAGCCTTGGGAATGTTGAAGGTGAAACGGGATTCCGAACCATACCTGCATCCTGTTTGCACCACTTCTGCCGAACGTGCTGAGCTGGTTTGATCGCCGAAAAGGCACGTGCTGTTGCACAGAGGTCTATAGAGCACATCATATTCAACTTCTAGGATTTTTAGAAGTCCACGTCCAGTGGTTTCTGGGCACCGGACTTGTCACCAGGAAACACCTGCCCAGGAGGGTCCAGGTTGTGACATGATGTCACAAGACAACCTTCCAGGACCCTCCGTAAGGTTCGGCTGTTTGGAGAGCCGACCACAGGTGGTGAACCTGGACACCGGACTTGGCACCAGGAAACACCTGTGAAGTCGGGTGCATCTTTGGAGCAAGAACAGTTCATCGATCTTTTCCGAAGGCCTCTTGGTCTTCTTACACTGAGTCACCGCAGCGACCAGCGGCACTGGAGCTGACAAAAGCTGCAGCGGCACGGTGCTGTTGGAGCAGTAGAGGGTCCCCTGCACATAGGCATCTTGGGAGGGGCCACAAAAGGGTTTTCAGACCGATCCCCCCCCTCTCCCCCCTCCCAACCTTTGCACCCCCGCCACGTTGCCAGCCATCCATCCAACCACCGCGGTTGCCGAGGCATGTGCCGAAAGCTTGGGTCTCTGGGACTGGCACGTGACGGGTGGGTCCAGTTGGGTGCGGGTGGGCAGTCAGAGGTGCGAATGGTGCGAGGGGTGGTCAGCTTGGGCAGGTGCGAATGGTGCGAGGGCTGGCTGGAGAGTGTTCCGTTCTTTTTTCTTCCCACCAGTCTCCCTGAAAGCGCACTCGGCTGCTTTTGGTTTGTCTGGTCGCACAGCCGAGTGTCAGCCGGGCGTTGGTTTGTGTGGTGTCCTGGAATTCAGGGCAAGTTCAGGGTTTGATGGATTTGGAGGGCTCCAGACTCCAGCTGCTTCAAAACACGTCACCTGGCTGGACAACCCTATGCACCTAGAAGTCTCCAGACAGGACATCCATTGAAGCACTAGATAGGTTGATTTGAAGATGGATGATATCTGAAAAAGAAGTCATTTGTGGTGCCCCCAAAGATTTTGAGACCTAAGCCTACCTGGCAGCCTACCTGTTTCACACAAGAGGATTCCTTTCAATTTTCGTTGCCCTTACCACTGGAAAGGCCCAAACCCTCAGCGTCTGTCGAGGAGTCCAGTGAAGGAGTTCCCAAAGGCTCCACAAGACCTGGCCCTAGCATACTGTAGGGATCCAAGAAGGACTGGACCCTCCTGGCACCTACATCACAGCGTCTCCAAGTATGTGGATTCCTAGATTGACGAACCATGTACCTTGAGCACCCCACCGGTCTGGCGGAAAAGCTGACGCAGTACCTCAGTACCTGAGCACCCCGAGGGACCGTTGGTGGCCGAAAATGGAAGAGCTGACCCACCCAGACGCACCAAACAACCCGACCAGTCCCTCAAAAACATTCAAAAACCATACCAGCACCCGACTCTACAGGTCTCCTTTGGTCGGGAGATACAAACACCTGGCATTGCGTGGGAGGAAAAACAGATCCCAAAGCCTCCCCAGCCCAGCCGTGATCACCTCGCCAAGTTATCCCTGCATCACCTCTTGCGCCAAGCTTCACCTCGACGCCGAGGCGATTGTGAATCGAAACAGCTCGGTCTCCCGTGGCAGCCACAAGAATCCTCGTGTCTCGGAGCATTTTGGAATGGAGTAGCGGGTGGGGCAGCTGGTGTGGCTGGAGGTTGGACCACAAGCGATGGACCAAGTCTTGCAACGAGGCCAATCTTAGCTGACTATGACTCAGTCTATGACTCTTATATAAATGCTCCAAGAAAAGATAGGATTTCTGGATTATCTGCTGATTGATCAGTTCTGTACAAAAAACATCCAAAAACACAAACTGCCAGAGTTGATGATCCCCTGCCAGCACCTGACTCTACAGGTCATTGAAATGGAGGCTTTTGTAGTTCCCAAAAAGTCGCAGGTGGTGACCATTGGTGAATTGTTGGAGGCTCCTGGTATGGAACACATGTTGCATCAACAAATTGGGGTCAAACAGTGCTGCGAATGGCTCCTGTCCAAACCTATGCTGTACAAAAATAACAACACACATCTCCTGTCTGACATGCCTCGATGATCTTCTGCTTCTTCCAAGTTCTCCCGGTTCGGCCTGTGGCCCTACGCATGTCTTGCAGCCTCCTAGTTCGGACGAGCGGCACATTCCGCTCCTCCTTTTGTTCCGCCTCGACGGTTTGGCGGTCTAGATGAGCTTCGGCCCTACGACTCGGTCTAGGTCCTCAGAGAAGGTCACGCCAATTGATTTCATAGACAAACAAACAAACAAACCACCAGCACCCGACTTTACAGGTGTTTCCTAGTGCCAACAAACAGGTCAGTGTCTTCGGTTCACCACCTGTGGTCGGGTCTCCAAACAGCCGAACCGAACGGAGGGTCCTGGCAGTTGTGTTCTGTCATCTCAAAAGCATTCCTTGAAGCTGTTTTTTACAGACCTATGATCAGAACACCACAATAACACAAAAAAGGGCTACCAGCACCTTCAAAGGGGTCACCAATGGAAGCCCCTACACTACTAAGGTACCTCCATTGGAGTCCAGGTATGCTTTTCTTTGCTTTCTTGTTATTATGTGTTGTATCACCTGATTTTACCCCAGTCGTCGAAGCTCGGTGAAGTCTCTCTTGGTGAGAACCTGTGGCAGGCGGCCACCGCGTGGTCGCCCGTCAATCCCTCAAAACCATGAAAAACAACGGTTTTCACATACAAAAACCATGTCACATGTTTTTTGCTAGGGAACACTATAGGTTTTTGATGGATGGTGGGGCTTTTGGAACGTAGTAAATCTGCCAGTCCTGCAGTAAATCTGAGCTTTTCAAGCAAGACACGTTGACAGGCCCCTCAATCGCTGGATCGAGGTGGCTACAGGATCGAGTTGCTCTCCTTCGTCCATCGGTCAGCATCGGATTCTTTTTCCTTTCCGAGGCTCATGGACCCTGGACAGGTCAATGTTTGAGGTCCCAGACCCTAGTCGTGAAGGCCAAAGCCCTAGCAAACTCTGTCAGCGGATAGGATTGGTGTCCAAACCTCCCTGGATCTTCTCGTCAGAACTAAGTAGTGTAGAGTCTACCAGCACCCGAAAGTCTGCCAGGTCACCACCTACCACTTCAAGAATTTCTCCATTTTCAGCCACCGACGGAATTGGGGTGTTTCTCCTGTTTTTGTTGAATTTGGACGCCTCGTGTCTACTCGGTACGAGCTGGTTGGAGAGATGGGTTTTTTCCGGTGCTTTCGAGGCCTTGGGGACACGGAAGGTGAGATTGGAATCTCTACTCCGAGGACTTTGGACGTCCGACCACTCCCAGGGTTGCCGGGCAAACCTCCTGGTGGGTGAGACGTTTATAGGAAGCTATAGACTCCGAAGTATAGATAGAACCGTATTCCCACCAAGAATGTACACATTTGGACACCTTTTCTATCTACCAGCACTCGACTCTACAGGTCACCAATTGAGACCTGAGACAGGGTCCAACAACCCTCAACTAACAGCCTGGCCAGGAGGGTGCTGGTACTCATTTTCACTTAGACTTTTGTTGATCTATCATCCGGCATCAGGGTTGCTTCCGCGGGGACGCTGCTGCGAGGACGCTGGAGCGAAGGAGTCGGCGCCGGCTGGGGGGATATCCAGTTCGTCTCCACGAAAAAACGCGACCGGAGGGGGGAGCTACGTAGCTCATCCCATTCTCACCTCACCTCAGCTCCTCGACAAGGGCAACGCGTGTTGACGTGAACCGCGTCTCTGAGGCGACGGGTCAAGTGCATGGCGCCTCGCATCCCTTTGTGCGGGCCATGCCCTGGACGAAGTATCATTTGGCGGTCACCAAGTACCAGGCGCGGACGGACTCGACGACCCACATGAGAACGGGAGCTCCGTTCTCGGAACCATCTCCGGTGATGTCGTCCCACCTCCTCTACCAGCATCCTCCAGCCACGTGTCGTCCTCTAAAACCCTCGTGGTGGACGGTCGGATGGACGGTCGGATGGACACGTGACGTCGCCTTATGGGAACGACCATGGCTACTGGAGGGGAACGACCTGGTGTTGTAGTGAAAAATGTAAAGCAATGGTTGTTTGGGATGTTCCGGCTATTGAATTAATGGTGGGCCAGGAAGCCTAGGGCCTAGGGTTATATGGTGAGTATATGGCGAGTCATGGCACTTCCCCCAGCAAACCGTGGTGGAAGTTCACATCATATATAGGGAACATATTCATTTTCAGGGTCAACTTGGTCAACCAGTGTGCCGGGTTTGACCCACAGCCATATACCAAAACATCTTCAGCTGCTTTGGTGAGTTGATCACCCAGCTCGACGTGGTGTGTTGTCCCTGAGATGGACTCATTTCGTCCATCTCAGGATGTCGAAGATCGGTTAGTCATCACACTTTACTGGCGGCCGGGCCTTTGAAGTCGAAGACAGTACACTCCGACTCACTCACAGTTAGAAGTGGAAAAAAAAACACCCCCAGTTCATTAAAGGAAGGCCGTCTTGCAAGGGACCATGTTCCACTTCCATGTGATGTGTTCGTCAGAGTGTCTTTTTTTTTGGGTTTTACCGAGGCTTCCTCGGTGACCAGAGGTGACCTGTCGGAGGTGATGAGTACCTGACCTCGGATCGTCTATTCACTCACTGGGGCCTGTCGGACTAACGGACAGGATCCGCTTCACCCGCCCAGGGGAGAGCTTGAAAGCTTCAAACATGCTGAACTGGTATCAACCCTCGCCTTTCTTTCCTTGCCGCGGCTCAAAAAGAGCCCTGGCTGACCAGGACAACGAATACCGGCCTTCCTCACCCTATGTGAGGCTTTGCTTCATTAGTGCCGCTCTCGGGACATTTCCCGAGCTTTTCTACCCACCGATGAGAGATGAGGCTTTTTATTTAAAGGCATCCTTCAAACACTGTGTACTTGTTTCGCTGTCTCAACACTTAGTCATAGTCCAACTGCTTTGCCTGCAGTTGGAGCCATGGTGAGACACCTATAGAAAATTCCCGTCAACCTGCCGCTGCCGAGGAATTTTGATGGACTTCAGCCATTGACCGGCGCATATGCGCAGGATTTGGACGTCTTCTTGTCGAACAATGCTGCTGGGCCGCAGAGAGAGATTTGGACGGTTTCTGTGTTCATGATGGGACATCTCATCTGATCTCATGGATTATATAGAATTACACATATTGATGGACACAATGCGTCTAATGACTACAAACAAAAAGTCCAAGAATGGTCTGACTGGGCACCTGATTTCAGGACCGACCTCTAGTTCACAGAGGCAACAAATCGCCTGCCAGGTCTCCTCATGTCTCCTCTAGGTTTTGAAGGGCGTGCAGGTCGAACCCGACCGGTGACCTGGTGCCAGGTCTCCTCGTTCGAGGGGTGGTTGGGCCCGGAAACTAGTTAATAGGTCAAAAGCATTGGTGACCTGACAGGATGCTGGTGGTATGCTATATTGGCCATATAGTATTATATAGGGTGGATTGATGGATGATTCATAGGCTAATGGGGTGGTGGTATCAGCTGCCATCCTATGCAGTCCCATGAACCCAGCAGTCAGCTCGGTTCGTCTCTCCGTGTCACCGAGGACTCGCTTCTGGATGAAGACTTGGTCGCTTGGATCGGACTCAACAAGGAGTCCTCGCCTTCGTGGAGCGTCCGATCCGTCGAGAGTCGAGACCGGAGACGGTGGCGGATGAGACCCGTGGCGAGACGGTGGGGAGACGGTGTGAAGGCGAGTCGTAGTGGGTTGGGTTGGGAGATGAGAAGGGGATTGATCGACGGGAGTCTGGGGTGATATGATGGTGGACAGGTGATTGGAAGATTCAGGACAAGGAAAGGAACCGAATGGACAGGTGTGTACTATACTTGGCACATCAGGCCGTTATACCTTCCGGCAACGATTCCCCAAAGCACCGCTGTTGACATGTGGGACAGGCTCAGCAGCTGATAAAGAGAGCTGTGTCTCCCTGGAACTACAGCAGTCAGCTTTGAAGGTAAGAATAAAGTCCCCAGAGCTCCAACTACACTCCCTGAAATAAGAAGCAGAAGATCGCCCCGAAAGGATGACCATTTTCCTCTACATACAAGGGATTTTCCACTTCATGATTGTTGCAGGGAGTGTACCCCTGACCCTCCAAACCTATGTAGTCCAAACACCCATATTCTTAAGGTAGTTGGAGCCCCACAGATTAGCATGATGATCCATCTCAAGGATGATCCATCACCGAGATCCAGAACACCCCATCTGACCTTGTCAAGAATATCCGAAGGTAATCTCTCCTCCTCTCTCCTCTCTCCTCTCTCCTCTCTCCTCTCTCCTCTCCTCTCAGACTCTCCTAAGCTTATATGTGTTACTCGTCTTATGTATGGTGAGTCTGGAAGTCAGCCACGATCTCCAGATAGCTACGATCTGCTTGAAGATGGGTCAGTTGATCTCGACCGTGAGGTGTTCGACCTCTCTGGTAAACCTTCGCCGATGCGGAGACCCATCATAGTCTGAAATATGTCTAAAATCCATTGAAAAGGCATAGTTGTTCGATCAAAACCATGGTCAATCAATCCATATCAACAAATCATGGTGGGCGACTGGAAGCCAAACAGGTTGTGTGATGTCGACCTCAGAAAGCTCTGGGACCACTTGGACCTCTTCGAACCCTCCACCTCAAAAAGCCGGCTTCGGCGTTCGCCTCTTTTCAGACCTTGCGGGCTTGGTACCCAGACGCGGAAGCGCCGCAGCGGCTGCAGCGAAAGCAGGAGCACATCGTGCGGCAGGAGGATTTGCCCTTGGTCTCCAACTTCGGAGTCTCCTTCTCTTTGCAGCCCTGGAACTTCTTTGACCTCAACACAGCCTCCAATCCTCCCAGGGAGCTTTAGCCGAGTGAGCTTTAGCCTTTTTGTCCCCATGGCGAACGAAGTCGGCAACGTGTTTTGGGTCGACCTTGAGGTTCAATGCATGTGAAGTCCATGAAGGTTTCGAGGGTTGGTTCTAGCAAACCAATGGTTGGATGGAACATCTCATTTGATCTCATCTAATTAAATACATCATTACACATATCGATTCATTTGCAATTATAAAATATCATAAGAGACACCAAATATTAATAGACGTAATGCCCAGTCGTCTATTTAACACATGGTTTGACTGGGTAAGCCAAGTCCAGGAACTTCCTGAGCACTTCGGCAAACTAGAGTCTTCCACTGGCCTTCTAGTGGTTTGGCTACAATGGGCAGCTAGTTAAAACGGTTATAATGGGCTGTCGAGTTCGAGGTTCTACCTCGATTATGTTTGCTGTGTAGATTCGCTATATGATTCACCAACCTCCTTTTGACTCGATGGTCAGCTTGCGGGAATGATTCTTAACGAGGTCGGACCTCGTTGAAGTAGCTCGGTGATGTTGGGCACGTGCGGCGATTTGTTCTCTTCCATCGTCGATCGTGCTTACACATCTCCAGTTGCAAGTGGGATGCGTGGATTGGGTTTAAAACTAGCTGCAGCTACAGAACCTTTTAGGAGCACTTCCGCGTTCGAACGAAGATTTCCACGAAAAGCCCTTTAGGAGTCTGAGGCAACAGCAAACAAGTTGAGATTCACATGTCTTATGGTTGCAGGAAAGTCCTGTTTTTGAAAGGCTCGACAGAGGCCCTACCTTTTTCAGCCACCCAACTGAGTCACAACAAGTTCCGCAATATATCAACACTCTCTTTGGGCCTGGGCTTTGAGCGCCTTTTGAACCGAGGTTTCTCTTTGTTTTTCCACCGTGTTCCACCGTCAAAGCGGTCAGATCTTCAGCACACGGGTCAGATCGTCGTCCAGGTGGTGGAAGAAGGGTGGGCAAGACCTGCAGTCCCTTAGGCGGTCGACCTGCAGCTTCACCTGTCTTCCCTGTCATTTCAGCAAGGTACATCTAAAGTCAGACAGAAGATGGAACATGTGGAACATTCCACAGATACAGACTCATGTTCCTTAAAGGTTTCAGACATCTAGTGGCGGAGGGAACGACCGCAGTCCGTGTAGCCTTCAGATCCCTCGACCGGCAGCGACTTTGATGTATCCCACTTGCACTTGGTGATGCGACAGCGGTGGGCAGCGCTGCTCAGCCGTTCTCTCTCTCTCGCCCGACTTACACCGCGTTTTCCGCGAACAGGGCGGCAGCGTCCACGCGATGCGTGTGGGCAGGATGTTAATATGGGCGGCCGGCCCTGGAACCTGAAGCTTTGTGGGCACCTGCCGCACTGGACCGAAGTCACCGAATCATGTGCTGGACCGAAATGTTCTTCACTTTCTATACACCTAGACATGAGAAGTTAGAAGTCCAGTATGCCATCATTTCGGGAGAAGTGGGTGTGACTTTGGCCTATAATGGCCATTGGAGCTTGCTGCACCCAGCCCGGAGCAGAGAAGGAGATGAGCAGCCAGCGAGTTTTGGACAAAAGGGTCATTGAGTCAGATCATTTTCTCCAACAGTCTTGGACTCCTTCCCCACCGGTTCAGAGAATCTCTAGACAAAAGGGTCACCTTGTCAGACCCGTTCAAAAGGATTCTTGTCCTGGGCTCCCAATGGCTCGGCATCGGACCAGTGCTCCGCAAAGACACACACCGCAAGCCTGGGGTTCCAACCACCATTGTTGTAATACGTTTTAAATGGTTTGAATTCCAAAGGACCATTGTTTTACCACGGATTTTAGACTACAAAGACTGGTCAACGGTTAGGGCCAGCGGATTTCTTCCGGTCCGTCAAAGTACCGGAAAGATACTTCTGCACACCTGAAAGCAGGGTTCACCTTGTATTGACCTGCAGCCGATGCAGCCACAATCAAATCACAGCCGATGCTTCCCAATGGACACCTCATGACACCTCTAAGGAGTTGGTATCCAATGTTGCCCCTTTTATCGGGGTATGTCCCATTTTCTAGGGTACTTTGGAGGGTACCAGTAGTTCAAAAACAGTTGGAATCCGTGTTGCGCAAAACCCATTGGATTCCGTGAACATCGTTAATGGCAAATTTTGCATTGTAAAGAAAACGCGAGTTGAAATTGGAATTGGATATGCTAGCTGCTAACTCGTTGTCAGATCCTTTTGGTAAAGGGGGTGTGGCAGATGATGTTGTTTGCCCTTCTCCAGGTGGTAAAGCCCTGTTGTCATCTGTTCGACCATTGAAAGAGCTTGGGGGACCGGGTCTTGTTGTGTAATATTCCTTGCAAAACAGCTGGCTCTTGGGCAAAAACATGCAAAAACTATTAAAACCATGGTGGGCCACCAGAACCTATCCGGGAGAGGATACCTTTTGCAAGAGACCTTCTTCCAGCCTCTCAAGAGTTCTTCAGAGTTCCAGGGCTGCCCGCGCTTGCGAGCTTCACGGCCGCGCATACCTGTGAAAGGCGACGCTTTAAAAGAATTGCCATGGTGAGCATGGTGATACTAAGGCTAAGTTGAGGGTGTATGAAGAACCATTGGCCAAAGTCAACGGTGGTCATCCACGTTTCCTGTAGATGTTCCCTGGGTTTTTGGTGGATTTTACCTTCGATCCGTTTGGAACAGCTCAGTTTGGATGCCAACTGCCCATCTACTCCACTCCAACCAGCCTGGATGCCACCCCACAGATGCGACCAGTCCAGTCTCCTGGTCTTGTCTCAAGCGAACCAAACCGAATGGCTGGTCTTGTCGTGGCTCAACTCCAGTCAGATATGAGGCCTGTTCCTGCACAAAAACCGGTTTCATGTTTCGTTGTGTTTTGGTATGATCAACTCCAGTATGTCATATATGATGTCTGTTCCTGTAGGCTCGTAGGCTAGTAACTAGGGGAAATTCGTGGCCCCTCCCTGTGTGTCTTTCGAATGTTTCTGTACTACCCAAACGGTCCACACAAGCCGACCAGTCTCTCAATACCATGGGGAGATCACCCCATGACCAACTCACCAAGTGACCACAGACCTGATGTTTTGTTCTCACTTGCCGACCTGATGCTGTCAGAACTGGGGCAATGCGGCTGTGAATAGGGAGACCTCCCAGGCCACACGCGCCCAAGGAAAGAAGAGGAATAGACCAGTCTCATTGGGTCTCGGGGTCTCCCATGTGAGAAATACACACAGAAGTGGGATTTGCGCAGGTGATGGGTGGAGCCAAGGACTGTTAAGGACTTGTTAAATGTTAGGACTTTTGCACCGTGCCCACCATCCCAGGCACCGGTCGCGGGTCCGGCGTACGCGTGTCCCGCCGGTCACCACGAGCCAGGCCGCCGTGCGGTGGGCCACCTCGGGGACCGTGGAGAAGGCTGGCAGTATTCCAGGCCGGGAGGACCCTGCCGGGAGGATCCGGTGGGACCTGGACCGGCGCCGTTCCTCGGGTTGTTGGGAGGGGGTTCGAGACCCTGATAAAAGAACCTCCCGCTCCCTCAAGCAAATTGTATATTTAGGGTTGGGTTCGGGGCCCGTTTGACCCCTACGAAGGCTGTCCCGCTCGGAGCAATGAAAAAGGCTGTTGGACGACAGCAAACACCGGTGGCAAGTGATCGAGCGCGACGGGCTCGTGGATCGAGTTCTTTATCAAGTACCAAGTACATCCTGGAACGAAGTGACAGCAACGACCCGCGACGGTATGTTACAGATGTTCTGAAGAACGTTCAGGTATGAAGACAGACAGGTCGGTCTTGCTCAACTGGCCCTTGACCACAACGGGGCATGTTCCATCAGGGTGTTTGCTGTTGGTGCATTCAAGGATCGCGACGAGGCGATGGGCCACTGGATGACAACGATGTTTGCCAAAGCGTCATAGCCAAGGCGTTCAGGGGGTATTCAGGGCGTCAGTGCAACCTCAAAGCGAAGCCCAAGCTCTCGTCACGGTCGTCACGCCCACTGCAAGAGTGCAGCCGTTCCAACATTGTCTATACCTAAGACACTTGCGTTGGCGGCAAACATCAACATGAAGGTCGCAGAAACATCAAGGTCGCCCACCGTCACGTCACTTCTTGAGGACATACTCACTCGCTTTTGTCGCTGCCGTACGGAGAAGTGAAGGCTGAGGAATGCCGCAGAAATCATGAGTGTTATCCTGATCTTGCTGAGGAGGGGCACATGTTCGCCCAGGCCGTCAACTCCAGCATTAAGCTGGAGTTGAAAGACCTTGATTGAGTGGGCCTTGCCCCCCAACTTGGTGAACTGCACATCGACTGGAAGTCTACGACCCGCAAGGAGTTGCTTGAGCATCATAAACAGATGTGTCTGAGCAAGAGGCATTGGACATTGGTATCTTGACTAAAACTAAGAAGAAGAAGAAGAAGAAGACGAAGCCAGTGGCCAAGGCACTCCAAGAACGTCACAGGTTCCTCTCCCACCAGGTCTGTAAGTGCCAAAGCCAAGCTGGGTCGATCGGCGAAGAGAAGCAGCAGCTTGCGAATTGGATCCTGAAGAAGCGAGGTCGCCAAGAACCAAGGCTTCATCGAATTGCACACAGGCTTCACCTGAAAATGAATTCTGCGCAACAAACCTCTTACAGGTCTTGGAATGGAAGCATTCGTGTGGCTACTCCAAGGGGTAGTTTCAAACCTGATGAAGCTTGGATTTATTTGTGATTGATATGGTCAGATCCCCCCAAAGTCCCTCAAAGAATCCGCATCCTTTGTCGGAACCCCTTTGAATCTAATGGAAATGGACATACCGTAGATATCCGTAGACAACAGGTCTCCTCTGGAGGCTTTTTGCAGACTCAAAGTCGCAGGCGGTGACCTGTTGGAGGGTCCGGTACATGACAATACTAATTAACTATAATACTAGGTATACCAGGAGTCACAAACGGGGGCCGAACTTGGAGGATAGGGGTGCCTATGATCAATTTCAATTATAAGGGACTAGTTTTTTGTGACTCCTGGTACCACTATTGATTGATTACAAATCATCATTGGTCACATCATTAGGGTCTCAGGTCTCGCTTTGGCATCCAAATCGACCGACGACCGTCCTCTGTCTCAGGCACCTGGTGGACCGCCGGGAGATCCGCGTGCTCGGAGGGCATGGCGGACCTGGGAGCTGCGCGTACAAGAGACACGCCAAGCGCCTCGGTCGGTTCACGGTGAGGAGGAGCTAGCTTGCTGGAGCTAGCTTGCTGGAGGTTTGGTTGTTTTTCACCTCCAACAAGGGGAGGTTTTGCAGAAGGTATACCTTTTGGAGATGGGTGAAGTAGGTAGGTTTATTGGGAGGGCAGATTTTACATTTTCACAAAAGCCAGCTGATAGGCCAGCTGAATATATTTTCTGCGAACGAAGTGAATCTTGGGGTAAAGTGGATGTAAACTGCGTTTGCGTGCTGGTGTTGGCTTTGCCCAGGAGCTGATTTTTTTGTGGTTGGTGATGCAGAAGATGTAAGGTAAAGTTAATGTGCATCATTTGCATCAGCAACCTAAGTGGGAACTGCCCAGCCAGCCGTCTCCTCTCCTCGCCTGCCCTCTTCTGTCCTCTGTGTATTGAATGTCGGCCCTTTTGGCATCCATTTCGGACGTCGGAGAGGGGAGCCGTTTCCTTTGCGGGGGGACTCTCTGCACTTCCACAGGTGTGTGATTGATGTAGCAGTACAAAGATACACAGTGAATGTTGCAGGTTCAACCCCAGCGTGGAGGAGCCGGGCTTTTGGAGTCTGTTCCATCCCAACTTGGAGCTTCAGCAAAGTCTTGTGGATCTTGGCGAACCTAATCCACCTCACAAAGGGCTTTTGAGCTCACCCTGAACTTGTTTCGGGGGTTGGTTGCTTGGTCATACCTATTGAACATCAACCTTTGAAGTTACTTAGGATTTTTTGGTTCGTGAGCGCAAAAGACGAGTTGACATTTTGGTCCAATTTCACCGGCAGCATTGCGACAAAAATGGATGTTGCACCTGGGGTCTCATGTATCATTGGCCGCTCCAAACATAACATTATTCTGGGGTTCCCCCAGAGCTTCCATACATCTCGAATGGTTGGGATAGAACTTGTGCGGCCAGAGGGTTGCAGCTTTGCCACCAACGACAGTGCTAATCGTGATCTCCCCCCCGGTGACGCTTCTGGGAAAAGACACATGGACTCCTCTCAGAAAAGGGTTTGTTGGAACGAAGATGTTCCGCTGGGGATGGTTTGGCTATTTCTATGTCCCTGGGGCTCCAAGTACCTTCTAAGAAGGTTTTTGTGGTGGGTTTAGAGGGTCCAAATACCTTCTGAGGAGGTACTTGGAGCCCTAGGGTGTGTGTTTGTGGTTCCCAGTAACTAAATGTAAGGAACCAGGACTTCTACTATGTCTGTGGTTTGAGTCGAACTGGAACCACTGGTTACCAGTTATACAAAGTGGTCCCCAAATAGTAGTCGTGGCAGGGTTTCCAATACATGTTGAGTGGAGATCTACGAACTTCTATCTATTTGATTCTATTTGGGGGTCCAAAAAGGGTCATTGTGTAACTGCCCGGATTCCGATCCCCTGAATTCTGTCCATCCTTCCCCCGAGGCACAAGATGCGCCCTGGCCACCCGAAAAACGCGACGCGTGTGAGGGGGTGTGGGGCTTTGGGATATCTCCCAGCAGTTTTTTGAGATGCACGAAACTGCGAAACAGTGTGGGCATAGTCTGGAACTTGCTTCAAGTACCCTAGAAAATGGGACATGATCCGAACATATCCGAACCAAAAGACAGACAGGTAGACGATCTGTACCCATTTTCCGAGGTATAAACGGAGGGTCCCGGGAGTTGGCTAGTAGCCCTTTTGTTCATGTTGCATTTTGTGGCGCCAATCACTTTCAGCAAACAAAATTGCTATATATAGCTATCACCTACTACCCAAGCTCACTTTGGGTCCAGTACCCTGGACTCCAGTCGATAATCGAAAACTTTCAAAGACAGGAGCGGGCTATACAAGCACTTCAACAGGTCACCACCCGCCACTTGTATATAAGTCTCTAAAAGCCACCAGAGGAGACCTGTTGGGTGCTGGTAGAGGATCCTTTTGCCCAGGAATTTCCTGAACCCTTCGGTGGGGACAACTAGTCAGACGGGTGTATCTTCGATGCATGAGACAAGACACTTTTTGCTGGAAAAAGATCGTCCCAGTCCAAAGTCTCTTCGCCTCTCGTAACACAAAAGCTGAAGAAACATCGTCCGCGACCCGTCGTCCGGGGACCGCGGTGTCCGTCGGAGTGCATCGGGGTGGGTTCCCCAGACGGAGACAACACATGGCGCGATTGGAAGCCACCCGCCAATCATCATGAACATCCAGTTCACACTCAACCACTAGGCACCCGCCAATCATTACCTGCCACGTCTCCAAGTTTCCAAAAACCACCAGAGGAGACCTGTTGGAGGGCTGGGGATTGGTCAGTTCGGTGTTTTCGTACAGAACTGACCCACAGATCAAGCAGAAATCCAAGCGTGCCACATGACTACATGCAATCCCTACCTTTTTACGCAAGCAGCGTGCCAGGGAGATCATGATTTTTGCTTTCTCAAGGTCCTTACTATAACATGAGTCTTGCTTTGTCATACCCGATGTGGTTTTACAGCATCCGAGTCGTTCATCTCCGCCGCCTTCCGAAAAAGCATTGAGTCGACCGCCGTTTGTTTCAGGATTGGCCCTGGTTTTCCCTGCGGAGGCAGTGGCGGCGTCCTGGCTGTCTTGGTGTTTCCCTAGGCTGCCAAAGCACCATTCTGGACTACCGTAATGGTTAGTTTGTAAGGTTGTGCCGAATAACATTGTTTTACTCTCGCGCAAGGCGCAAAGAACATGTTTGGACTAGTCTGACACGAGATGTTGGGGGGCGACTGTCGATTAAGAGATGACAAGGTCTAAGCCAGGACCATCCTCACTGCCAGGTCGCCAATTGAGACCTGTTAAGGCCCATGCTGGCAGGACCATCCTGGGCATGGGTGTACTGTCTACCTCTACCCCATATACTACTATCCGGGATCTCCAGCCAGGACACCCATGTCCAGGATACGCCATTGGAAGGTTTCAACTGATTGGATGGAAATGTTTGGACAGCCTCTTTGCGTGGATGGGGATGGTATCGATAAGGTTTCGGTCTAGGTCACCTACCAGGACCCTGTGAGGGTGGTTCATGGACACCCCGAATCCTCTTTTTGGGGGAAAATATCGACAGTTGGAGCCGTGGATGGGTCCTGCCGCTCCAAACAACCCTTGGTCCCACCAAACGATAGGGATTGGTTTGGGTCACCCCGCCATCCCCGAAAAAATCCGAAAAATCTTCTGGGTCCAGGAGTCTTCCGGGTTCAGGGGCGATGACTCCAGGCGAGGCTTTTCAGGAGAAGGGAGGGAACGTAGAAAATGATCCCGGCAGACTCCAAACACTGTGTCTATGGAGGTCTAAGGCCTTAAACTATTCCCATACGACCCCCTAGTGTGCCCACACTGTTTGGGGAAGAACGGCAGTCGGCCACTGGAGCTTCTTTTGCGACCCCGGCTCGACCTCTTGGCAGGGGTCGGACCCTCCGCCTTCGCAGGGGTGACCCTCAAAACCGGTTGGAGAAGGGTGCGGATTCTGATCAATCACTTGGAAGGTGGTCTAGAGATGTCTACCAGCACCCTCCTGGCCATATGAAGGTTGGACCCTGTCTCAGGTCGAACCATTGGTGACCAGAGTCGGGTCCTGGTATAGGCCATTCATGTGCAGGTCTTTCAGACTTGACCACAAAACACACAAGAACGCCACACGAGAACGCGCGCCTCCGTCGGATAGGTCGGTCACTTCAAAGACCTGGAATTCACCGGCCACTTTTGGGTCGTCTCTCTATCAGCCAGCATACAACGGGAGACCATGACATCGAGTCGGATACTGGTTAACCGATGTTAACCGATTGATCCATACCTGGATCTTCCAACTGTGCAAAATTTATGCCTTTTCATGTTCATCCATAAACGTCAGCAAAAAGGCAGACATGTGGCATAGTTGGCAGATCCAGGTATGCATATGCATATATTATACATATTCACCGATCCCATATTATTGATCCCATGTCTTGAGGGCACGACCTTCGATCGCACGAAGCACGCCTTACATCGAAGCCTCCATGTGCCTCCCAAGGTCGTGGCGGCGATGTCATTGTGGAGGCGCCCAGCCTGCAAAGTCGTGGGTTGGACTGGTGCACCAGTTGATGCCCTGGACCCCTTGCCTCTACTATAACCTCTATACCGATAGAACTAGAGCTAAGATACCTGGAACTCTATATGCCTCCAGACACCTGGAACTTCCAACGATGTAAAAGCTCTGCCTCAACCGGCTGGTTTGATCGATGAACAGGCAGAACCACTCTGCACACAGAGGCAGATCCCGGATGGTCCGGCCTCGGAACGGCCGACCTCGCGCCAGGTCGGAGACGACTCAAATGGGTTGGTGATTCCCCGACTCAACAGGTCTCCGAAATGGAGTGTTGGGAAGGGCCCTGTCTCAGGTTTCAATTGGTGACCTGTAGAGTCGGGTGCTGGTATAGAGGTCCAAAGATGATAGTGCATTCATCGAGAGTAGATGGCACAATGATGGAAAATGTGGCCAGCACAGCCAATGGTTCGAACCAGTGGTTTCAGCGTAGATGGCACAGGTGTCCAAGTTTGTTGTCTAATATGGATACCATTTTTTGATTTTTTCAAGAAATCTTAGGGTGCCAGTGCCATCAACTCTGAAACCAATGTATATACCAGCACCCTCCAACAGGTCACCACCTGCCATTTTTAAGTCTGCAAAAGCCACCAAACGAGACCTGTTGGAAGGTGCTATGCTGTATATTTTGCTCCACTGAAGTAAAGGAAGTTCCTCTTCTGGTCACCAAGTCAGACCATTTTTAGAATAGTCTTGAACTACACGGTCCACCGCCGAAGAGGGTTTGACTTCCACACCCTTCGTTCCATTTGGATGGTGCCTTGCCAAAGTCCTTATCCACCTAGACGCGACGGAACCCTGGACCCTCCGTGAGTGAAAACTAGGGGCCGGACCCGGTTTTCCTCCGGTCAGGGGTCCGGATCCTCAAATCCTGGGGGATTGGAGGCCGTGTCTTGCGAAAATCCGCCGAAACAGCCAGTTTGGGTCGGAACAGGGGGGCTTCATGGGGCATTTCGCGTCAAACACAGGAGATATAGAGGAAACCCGAGGGGGGGGGGGACGCCGAAAAGCACTGGGCCGAACACCGCTGCGGAGGCCGGAGGTTCGTTCTTCAGCCTGGCGCATTTGGATGGACACGTGGAGGCGGGGGATGGCGCCTTGGCCGGCCTTGGATCGCCAGGTCACCCTTTGGGCGGGGAACATGGGTTGAATTATAAGGTTTATACAAGAAAGTAACTTTTGTCTTTTTTGGGGGGGCATGTATGTTTAACAGAATTCTAATCAATTCGATTCACTCTTTTTCAGTTTCACCCGAGAATTGGCCGAGAATTCCGGTTGATTGGCTGGTCGCGAAAGGACAGGTTTCAGTTTCAGTCTGCTGTAAACATCAACGACAGTTCGGTGAACTGATCTCCTGAGTCCGTGGGGAATCCATGGCTGTGGCAATCCATCTCTCCTTTGTTCGCATCATTCCTTGGAGTCCAACGACCATGGTTTTAATGGCCTTTACTTAAAGAACTATATTAGTCTATATTGTTTTACCGCCTAGGCCTAGGATTTGAGACTCCAAAAACAGGTCTGTCCCACTCTTTGAATAGTCGAACTGAAGGCTAGGGTCATGGTAGCCTGGTAGACCTTGTTTACACTCTTTCTCTTCGGTTCTCCTCTCTCAACCCGAAGATGGCGGCAGCACCAGGCCCTTTCTCTTCGTGTCCGTCATGGTCTACTTCCGATCCCTCAAAACCTTTTGTGGGATTGGTGAGAACCCCCCCCCAGACCCCTCCAGTCCGGATTCGGGTTCCCAACGAAATCGGAGGGTTCATGACCCAGAAAGACCAAAAAGGCATCAACCCATCTATAGAGGTCTACAAGTCAGGAACGGACCTCATTTGACTGGAGTTGATCATACAAAAATCGCTACTCTCAAGAGGTTTAGGCCTCAAGAAGTCGCAGCCAGTGTCTGAGAAGTCGCACCTCAACTTCAGCGTGAAATCGACTTGCCAAAATGGATTTTCCTTGAGATGTCCTCTTTCCTCACTTGCGGCCAGGGACAACAGCCTCAAGGAGCCAACCCCTAGGCTTCCAACCACCATCGATTTAATAGCCTGAATCCTGAACCACCATCGTTTCACGAAGACAATTTACACCACAAAACTTGGTCAGCCATTTTGTTTTTTTTGAACATGGTCTTGGAAAAGGCTAGTCTAGGGCAACTGTTCTTGGTTGCTTTCAGCAAGCTTCTGCTGAGGAATGGCTGGCAAGAAGGGCAATTTGAACGGAGAAAGCGGTCCCTTGGGCTTCTCAGAGCCGGCAAGGGATGTCCTCAAGAAGATCCACCGACACCGACCTGTTTTGTTTGGTTTCATCCTTAGCCTGATTGGCCCTGCTGGCCAGGGAGCGGAGACGTTTTTGTTCATCCAGCTCGAGAGATCAAGGATCATCAAGGGTAGCAAGGTCGTCCAAAGCACCGAATCTGTCGTTCGGAACTCCTGGCATTCATGAGTTTTCATATCCCAAACACTCCAAACAGGCCAACCGGTCCCTCAAAACCATAGGCCATAGGTCCTGCGCTCCGAATACTCGAGGAAAACCGGGATCCGGCCCCTATGGAGGGTTGAGGGTCCTTCGCGTCTGGGCAAATCCTCGACCTCCATCGGTTCCAGCTGACCAATCCAACCAAAAGAATGCATTTTCGCCGCGCCGTAGTTCGAAGAACCCAACCCCTTCTGGCTCGGTTCGAAGACTTTTATGCCTTTTTCAAGGTCCTTTTGAGTCTTTAAATTTGGTCATGAGTTCCAGGCCGGACTCACTCATCAGGGACCTTCCCGTTCGACCATGTTTAAATTGAGAAAGACCTATATAAATTTTTTCTGCAGTCTAAAATCCTTAGTACAGTAAGTAAAACGATAGTTCATTGGTAAGAGACCATTAAAACGATGGTGGTTGGACTCCCAGGGTGGGCGAATCCCCTTCCAGGACCTTCAAAGTGAGCGTCCTGGGTCTCCCCAAAGGGCCTTGATTTTCGGTGGGAGACACCTGGTGACCTGGTCAGCAACGTCTCAGGTCCAACCTGGAGAATACCCTCCTGCATACCTAGCTCTTCTAACGGTGCAGAATTTCTGCCTTTCATTTTCATCTATAGAACTAGCCAAAAGGTATAAATTCTGCACCGTTTGATGATCTAGGTATTAACATGGATCCCCAAAACCACGTCGGTTAGTCTTCGAAAAGTTGGTCGGTCGAAACGTCCGGTTGAATTCTCAGGGTCCATGGAGCATGGTCTCGTTAGCAGCAAGGGTACCGTTGTCGTGTTTTTTTCCCCAATCTTCCAAGAGGCCACTGGGAAGTCTTCCAATGGCTTGAGCAAAGTGAAAAACCAACAAACGGACGACACCCGGACCCATAAACCCTGGTAGATGGACCATGTCTCGTAGTCTATTCTGTTCATAGGCTCGGTGGGGAAAGACCCATGGTCCCCCCGGTGCCATGACCCGTTGACCCACAGAACTCCATCTTCCAACAGAAATCAATCCCAGAACTCCACTCACACTCACTCTCACTCTCACTCACACTCACTCACCCACCCACCCACCCACCCAGAACTCCACTCCTCCCACCCTTCGCATGGCGCCCATAGATTCACCGCGATTCTGAGGTCGTAACAGCAAGATTCTGGTGCCGCGCGGTACGATGGTGCGCGAGCTCTCCGGTGTTTTGGGCCACTTGGACAAGGGCTGGAGACTTCTTGGGATGGTTCAACAGGTTCAACACATTCCCCCCCAAAAAGGTGAAGTTGTATATGTTAATTGATTAAGTCGAGTTCCATTCTATTTCCATTCTTATAATATGTCTTGTTTGGTGCAACGTTTGTGTCAGGATGGTGTTTTCATGGTCTACCGCCCACATACCGAAGATATGGAAGGAACGGAGTCAAGAAGCGTTGACGTTGATGACAGTTGGGTGGAACTTGCAGTTCTGGATGGTCTCCTCAGAAGGGTCCTGGCAAGGCAACCACTTTGAGACTGCGTATCAGGCGGCCGTATCGTTGCGTCATGCGTGGTAGAACTGAAAAAGGAGCCTAGTGCTGGCAGCGTAGAAAGTGCTGACCGTGACAACTGGAGACAGAATCCTGGTACTCTATATCAGGGTTATCAGGGCCCCCTTAGGGGGCCCTGGTATACAAAGATCTACAATCCACTGTTAACGAAGAAATTCCTAGGCCTCCAACTTGGTCGACATGAGCAGACTGAGGAGAAGAAGAAACAGAGGAATTGGCCGACTTGAACCAGTTGGGCGATTCCATTGTGGTGGCCAAGGGTGGACGTGGTGGTATGGGTGCCGTGGTGTTGTTGGAGACACGCGGGGGGCGAACGTCCGCGGGGCGCGGGTCTCCGCGTGCCTTGCTTAGCTTCGATGCCTTCGATGCTTTGAACCGACCCAGCGGATTCAGGCAGGTACCACTTTTTGTTGGACCTTTAAAATAGATATACAGCTGTACAGCTGTACTGTAAAAGTAGAATCCAGTAGATTCCCACTCAACATGTATTGGATACCGACAATATGTTACCCGGCTGAAGTCCAGTTCGACGATATGTTGACCGGCTGAAGTAAAGGATCTTCCTGGACAAAAGGTCACCTAGTCCGACCATTCTTTAGAGTCTTTGACCCTCAGGGGATATGCTGTACTGTAAAAGTAGAATAAAGTAGATCCCCACTCAACATGTATTGGAAACCGTGCCAGTATCTATTTGGGGACCACACTGAGAGTCCCAGTGGTGGAAAAATTCGACCATCTGCAGGAACGAAGGCCGAAAGCCTGGTTCCTTATGTAGACGTGGCAACTGACCGGCTCCGGGGCAGAAAACACCGGTATCCTCACTGCCAGGTCTCCTAGTGGGAGGGTGGGAAGGGCCCTACTAGGTCTCAATTTGGTGACCTGGCGAAGAGGCTGGCAGATGAAGAATCAAGCATTAACATGACAAGTTCAGGATCCATCGAAACCTCAAACACGACCATGTCATCTCATGTCCACTGAAAAAGGTTAAGTTTTTTGAAACCTTGCAAGATCACTGAAAATAACAGCTTCCTTCCATTCCATTGCACTGGCGCCCAGACCTGAGGCAACAACATGGCCCGGCCGCACGAGTCCTCCGAGGGTCAACCGGGCGACGATCGACGCATCGAGCTGGAGTTGAAGACCGTGGCGGACGTGGGCTTGGCCGCTTCGCGGATGTCGTGGGACCGTGGGGGAGAGATCTGGAAAGCATGGCTACCAGCACCGGAGCTTCCGTTCGAGGTCTTTGTCAATCGCCTCTGTCTGAGGTGTTTGTCAATCGCGGGTGTCCGAAAAGCACCGGTGGCGAACGGGGTTCGGTCCTGGTAGATCCCAGGGCAACGGGACGGAAGGGCACGTAATATAAACCATCCGATGGTTATGGATTATAACCCCTAGGGCTCCAAGTACCTCCTCAGAAGGTGTTTGGACTCTCCAAACCCACCCCAAACACCTTCTCAGAAGGTACTTGGAGCCCTAGGGAACATTTAGAACCCTATACCGTATACCATCAAAAGAAAGGTTGACCTGGTGTCATAGTCAAGAAGCCGCAGTAAAACAATCGGTGGGTTCTTCACCCTGAACGCCCTGGTGCTTGGACGCCGACCGCTCGCTGGTGCAGGTGACCTGGTGAACCGGTCGGGTCTTTCGGTCTGGCGACACGGTCAGCTGGGAGCGCCTTTGGGGTCTGAACCGATGGTTCTTCCGCCGGTTTGGGTTGACAGCTGCCCGGCACGGCCGAGGAAGTAGTTAGTTGGTTTGGTTTAATGTCCATGGCTGTGTTGCCCTGAGAATCACACTTTGAAAGTCTTGGGACACATAATGAAACATATGTCCCCACAAAGCTGAATACTTACCAATCGGTGTAAACATATATTATAGTATATTATTGTAGGATGTTTCTTTTTGCGAGAAAATCCGGCTTGAAACCCACAGATCTCTTCCCGCAAACCCGCTTCCAATCCAACACATCCACACCCTCCTCCAGGATGGGCCCCACATCCACTCCCGGACCCTACCTGTGCTCAGGTGGGGATGCCCAATGCTGGCAAATCCACTTTGTTGGGCTCCGTGAGCCGAGCAGCGCCCAAGATCGCGCCGTACCCCTTCACCACTGTGGCGCCCTACGTGGGAAAGGCGCCCGCTCGGGCGCGCGCGCGCGCGTTTCTGCGCGCGGGAGCGCGTGTGGAGAGGGGGAGGGTGGACCTTTTGCTTCATCAGCTTCCAGGCCGTGTTGGGCGGGTTGATGGGACACGGCTAAGGTAGGTAAGGTAGGAGTATATGGCAGGAATGCCAAATTCGTTGGTATCGTTGGAAGGTTCTTGAGGGGTAAAGCATTTCAATACCTTACTGTCTGGATTTCAGGAACACCCGGGTGTTCGTGAAATTCGACCCACCCCACTGGCCGACCTCACCAAAGGCGTCGACTTCAAGTGTCAAGTGGGGGTCACCCCAATGAATGCAAACATCGCAGTCCCAAAGGTGAATGGCGAATGGGGTACTCCATGAACCACCCCGACGTCGGGGTGTCCAGTTCTTCCGAAATTCGTCTCTAAAACCAACCAATAGCATCCCAAAGGCATCACTTCTACGCAGTTGGAAGATCCAGCAGGTATGACTGACCTACATTCACCACAAATTTCACCAGTCATGGATAGTGTATAGTCATGTCCCAAAGACGTCGTGTCACAGGTGGACTTCGTGGATGGCTCCTCCCTCAGCGTGGCGGACGTGCCGGGTCTCGTAGAAGGTGCCCATCGAGGCACCAACAACCGAGGAAAGTGGAGGAACCCCCTGGGAGTCCTGGCCAAACCATTTGAATGGTCCAACCATGGTCCAAGCATGGTCCAACCGTCCGCCCAACGACCATTGTTTTGCGGGTTGAAGACACTAGACAAACCAGGTCAAGCATTTTAAAACATGGTCTTGGACTTCCAGGGAAACAGTTGGACACCGTTGAGAGTCACAGACGAGTTCTGAAAAGAGAAGGATCAGCATTCATTGAATGAACTGAACAACTGAACAACTGAAGAACCATCATTGTTGTGTACTAAGGACCTTTTGCACTACGAATCCCGGTCAACTAACCGAACTCTTTGAATGGTCGAAAGGAAGGCCAACGGGAGCACTATATATATCTGACGTCGCTAGTTCCCAGGGATCCCCGGATCCACCGATTCAAAGGTACGACGGTACGACTGGACCCTTCTGGCGCCTACAAACAGGATCAACGAGGTGTTTCCAATCATCCTCTCACAGGGTGGTAGTGGATCCAATTGGATTTTGGGAACTTCCTGAACACTTCACTGAGGCCAAATAGATCGTCTTTCACTCGACTTCTTAGGAGACAGGGTCACTTGACATTGTGCCTGCACCACCCAAGATGGACGTACTCTCGTTGTGGATACTTGGTGTGATGGCTAGGGTCTGGTACTTGTATATTTCCAAGTGGGTGGGGGAAGTTAAGCCTGGCTATAAATATAGCCTTAATTCTGAAGAACATTGTTTTACTTTAAAGGATCTAACACGACAAAACCAGGTCAATCTTTCTTTTGAAGGTCTTGGACGGCTAGGGTCTACAGTATATTCAGCCTTCACTTTCTCTCCCGAAATCAACCAGGCCCCAAACTGATGGAAAATCCGACATGCCCGTCCCATGGATGCGGGTGAAACCCTGTCGCCGTCAGGGGAAGGTCTGGGGCACGAGTTCCTCCGACACTTGGAAAGGACCAAGGTGCGGAAAACCCAGCTCCCGGCCTGTGGAGAAACGCGGCTCCCGGAGCAAGTGGAGCAAGTGTCGCGGCGACACGCGGTCCAACAGCGCGGTCGTTTTTCAGGGGGAGAAGTCCTGGAATCACCCCATTTTTAACCATGGTGGATTTCAGTCGAGGTCAAGAACCTGAACTTGACTGGAGTGGATGGGGGGAGAACGATGGATAAGCCACCCTGTCTGGGAACTTTGGTTGTATTTTAGATCGTCACATCACTCAACGAGCCTCACTTGAAAGAGACACATCTATAGATTAGGTCTCCCTCGTCAGGGTCTTCGAGACATTTGTTTGTACCTTACAGCACCCCTGTGCGTTTATTGTGCGTGATAAAATTTCATTAACGAACACTCCTTCATTAAAGTCAACATCACTTCCCAAAAGCCGTGCTGAGACTCTTTGCAGCTTTTCCACTTCGAAACCCACCAATCGCTTCTCCAAATCTTTTCTCCGAACTTCCTACCTTTTGTTCCAACACGTACTTCCCCCACTTTTTGGCACACTCACCTCAAGCCTTCCTGAATTCTTGGTCGCCTTCCCACCTCCAGCCGTTGAACCCACCTCCAGCCGGTGGCGTCGTCGAAACCCACGAGGTCTTGATGTACGTCGTGGACTGTGCTCGCTCGCCGGACCCCTTCGGCGACTATTTGAGCCTCCAACGGGAGGTCGAGGTCCGTGTCGTGTCGTTGTGTCGTGGGTCGTGTCGTGGGCCTTCCAACAGACCTACGTTGGTTTGGTGTATTTACTAGACAAGAAACATGAGCTTTGACAACAGGGGAGCCTGATTTCGGGAACTTCCTTCACTTCACTAAGGAAATGTACAGTCTTTGGACTTCTACGGGAGTGCTCTTGGTGTTTTTTGCAAGGGTGTTTCTATTTGCTGTGCCTTGTGTACATGGACAGAGAGTATTTGGTCGTAATTATATAGCGGCCAACGCCAGCATTCCCCCGATGTCACCTATCTAGTGGCCATGCCCCACCAAAACAACACATATTTTACTAGAACGCCGCGAAACTGCTCGGGCCTTCCAGTGTACCCTGCGCCCTGCGCCTTCTCCCTGCGTTCCAGAACACCAACGCCAGGCGTTCTCGATCATGATGGCATGGAAGCCATCGGCGTTGGTGGCCACCAAATGCGACGTGAAGCCGGAGGAGACCTTGCGGAAAGTGGTGCCTTGGTGCGACGTGAAGACGACTGGAGACAGGGTGACCGACGGTGACCGAGCCCGGTCGTCGGTGCAGAGAGGGTTAAAGAGCATGTGGTTGAGCAAACCGGGGTTTTCGAGTGTGAATCCGCTGGTAAAACCATGTAAAACATGGTAAAACCCTATGGTTGCTTGGGTCAAGACCTTCCGAGGAGGTGGATGAAGCAGGTTCTTTCAGACGGAGGTCTCCCTGACCGCCGGCTGCCGGGAAAGTCGTTGTAGCTCAACCGTCCAAGGAATGAAGAGACAGTCCATACCAGGACCTTCCAACAAGTGCTATCTTTGGACCCACCAGTGCCAGGTGGACCTGGGCACTGGACGCACGGACGAACGGAAAGCCAGGACACACCCACCAGTTCTAGGGTCCAGAATAGAGGTCCTCAGAGTGTGGCGACGTCGAGATGTTCAGCCTAGGATGCGCTCTACCGCTCCGTGCGTGCGGCCGAAGAGAGCTTAGGCACCGGGAAGAAGGGACGGGGGGAAGACGTTTGTGCGAATGAACAAACACTTTAATAAGCCCACCATTGATTTACAAGAACTTAGGACTTTTGACCCAAGAACCAGCAGCTTTCCGATGTTTTCTATTTTCTTTTTTAAAGCAAGGATTACATGAGGTTTGTCCTGAATTTTTCCGAAGTGGCCTTCTCGGAAGGTCCGGCGGTGATCAGACTCCTTTGTTGGACCTGTTTGACTCGACCGATCTCGCCTGGTCGACCGCAGCTTGCTCCGCAAAAACCTGGAACTCATGAGAACATATGAGAACTGAGTACGCAAGAACAACCCATGTGTAGTTGGGCCCCCCTTCCGAGCGATCCATGCAAGTGTCACAGCATGTTTTGTCAGTATATGTTTATATTCCTTGATCTTCCAACTGTGCAGAATTTCTTCCTTGTCACCAGCCAAAAGGCAGACATTTGGCACAGTTGGAGGATCTGATTTTGAGAGGTCAAGCAATGGTCAAGCAAATGGGTAGCACTTCTAATTGTCAGATAATAGTGTTCTTTTCTTGTTTGATCCCTAGGATCCAAGTACCTTCTCAGACGGTACTTGGACCCTCCAAACCTGCGTAACAGTGTCTCCAATCACCTTCTGTCAAGGTACTTGGATCCTTAGGGGATAAAGATCTCTAACATAAACCGACCAATTGGACAAAATCATACAAAATCTATGACCGATTGGGAAAGAGATGAGCAGTGCTTCCTGGATGACCAGATGCTGGCTGTCGCCCTCCTATCGTAGAAGTTTCTGTGTTCGACACTTTTACAGTGGCTTCAGAGTAGATGGCACAGACCCCAAGATGTCTTTAAGAATCTTTAAGATTTTTTTTGATGGGGGTTCATATAACCACCTTTTGGGGATTGCGTCATCTACGCTGAAACCACTGTATCACCTCTTGGCTTCTCGTCCAGTCGACACTACCGAACCCAACCCCTTGCAGATGCACGTCGCGTGTGGGTGGAGTCGCATGAAGAAATCGGATCTGTCGGGAGTCGAACTCGTCACGTCCGACGTGGCCAGGCCCAGCAGCGCCCCTCTTTGTGCGCGCCATCTCCGCGCGCTTCGGCGAGGGCATTTCCGGCCTCCTGCAGGAGCGACGGCGTGCGGGGTGTAGGCACCGGGAGGAAGCGCAGGAGGAAGCGCAGGACCCAACCGTTCTTGAGTGGGTCTTTTCAATCCCAGGTCGCACTCTTAAGGAGTTTAGAAACTAGTTATCCCTGGTCCAAAAGCTCTTTAGAATCCCAGGTCTGGCAGGTCCCTGGATAACTAAGCTATAACTCGTATAACTAGCCCTGGTCCAATGCACTATAGTCTGTTAGTCCCTGGTTGAGTTGTCGACATGTTTGAGACTCTGAGACTGTGACTACAGTCACACCAGGTCTGTCCTGAACTCGTTTTCTTCGAAGAGTTCAGTAGACCTCGGACCGGTGAAGCGACCGGTGAAGCTCGCTGGAGAGGCGCTCGGATGTGACTGGACCAGCACCTCGTTGTCGATGCGAAGGTTTGGACCCTCTAATCAGGGGTCCGGACCCCCCCTCAAATCCCTACCAGCACCCTTATAGGAGGTCATTAATGGAGACCTCTTAAGGCCCAACAACCCTCTAAAGGAGACCTGTAGTTTTGTCGTCGGGTGCTGGTATGGGGGGCATCTGGTTCGTTGGATACCGAAGCATTCAGTCGAAGCTGTCTGGCACCACAGACCGACAACACGGGCTGTCCACATCATGACACACCACAAGGGAGTCCATGATTTTCGAGTCGAGTTGGACTTCCCTAAACTTTTGCCGTGTAGGAGAAAGGATTCGGGCCTGAGATCCCAAGCAGCCGTTGTTAGTACTAAGGATTTTAGAGGAATTTTAGAATTTTAGACAACGGCAGGCCGCTGTGGCCGAACAAGACACCACTTGCTGACGGCCGCTCGTGGCCACTAAAGCAAGCAAGCAAGTCGCCTTGCATTGGATGCTTTTGCTTTCTCATTGCATGCTATTCTTTCGATCTTTGGTACTCAGTAGCCGTAACATAGTTCAAGAGGACTCCAACATTCAGCCATGCAGGCCACTATGCTATGATCTATTGTAACAAATGATATTAAGATTCTTATATATCATCCTGCATCACCAGATTCATGATCTATTTTGCACTGCCAGGAGCTCCGCCTTGTCCTTCAAGGGCGCCATGAGCTTCTTGGCACGAAACAAATCCCAACCGGGTGAACCGCCCGGGGGCTTCGCGTGGCTTTGCCGGGGCGAAGCCCGCCGCTATGTTCAGACTGGGTTGGCAGGTGTGTTAATTTGTGTCCTTTTTGGTTCACCATCACAGGACCATGGACCATCACACAAGGTTAGACATATAAGATTATATAATGGATATCTCAGGACCCCCAAAGCAAATGATCTTTTTGAATGTCAACATGATTCTGATGTCAAAGATCTGGCACCACGGGTTCCCCTTTCGCCTGAACCGAGAAGACCATTCAAAGAGTTCGGCTCACCTGGTTTTTCAATGTGGAATCCTTATTGTTTTCAAAGAGTTCGGCAAATATTCCCTGCATGGATTGCTAGGGAATGCTTTTTCGGGATTCAGGATTTTAGATCCAATATCCATTCTGGGCCACAAAGCCTAGGGGTTCGACATAGGATGATATAGGTCAATGTGTCGCGGTGAGAACTTCTGACAGCTTCTCCCATATGTCTGGGAAGTCCAAAACTATACAATACGAGTGGTCTGAGATCTGGACAATTACCGGAGATGTCAGGAGCTTCCTTCCTCTGAGAATCCAAATTGGTAGTGGTGGATTTTGACTCTCAGGTGGGATTAAAAATGAGTCTGGGTTAATTATCAAAGAATGGTCTGAAATCGTCGCTGAGATGGTCAGGAAGTTCATGGAACTTCCTGACCATCTTCACCTCAGGAAACGTCTATAGTCTTTTTGGGCATGCACGGCATGCACATGAAAGTAGGGAGACCGACCCCCGGCGTTCCAACTCCAAGGCGTTCGGAAGGCGATGGCCTCCAACCTACTAGCGATGGCCTGAGGGTCTCCTGATGGCGATGGCCTCCAACCTACTAGCGAGGGTCTCCCACCCAATTGGTCAAATTTAGAGGACTTCCTTGGCCCACTCCCCATGTGCGAGTTCTTTCCGAGGCGACTGGCCCGACGGAGCGATTTCCATGCCGTCAATCAACTGGGCGAGGGCTGAAAAAGAGCGGCGCCGACGGGGAGGATGTGGAGGGTGTAGCGTTGGACGTGAGCATGGAAGCTCATATATGGAGATCTTACTGTGCAACATTTCCGCCGAACTTCATCCATGAAACTGGCCAAGTTCAGCAGAGATTTTGCATAGCAGCAAGGGTGGTTATTGGAAGGACAATATAGATCGTGAGCGATGTCTACAAACCATCCATTCCACGGTGCTGGTAGTTGGAAGATCCACATATGGAGGGATCTGACCTGAACCTATCTCAGGGACCAGGAAAGGATTTTGGGGATCTACTTGCCCGAGTTTTTCCAATGTGGTATCTCAGTCTGCAGATGTTTGGCTGCAGCTCCCAGATGGCATCTGGATGTGCATCTGGAGCACCGAGACTCGTGGAGTCTTGCGATGTCTTTCCACTGAACCGCTTTCCAAGGTGATCTCCGAAGACCTTGGTGTATCTACTCTTCCAATGCAAACTTTCTGCTTCGTCTAGACGCTCCGTTCACAACCCTTTCCCGGTCCCTCCAAACTTACCAGCACCTTCAAAGGGGTCACTTGGCTGGAAGCCCCTACACTACTATCCGGGATCTCCATTGGACATCACATTGGACATCCCCAGGAGACATTAGTGAGTTGCTGGTCTTGAAGTGCTGCATGTTCCCTCAACATCGCATCGCCAACATCTGCGGCATCACAGCCACGGGACCTCATTTTTAGCCACACACCGGTCACACAGATTGAACCAGCACCACAGAAGTAAGGGTGGTTATCAGAATGGACAAGATCGATATTGAGGGACGTCTCTCAACCACCCAAACTCCGTGGTGCTGGAATTGTTCCTCGTCCCACCACCACCACCACCACCACCACCACCACCACCACCACCACCACCACCACCACCACCATCGCCACTTGTCTTCGATTGATCTCGGCTCGGCGAATCTTTTGCTGCGAGGTCCGGACTCCTCGAGAGCCTGAAATTCCTCCATGGGCTACCACAGCACTTTGGAGCCGAGGACGGACCGGAGGACGGACCGAACCCCAGAGGTGGCACCAGTCTGGAGAAGACATGGGGACCAACCGACCTGGTTCCGTGGTTTTCAGGTTCCGTGTCAGTCTCTTCCAGGGCGTATGCTATCTTATACCCCGTGAGATCAAAAAGCGCTCCTGGACCTTGCAACTACCCAAAACTTCTGGTCGTTTTGGGTTTTATGATGTTTTATGGCAGTTGTGGTCGTTTTGTTAGTTCTGCGTTATTTCGCGGTCATTTTTTGTTTATTCGCCGGTTCTTTGCACTAACTTACTTGCAGTCGTTTTGCCGTTTGCGCTGATGTGCGGCCGTTTGCGCGGGTTCCGCCGTGTCGATGGGCTTTCGGAGACCCGAAGAGGTCGCTTGTTCACAGGCCAAGCAGTTGGGGGATGAAAGCAGGAAGCTTCATTTCGGTGGGGTAGGTCGCTGTGCAGCTGAGTAACATGATGATGGATGAAGGCCAAGCAGTTGGGGTGCCTGATGATCCTGATTGTGAGACAGCTGACCTGATGATTTGAGACAACCTTTCAGTATAAGGATTTACACTATCTAAAGTCGGAGTAAACTGATTTACTATATACCGGCACCCTCCTGGCCAGGCTGTTGGTTGAGGGTTGTTGGACCCTCTCGAAGCGGTCGAACCATTGGCGACCTGGCAGGTCGTCGGGTCGTGGTAGAAGTGTCACGGCTGTCCAGCATTCCCCCTGGAGGTTCCCCCTCCAGGATTGAAGGCGTCGTGACATCGCTTGGCGCTTCTATGTCACCTGGGATCTGGGGGTCTCCCCCTTAAAAGAGTTTAAGCCTAGGGGGGGGACCTGGGAGGGGAACAATAGAAGCCTGTGATACTCTACAGGTCGTATGCTCACAGCGACCAGCTGAAGTCGTGGATCTCGAACCAGCTTGGCACGCGAAACGCCAGGAGTCCAAGAACAGCTTTTTAGATGGCCTGGACCTCCCGGAGACAGTGCCCCGCTTGCAGATGGATACGTCAAACGTCAAACCATCGACCACCTGAACCTCCAATGGCAAGGGGGGAAGAGAGGCCCAACCACCTGCCTTTCCCTTCCCATTCCCGGATGCAGTCGTACCAAACCTCAGGTTCAGTACGACTGGACCCGACGTTTTGGCACCTACAGTGTCTCAGGGTCTCCCTGCTCACCGTACCTCAGAAGGTACGACAACGGATATATCTAGGGATTGGAGGTGCAGGGGCTCGGATTCCGGTGGATTTGCAACCACGACAGACCGGGTCTACCCGAATTGGACCCATACCCGACCTGACTCAACCCCTGGAAGTCAAAGGTTGAATCTGGTTTTGTAGTGTAAAAACCCTTCGTAAAACAAGGGGTTTTCAGGCTATTAAAACAATGGTGGTTCGACTTCGGCAACGGATTCTTCCACGGGTTCGGTGCTACATGGAGTGTCTGGACTTTCCGGTCTGCGCTGTCGGCGGAACACCGAGGGGTGTGCGTCATCGCGCGCGGTGGTTCTGCAGTCGCGGTGGTCGGATGTGCGAACGGGGAGTCAGATCATCAATGGAGTGTTTAGAGATTCATGTCTGGATCCCGAGACCAACAGCAGAACCTGTACCCAAAGTACATACATCCAAGAGGTGTCTACAAATCGTCTCTTAAAGGTTCATCAGGGGTGTCCCAAAACCACCAGAGGCTTGGACCAGAGAAAAAGGTGCGGGCCTAAAAACCTGCGACGTGAAACACACGGCCCAAAACGGCAAACATCTCGAAGCACCCGCACCCGAAGACTCGATGTCGCAGGGCACTGCCGTGCGCGGATGAAGCTGCGACTCGATGTCGCAGATGGCAGATCCTTTCAGTATACACTCCCAAAAACAAACATGGACCCTGAGCCGGAAAGAGTGTTTTCCTCTACAAACCAGTGGTTTTCAGGGTCTATGTGAGTTTTCCACGGGGTATGTGCTTGGCGCACCTGACTCTACAGGTCGAAACGAGTCACGGTGGTAACCTCTTTACATGCAGACTTACGAGTGGCAGGTGGTAACCTGTTTGGAGGGTAGACCCTATAGAAATCCATTGAAAGACGATATTTGGCACAACCAAAGTAGTTTGCCAACCTGAAGGCGCCTGAACGCACAACAAATATTGGCATTCGTCATCCACCCTGGAACAATGAAGATGATTTTTGGGGGTCACCGAATGCAAACCCTTGATGAATACCAAGTCTTAAATGGGGTGTCAGTTTAAATATAATCAAGACTGTATATACCGAGCACCACCCAGTTCGGGTGGTTCTTGGATGTAACATCCTCAGGCCGTTAAAATAAACCACCCTATGGTGGACATGAAAGACACTTTTAAAGATCCTTGACTGATCCTTGACTGAACTTCTTCAGGGTCTGCTTCGTCCCCCGCCGAGCTCACGAGGCGGAGCCAGAGAAGCTCTCGAAGTTCACCAACGCGGAGGTCCAGGCGAGGGAGGGTGGAAGTGTGGTGTGGAGGCGTCTTTTTTTGGTTTACTATTCTTGCGTGGAAGATACAGCAAAAAGATAGAGAGGGAGAACAAATGATGAGGACTCTGGTTTTTGGGAGAGGAAACATGTTCGGGCATTCCAAGATTCCAGCACCAGCCAGGGCTAGTTGATAGACCCACCCAAGAGCATGTGTTTTCCATCCAACAACCCTCCCTATGGATCCACTGGCACCTTCTGGGAAGGTGATTGGACCACTGTTTATATGTGTAGGCGCCAGGAGGGTCCAATACCTTCTGGGAAGCTATGTGGATCCCTAGGAGTCCGAAGACCACCGCGCGCGGTGACCCGCCGGGCCATCAGACCTGAAGAACCGTCGGCTGGACTTCAATGGAAGAACTATACTTACTGGCTAGCCTTCCACCGGTTTTCATGATTCTTTTAGAACCGAACCCCCAAAACCAGCTGGGTCTTCACGGTCAACCCCACCCGGCGCCTTCGGGGCTATAGACGAACGAACTCCCCTCCGTTTCAAACCTGTCACCGGTTCCGTCACCGGTGGATCCCGGGGACCTCGGTGGATCCCGGGACCTCGGGCGCTGTCACCGAAGGCCAAGCAGGTGGATCTCTTGAACGTCTTGGTGCCTTGGCGCGATCTCCGAAACAGATTCGAAACGGGCGACCGAACGGGCGACCGAGGAGACCCGGGGTTGGAAGATTGGTCATGTTTGTTTTCGATTCTTTTTGGATCCCCACCCCAGTAAGAACCATCCACACAGTTTTTTTGGGGGGACCCCAAAATGCTGTGCCGAAATTTATTGTGTGGGGTTCTTGTTTTTGCGGGGCACGTCCCCTCCTTCCCGCCACCTCCCTTCTCTCATCATCTCATTTTATCTCATTTTCCTTAATCATCAACTCCTTCCTTCCTTTCTTCCTTCCGCCTTTCCTTTCTTCCTTCTTTCCTAGTCACCCAATTCAATCAACAACTCAACTCAACTCAATGCTCAATCCAGCTTATCTCAAGTCACCATCTCAACTCTACCACTCAACTCAACTCAATCCAGCTTATCTCAACTCATCAACTCAACTCTACAACTCAAACTATCTCAGCTGGCTCAACTCAACCAACACTGCTCTCAGTGTGTGTTTTGCTGTGGCGGTTGCGTAGAAGGCTCGCTGGTGCAGCGTGCCAATGATCGCCTGGGCGCGGCAGCCGCTCGTGGCTGTGCCATGCGTGCTGTGCACGTGCCATGCGAACTTCCTTTAGTGATCTTGTTGTGCCATGCGGTTTGGCGAGGTCGATGTCTCAAAGTGTTCGTTTCTGCAGAGCTTGGCCGGTTTCATGAGATGAAGTTCGGCAGACATGTTGCAAAGTAAGATCCAGGTATCATCCAGGTATCATCCAGGTAAGGCATGTTGTTCCACCCTTGACTGGCTTTGGCCTTTAGGCCCTTTAGGACGGTCATGGCAACGTGGAAAGCGCCCTAAGTAAAACCCAGTAGAACGCAAGCCGCCTTGTCCTGAACACCTCACAACCCCGGGTGACCCCAGACCGATCCCCGTTCGACGCGCTCAGATGGAGTTGATCAAGCCAATGGCCCAGAAGGCGGAGAAGGCCACTGAGGAGCGGGGGCCCGAGGTGACGAGGTGGTCGAAAACGTCCCGTTTTGGGGGGGCTTGGCTTATACCCCGCCTGGGAGTCCAAATCCACTACCAGGCTGAGGTACAACATCAGAATAGACACGGTGAAGACTCCTAAGCGCTTCCTGGGGGTGGGGCCTTCATGGTTCGAGAAAACTGTGCTGTTTCACGGTCGTCTTCGATGCCTTTTCGTGGTCTTCTCCGGCCCTCGACGGTCCACCGGGCCGGTCTCCCGTACGGCTGCTCCGCTCACCGTGACCGGGTGTCTCCCGGACGAACATGGGTCTCGATGCACCGAACACAGAAACCCACCCAACACAAGCCCAACAACGAGACATAACATGCGTCTGACCTGACATGCGACATGACATGCGACATGACATGTACCCAGGTACTTCCCAGGAACCTTCGTCTCTCTTGGGGTCGTCGAGAACGCGGGTCGCTCCGAAGCCGCAGCGGCTTGCACCGCAGGAGCTGGAGAGCCACACGGTGAAGCGCCTCACCTGGGAAGCGGAAGCCGAGCGCTTCGCGCGCACGGACGAGCCGAAGGCGCGCTTTGAGCGGAGCGGGCTAAGAAGGACGATGGACGGGGTGTGACGTTTGATGTGGCCGAAGACGGCGTACTCAACCAGGCCCTTAAAGTCCTTTTTGGTGTAGAAGGGACTTTATACTCAACCATTGAAGGTTAACGGTTAAACCCTTAAACCCATGTTAAGCGCTTAGCAAGGGACCGTCCTGGACTTGGAGTTGGGGAGGGGCGCCTTTCGTGATGAGTCACCGTCCATTGTTCGACGTTCTCGGTGATTTAACAGCACCATAGTGGGGCCTCATCACTTTATTGGCCTCCCTAAAAGAACCATGAAAAGCCATGCAAAGCTGAGAACCCACCTGTTTTAGAGAGAGTCTAGGGTAGAGTCCAGAGAGAGTCTACTAAAGAACGCTTCGTCACCCAACCTCGCCACCCACCCAACCTCGCCACCCACCCAACAGTTCGACGAGAACGGCGAAGAGCTTCCGCCAGCCTTTGGCCCCAGAAACGGGTCGGTTGGAATGCACGGTGGCGCATCGCGAGTTGCTGCGGAAAGCACAGCCCCTTCAAGCAACCACTGGTTTCAATCCCTACCAGGCTACCAGCACCTGACTCTATACAGGTCTCCGATATGGTGGCTGAAATGCAGACTTAAGCATAGCAGGTGGTGACCCGGCAGATTAACCTTGGTGTTGGGCGTCCCAAAATGACGGCTATATCAACTTCCTCTATGAAATGAGGGGGGATAACCCCTCATATAAAACGTTTAATACCCCCCTCACTGGGCGGGTCAAGCGAGTCATTTTATAGTGATTTGAGGTTTCTGTGAGGGTGGTTCACAAAGTCTTTCAGTTCTTAACATCTAGAGATTTAGGATGTTAGCGAGGGGCAGAATTTTGGAACGCAGCTATCAAAAACAACTAGTGATGTAGCTATCAAAAATGATGTTGAACCTCTCATTTTATAGGACCCTCAAAATTCGACTTGCACAAGTTTGTTCACATTGGGGGGTTGGCATAACCGTTTTATACCTACAAAATGAGGTCAAGGACCCCTCCCGTTATTCACACAGCCATCCTAAATGTAAGTTACAATTTTGGAACCCCATGATTGCAAATCAAATGTAACTTGAGAACCACTCCAGGTAACTATACGTGGTACTATGTAGTACTTGTTTGGGGGGGAGACATCAGAACTCCCACGTTGGAAGTTACGCACGCCCTGAAGCCCAAGAACATATATTTGACCAGGGGGTGTTAATTGTATCTTCATGATTTAGGACACTAGAGACGATCGTGCGATTTGCATTGTGTTGTCACCTTTCATAACTGCCAAGAGCCAAATTAATATATATGCAATATGTAAGCTGCATTTTACTAATTTCGGAGGCCTGCAAAACAGTTGTATGTACCTATGAATCCCAAGGAAACATACCTGGGACTTCCTTTTCGTGTTGCTTTTTGATCTGCGGCGTGAAAACACTTTTTCTTTTTTCTGGACAGTCACAGCCTTATTTTTGAGTTTGCGGATGTGAATTTCTCTAGTTTTCTGATATGTTTCTGACGTTCCACGGGCCTTTACAGTATACACAAGCAAGGAGGCGTTGATTGGTCAGCCACCGGCGTTTTGCCCGAACGTGTTTTTTCATTGGATGTTTGTGTTACTGTTTGGTTTCGGACGTTTGTGTGCTTCACAGGCCTATACACCAGGTTGAATTATGTTGAACTACCGACCAAAAAGATTCAACCACGAGGCTGCAGGTACTTGTATATGGAAAGTAGATACAGTAGCCAAATGATACACACTGGAACGGGGACATTGAGAAAAATGACAGGACCTCCGAAATGCAGAGGTCCTTGGATCCGAGGTATCTATCTTCGGTATCAAGACCACCGGACGACCGGAGGCGGCCCAAGCAGGCTGACCAAGCGCGCATCGCTCGCCGAGGAACCACGGCCTCAAAGGCCCGATGCGCAGGCCTTGGAGGCCGCAGTCGGAACGAAGAGAAGAGGGGAAGGGTCGAGGGGAAGGGAAGAAGCAGCTGGAGTGGTCCTGAAATCGTTTTGACTCAGACATTGAGTACAAAGTAGTACTAAGTACATACAAGTATGCAGTACAGTATCTTCTTTTTTGTTGTTGGGTCATGTCACATGTCCCATTTTCCGTCCATGAACTGTTTCTGCTCGGGGTCAATTTTGGGACTGCTCCTGGACCCTTCCTAGACACGACCTGTGTGCTTTTAGGGCCTATAAACCCTGGTTATTGACTCCAAAAACCAGCACCTCAACGCATGACCTATATCTGTGTCGGCATACTTGGAACTTCCTCAGAGTGTTTCTATTTTTACATCTGCGGCATGAAAAGCACTTTTTGGAGTCACAGCCTTATGTTTGAGTCTGCCGATGTGTCTCTAGTTGTTTTTCCTTTTCGAGATTCAACGGGCGTTTATACACAGGCTATGGGCGTTTATTGGTGAGCCACAGGCGTTTTTCCCAAACCCTTTTATTCAGCGGATGGTTATTTCGGTTGCGGATATTTATGTGGTTCAAAGAGACCTAAATGGCAATCATATATAAGTATATATATGTTGAACTACCGACCAAAAAAGAGCAACCACGAGGTTGCAGGTAGCTACTTCTGGGTTTGGATTCTGGGGGGTAAGACCCGGAAAGGCCTCTTGATCTTTCGCAGCGTTTCACTGGTTTGCCTGTGGTGCGTGTGGTGTTCTGGGCCCCAGTGGTGAGGACTGTTGGTCCGGAACCTAACTATGCACCTTGGGTGATTATGTTTTCCTGGTCATTATGTTTGACCTTTGAATCCATTTGCTTCAAAGCACAGCTTTGAGAAAAAGAAAGCAGGGAGAGCGGCATGAGCACTATATAAACCCGACTCGAGCAAAATCCACCTCGCGCACTTTCCCCAGAAAGTCTCCGAAAGTCTCGCGCACGTGTGGGTGTTCTTCGAAAAGTCCAGGCTTTGGGCTTCAACGGACACCTGCACAGCTTGGAGGAGGCCGAACTCTCCGGATCCGTCGAACGAAGGGGAGACCTTTCACCGGCCGGTCGGTGACTGGCGCCGGCCGAGCTCGCAGTGGGCGTGGGGCGCAACGAAGTGGGGCCGAACTCGCTCGCGTTTGTCTGGATGTTATGGTGTTTGATGCCATGGGGTGATGGTATGGTGATGTGTGTTATTTTTGTTTTCGCCGGCCTGGGTGAATCCCCTATGCAGGGGCTTAATTCTGATGTAGAAACGCAACCAGGTACCTCCTGACCTGGGGTGGTCGGTCTGGGAGGTGAGTCGATCTATGTAGAAAACAACCAGAAGGTGTTATTCTGGGGCCCAAGCAATTCATTTGGAACGGTCTTGGACCCTTGGGGGTGGGTCGGACCCTTGGGGGGCTCGGTCTTGGACCCTTGGGGGCTCGGTCTTGGACACTTGGAACGGACCGGAGAGAAATTCGCTCGAGCTTTGAGAGACACATCACCGAAGCGGTGGCCTGGACTTGTGAACCCCCTAGCCTTCCGTTCGACCATTCAGAAGGACTTCGGTTGACCTGGTTATAGTGCAAGATCCTAGCTTAGCTAAACAACTGGTTGTTTGGTAAAGCCTCTGCATTTGATTATACAAAATCACTACTCAATGTGAGGTAAAGTACCAGGTTTGGACCTGGGTGATTGCACCTGTATTGAATCACCTGGTTTTACCTAAGGTGCAGTGTTTTTTCCCCCATGGGTGAATCCCCTTCTGGGGATTTTTCCCTAAGCAAATCCAAGGTGAAGGGTGGTTGGAGTCCTAGTGATACCAAGACCGTTGTTTGACGAAGACCACCAGCGGACCATTGAGGGATGGCATGAGAGGTCTCAATTCACACTCCTTGGAAGCCCCAGACGATTTTATAACCCTAAGAATCAGGGCCCGAAGCAACACCATCGGGGCAGCGCAGCCCGGGCACGCCCCCCTGCGCCTTTGGTGGAGAAGGATCGCATTCTGCCATGGAGGGTCCGCACGGATTCTTAGGGAATACGGGAATATATATATATATAACATTTGTAAAAATTCCAGACCATGTATGGAATAGTTGCCGTTTACATACATTAGGGCCATTTTCATGGGTAAATGTATACCGTATAACTATTTCAGTTCCATGGATGGTCTGGGAATGGTCCAAGTATATGTATGCCTTTTATATGGTGTTTAGACTTCTGGGGTCCATGCATGGCAGATTTACCGACCGGACATCAACCATCCCAATGTATAACCTAGAAGTCCAGTGAAAGATGGATCTTTTGCACCACCAAAGTGAAGAACGAACATCGGATCAGCCAAGAGACCAATCCTAGACCTTCCTCTGGTACACATAAATGTGTTCTTTTGAACGTTTTGGTATGCAATCAGGGAGAGATATAATATGCCAGTCCGATGGCTGGTGCCAGTCCGGTCTCATCGAACCTCGAGGTTCGGGAGGCTCCTCGCCTGAGGCTTTGCCCTTGGAGGCCCATGTCTGGCTGGCAGAGCAGTGCCTACGCCAGGAGTTCGGGGCGGCAGCTTGTGGGGAGAATGGGCGGCTGATGGAGGCAGTCCTGGAAGGGATTGGTTGGAAGGGATGCCATCGCAGTCAAGCTCTGTCCAACTCCCAAATCATCCATGTATGGTATGCATTGCGGCATTGGTGTGGTTTGAGGGGTCAATGTAGGCATTCCACACACGGAGTGTCTGGGATTACTTACTGTTGGATGAGGGTTTGCGCGCCCTGCGAACGAGGAAAGCCGTTTTTTCCATTCACCTTAGTCTGCCATACCAAGCGAAGACGAACAGCGGATCATCCTGGACATGGGTGTCCTGGGACTAACCCATAGCTACTATCCGGGATCTCTGGCGCCAGGACACCCATGTCCAGGATGCGCTAGGTTCATATTCCAGCTATGCCACTTTTTGCCTGAACTGGCTGGTTTTATGGATGAAAAGACAGACTTTTGCACAGTTGCAAGATCCAGGTGTTCAGGATGATTTTTGAGGGAAGCATCCATCCAGTGCTTCGGGTGATGCACCGCCCCTTCCTGTGATCAGAGTTGCAAAAGATTCAGCTGCTGAGAGCTGTACGAAATACACCTCAGGATCCAGCTAGACACAGAAAAAGGAGAGACTCGGGTCCCGGTGCGGGGGGAGTCCGTTCTGACGCTCCGTTCCTTCAGAGGCTGGTCTGGTCGGGTTTTTAGTTGGGCACGGTCTTTGGACACCCTAGGATTCCTGGCCCAGCACCTGATTTAATAGCCTGAAAATTAAGACCGAACAACCATCGTTTCACACAGGATTTCACCCTACAAAACCCAAGTCGTTCCCATGTTTTTCATGGTCATTCCTGGATACGGCGAACGGGTACAAGGTGGCACGGTAGCGGCCGCTCCGCCCCGTGAAAAGAGGCCGATCTTCTGCGGTCCCAAAGCGGATTGGTGAGACATTCCAGAACCCAGACGGGACCCCTCCCTCCACTGGGGAAAGAATGAGCATCTATAGGAAGATTCCTAGCACTTCCTGTCTGGGTGCCCTGTCTGGAGACTTATAAGTAGGGTAGGGTAGTCTATTGGACACTCAGAACGGATGATCCTGGTTATGGAAGACGAAACAAAAGCAGAGAGACGGGCTGCGGAGGTGATGGGAGGGCCCTCCTTCTCTTCCAAACTGCGTTAGAGGAGATGCGAGGGAAGGAGGCGACCAAGGTGCAGATGAGATGAGGGGGGGTTGATGGGGGTTCGCTTCGGAACCACCTTGTAGATGGGTTTTCGGGGTTCTGAACCAGTCATTTGTAGTTACCCCCGGTGCGGTTTCACAGACTTTAAAGGAAAGTCTACTTGACAAACATATCTCCATTAAGCCAACTTAGGGTATCCTGGATCCTGGTTGTGTTTTGATTGGATGCAAAGGAACTGGCACCACACGTTTGCTGATCTTGCAAACAGCCCATCAAAATAAGGAGTTTCGCTGACGCGACATGCGACTCCAAGACATTCTCCTGTCGAGTTTCTCCCAAGGTGGCTTGATCCTGTTGCCTCAGACATGTAGTGACATGCAGACATGTCTTCTGTGCCAAAAAGGAATGTCTTTGATCACTGTTATCAGTTGCTTCCAGTCCGGGTCACCTGGCTGGACAAGCCAGCCCACTCAATCGGTCTCCAGACAGGGCACCCTTTATTGGAAGCGCTAGGTCAGCTTATGACGTACAATCGAGGTAAGGTGGACATCAATCGAAAGAAGCTTCGATCGAAAGGAGCGAAAGAAACCGATCGAAAACCAGGCGGTTCGTCCTCAAGGGATCGCAGCATGGAAAATCGGTGCACCGAAGGCAGTACTATACCAGACTCATTTCCAGCACCCACTTCGTGGTTTTGGGGCCCCATCCACGTCGTTTCCATCCAATCAGCAAGCTGGGTCCTAAACCGGTGGTGCCGGTGTACACCTGGTAGTCATGATCCACTAACCAGGCAAGGGTTCGGGTTTTGGGTGGATTTTCGTGAAGGGATGAACAGAGTACATCCATGTACATCCCTTTTGAGCTTTTGTAGGCCTATTGTTCTTTGCTGTTTCCCGGCTTCCTCTAGAGCAAATCCAAGAGAACACATCTGAGAATCTTGGGGTAAAACAGTGAGGTTGCCACGCCAAAGCTGCCATTGTTTTGAGCTTAGACCGCCCAGGGTTCCACCGCAAAAAGTGTAAAGCACAGATTGATCCATTATAATGATTACCAGGTATACAGATAATTACAGTCAACACATTGCAAAACACATCAACCGCAACGACCTCCATGCATTTCCAAAGTTGCATAAGCAGATCTTCATGCGCATATCACATTTTGCAGAACATCCTTTCAACGTCAGGGGCCAGTATGAACCACATCGAACAACATATATAAGATCTTGCGGTGCGAAGCGCTTTGGGGAACCATTCCCAGATGAGTTTGTTGTAACGTTTATCGTGTTACTAATGTTATAATCAAGTTTGTTCAGTGGACGTTTGTTTTTTCGTCTTCGGGGTTATTTGGTTGTCCAAGTATCTGGTCTTCACTTGCAGGGCTCCAGTCCGCATCACATGCATACCACATGCTGGACCAGCATCGCCCAGTTCGGGTGGTGCACAACGACCCCCCCCGACTATATAAGTTCCATCTAATATCATCCAATAACCATACGTGTGTCAGTGTTTTGCTGGTGATTAATGCTTTCATTTGTTGCTCGAGCTGTAAGCTACAGTAAAGTTCCAATTTTTGCTCACCCCCTCAACATCCACAGTGCTAGACCGGAATGTATTGAGCTTCGCCCGCGGCCAGCGGATCTGGAACGGACGACCCTCAAACCAGCACCTTCACGGGGCCACCGCATGCTGCATCATATTTGGCACCGCATGTTCACCATGTTTGAAGTGGTCGACTGGACTATCCGGCGAGGGCCACTTCGAAGTGCTCGAGCGGAGCTTGGCCTTGCGATTGCGCCGGGAAACCAGGGGTCGAGCCGCTGGAGCCTGGTTTTGAGGGTCCGGACCCCTGCTATGTCCGGACCCCATGAGGTCGGGCCCGTACGGATTCTTTAGGGAGAATCCCGAATCCTTCCAGAGCCGCGCATGGGATGCCCCTCAACATGAGTGCCATCAACAAAAAAAAGTTCAAAAGGCCCGACCCCCCCAGACCGGGACTTTTCGGCCCCGGTTTGGCCTTGGGTCAGGGTTTTTTTGGGGGAACATATATGGTTTGGAGAGACCGGGAAAGGCTTGTGAATGGAGCGTTTGGGTAGAGTCCTTAAAACAAGAGCCAAGGGTGTTCGGTCAACAACCTTAAAATCGCTATCGCCGTAAAACCGGTTTTGACCAGTGCTTCGTTCGGCCTGTTTTCACAGATGACCGGTTCGGTAAGTTACCGTGGTCGGAAACCTCACGAGTTGAAGGCCTGGAAAACCGTTCCAGTCGCAGAAAACCGATCGAAAGTCCCCAAGCGTTGCCTATGGTCGATGGAAATTCCCATGGAACACCTATGTGTCAGACATGGTCGATGTGGTTCTTCTTTTTGTAGTGGAAATTCCCATGCTGAAAAGCAAAACAATGATGTTCGGGATGACCCGGCGATCAAATCAATGGGCCACGATTTAATAGGGATCTTGGAACTTGGAACCCATCATATGCCTCAAAGGTCGTTGGGGGGTTCCTGAACTCGGATCCGGCTTCCGGGGTCTGCAACTCGGATCCGCCGTCGTGCGGCTCTCTGCAGCTCTCTGGGCTGAAGTAGAATGGGTGTTTTTTTGTTAATAGGGAGACACCCAACGAATGGGTTTTTTGCCTTTGCTGTTTCATGCAGTCGGCGACATGCAGTGACCACCCCCAGCTTAGCGTGAGGTAGGCACAAGAAACATACCCTGCATTAGGGCTTCCAACTTGCTTTCATGTTCAGGGTTGACTTTCTACCCACATGAAAAAACTTCCATAAATTGGCAGCAACCTTGTCATGGTTGACCAACTGTACTTTACGCAGCAAGTAAAAGGTGGGGTTGTGAAAGCCCAATTTCTTCAGGCCACCCCGTTGACACACCAAGGGCCCAATGTCGACAAAAGTGCCCATCCATTTAGCAAATTGAACGAAAATCCTCAGTTGAGAACTGAGGTCCGTACGAACAAGATCAGCGCGAATCGATTCATCACGCATAACGAAAGCAGACCGACAAAGTCGAGTCTTCTTCTTGAGAGATCTATCATAAACAGGGGTCATATACCCCGTCGTCAAAGCGAAAGAGATGTAAACTTCCAACCAGCTGGTCTCAACCACTTCACATTTCTACACCAATCGACAAACAATCCGGTGAATCGTTCACCGAAAGGAAATTCTGAACACAGATTCAAATCCACATCACGAAAAGGAAACGTACCGTCACCGTTGCACAAAAAGGCCTGAAAGTCAGGAGTGTGAACGGTCGGATTCTCATCTTGCTTTGAAGTTCCCATAATCCGAGAATTGGCATCAACCCAAAAAAGCAAAAACTCGCTCATCAAGGCTTGTTTCCGCACCCTATCATTATACAAATTGGTCAGCTCTGCTAGCTTGTCCTTATGTTGGCCACGAATGACCTCCTTTGCAATCCGATCAACCTCTTCGTTCCACCGCCCTTTCCAGCGCACAACCGAATCAGGATGCACATTCCACTGTGTGTGTGCTGCCACCTTGGTAACCTGGAGACACCCAACGGGCCTTTGGAGAATATGGCACCAAATCGGGTTCCATAAATCCCAATGCTTGCAAGGTGTGAAGTTCTGTCCCAACTGCTTTGCTAACATCATTGCCCGAAAAACAGTTACAACCGCTGAGCAATCTGTATGCAAGTGCATCGACCACACCTGCTGTAAAGCCAGCAATATTGAGAACACCTCCCCTCTGTAGGAACTGTGGTCAGCTCCAGGCACCAATTGCGCATCCAAGATCACCGCTTGATTGTCACGAACTAGGATTGCTGCCCCGGCTGAAATTGTAAATTCAGAAACATCCTGAAGGAAAGCACTCCCGTCAGAAAACACGTCCTCCATGTTGCCAACGGACGGGAGAGCATATGTTGGCCAAACCTTACTCCAAGAGTCCTTAAGTTTCCAACCAGCCCAGTCAGACGGCACAACCCCAAACGCCCAAAAAGCACTAGGCAAATCCGGCAATAGCCGAAACAGAGACTCATGTTGATCACGAAGATCCTGAACCCCTGGGCAGTGAAAGATTCTATGTTCCTTAGTATCCACCTTGCCACACAGTGGACAGCAATCATTATCGATAGTACGACAATATTTACTCAAAGAACTTTTGGTGACGTTCTTCCCACACGCAAGAGCAATTGCACTCCCTTGAGACCTAGGGTCCAGAGGTTTGATACAAGCCTGAAACACCCCCACATCAAAGGATTCCACGTCAAAACATCTGCGATGAGCAACCCGACCGGCCACCTCGACCGACCAAGAGGCATGCAAAATGTGCCTGACATGTTTCATCGAGTCCCGAAACCAGTCAAAGGAGAGACCACTGTTATGAACCATCCTGGCTCGTTCATGGCATGACCAACCCACTTGGGCAAAGGCGAACTTAAAGATGGCGGCGGGCCCAACCCTTCTGGGGTTCGTCGAACAAAGCTTCTGGCAAAAATGACTCAGATCAAACGGGTGAAATTTGAAATAAGACCTCCAAAACTTGATTTTACGGAAAAGGTCATTCAGTTGGGGATCCGTGACCCTTCCGCACACACAAGCGGAAAGCCAAGGACTGGACCCTGACCTTGCACGCCCTAAGCACTCAATCATGGAATACCGAAGGGACTTCCACTCAGCATCAGTTTTAGAAACTAATGCCGAACCATAAGCCACAATACCATGTCCCAGAGAGTTAGTCATCAAAGTTTTGAAGGCTTTAGGTATGGTCTTCTTATGAGTCCTGTGAAGAACACGAATGGCCTTCTGGAGTCGCACCTTGGACTGAGTTTTAACTTTTGCTTTGCCATAGGAAACATCGCAGCCCATGTCAGTCACTCGATGATTGACCTGTAAATTGTGCCCCTGCAATTTCACAGACCGAATAGCTGACCGTCCTTTCTGTGTGTTGGCCCAAATCCAGCTTTTGGTGGGACTGATCTCCATAGCCAGAAAGTCTGTGAACAAAGCCAGTCTCTGAGTGGCCTCCTTGAGAACTTTTGCAGAATCACAAACGAAGCCCCAATTGTCCGCAAAGAAATTAGGCTCCACACTTGGGTGATAGAATTGCAAATAGCTAGAGGCCCAAGTGCTCAGCATCAACATTGCAGCCACACTGAAAGCACACCCCTCAGGAAATCCACATGTGGAAGGGATGGCATTTCCCATCTGATGTGAAATTTCTGTGAACCTTCGCAATGAATCCAGCATTCCTTCTAGAGCGCGAAGATACCCAACAGGCACCCCCATCCACAAGAAGGCAGCCAACAAGGGAATACGCGGAATCCGGTTGAAGCACTTCACCAGATCGATGACCAGGCCAAAAATTTCTTGATTGCACAAAGAAGCATCTTCGACCATGTTCAAAGTACGCGCAATAACCATGTCAGCACTCACACCCGCAGCAGCGCCGGCGGTCCCAACTTCAACTGCATTGACCAAATGTGAAACCACTTCAGCTGACCGAAGCTTGGCCCAACAGCGATAAAGCCTACTCAATATCGTGATAGGTCTGCAATCCATAGGTGATGTTGCTGGACGATCACCCTTTGAGAGCATTACAACCTTAGCGTCTGTCAATCTTTGTGGCCATTCACCTGTGCATTCGACGGTCTCGAATAATTGAAATAACCACCCTTTGAGAGAAGCAGGCATAATCTTGAGTTCATACGGCGTAAAGCTGTCTGCACCACGCGCACTCCGACCCGGAACTTGCCTCAGCATACTATCCCAGCGATCAACTGTAAACTGTGTGGCGGGAAAGGCCCCAAGATCGGGCAAAGTTGAAAGAGCATTCATAGCCTCTGGCCAACAATGTCTTGAATCCTCTGGACCCTCCCTGTTCCAAAGCTCACCCCAAGATTGGGCAACCAATGCTTGCATCTTGTCATTTTGAGCCGTGTAAATTCTTTGTGTGATGGTCAAAGGTCGATCCGCCTTACACGTCACCAAGTCATGCAGCTTCAAAATGCTGCCTTGCACCGACTGTACAGAAACCTGCTGGTCCTGAAATAAGATAGGAAGATCAGGATTGATGTCACTGGCATCGACCCCCAGCCGAATCGTATCAATGCCTTCTTTCTTCCATCTTTGCCGGGCAACTGGCAAACGAATGGGTTGACTGGTCGATTTTTTCCTTCTTCCAGTTTTTTTTTTGGGGGGGGAGGTGTCCCCCCCTTAATTCCCTATTTGCGCTATTTGAATACACACTGCATATGTAGGTCTGTTGACTATCCATTGAATCATTGATTCGCCGATGGCACGTTGATGGCTTCTCAATTGCAGTGGCGCACCCATCTTCCAACATGCGGGTCCTTGGATCTGCTTGGAGATCGGCAGATCACCCGGCATGATGTCGGCCAGATCGTTTTCCCCCCCACTCACTGGGTCACGAGCTCTGCGCGAGTGGTGAAAGCCAGACGAGTCGCGATCGTCCGCGGCAGCTAGGCTATCGCCACTTCTTACGGCCTCCTCTGGTGGAGGTTGGAGCTGAATACGCCGACCGGCAGACTGGCTGGATGGGTCCTGGAGAGAAGTTGTAAATTTTGGACACGTACTTGAACGTTCATGTTGATCATTTTGTACATTTTCTTAAGAGTTCATCATAGTCTTCCAGAGGTCTTCCAGAAATGTTGGACGTCTTTCCAGAAGCCCAAGCCCAACCCCAAGTCTTAAATCATCAACTCCAAACAGCCCCTTGTGCACCTGGCATTTCATTGTTTCGTGCTATGATTTGAGCGTCAGTTTTGTCATGCTCCGTGGACGGCGTTTGATAGATGTTGGCAGTGGACCGAGCATTTTGGAAGTGGACCGCCGCAGTGAAGACGAACAACCCAACGCCGTTGCACTCTCTAACCATCCATGGGACTGGATCCCCCATCGGCTGGGGGTCGGCGGATTCTCTAGCGATGTCAGTAACTGGAGGGTAGTCCAGCCAGGTGACCTAGACAGCCAGGGATGCTGGGCGAACGACTGCCAGAAACACCCGACGTTCCACGGGACTGGGACGGGCAGGTGGATGTCTTGGTCAGTCCAGAGGCCGAGCCATCCCAGGCGCGAGCGGGAACAAACGGGGCGAGTGGAGGCTGGAAGGTTGGAAGGAAGCTTTCGGCCTGTACAGGTCCGGAACGGACCTCATCACTACTGCAATGCAATGACCATGGGGCAGGGACTTTTTGGGCGGGTCCAATTTTGGGGGAAAACTTTCCCTCAAATGGCGTCCAACTCAGCCGTGATTTTTGGGAGTTTGGAATTGGTGGGGTTCTGTCGAAAGGACTCGGTCTTGGTCATGTAACCCGTCTGTGAAGAGGGTGAAGGTAGGCCGTCCGACTGGTGAGGACTGGACTCGCTTACGTGTGGTTGGTGATCAGACCAAGTCATACAGATGAGGGAAACATATAGAAACGAGCACGGCCCCGTACTGTAAGCATGTCTTTGTGCTTCAGCCTGGTGTTCCAGCCAGGCTGGTGGGGCGGAAGCTTGCAGCCCGTTATTTTCACTCCTTTGTCAGAATTGTCAGACCGCAGGTACGGCTGCCTGAGTGCTACGATCTTCTTTCAGGAGATTTGAACTTCTACTCGCAGCGCCCCGGATGTGTTGCTGGAGAGTGAGAAGGGCTGGTGGTGCCCCAAAGAGATGGTTTTCCCGGCTTTTGCCAGACAAGCCAGACACCTCTCCACGAAATACTTTTCATCAGCACCGGAGCGGCTGTGCCAAGCGTGGGCACAGTTGGAAGATCCAAGTGTGACCCCAATCCCCAAAATCACGAAATCACTATAGTGATGCAGGTGATGTTGGCATCATGAACCCTAGGGCTCCAGTCGTACCTCCTTAGAAAGTATTTGGGCCCTCCTGGCACCCACCCCAGTCTCACCTTCGAAACGGAGGTCCTTGGAGCCCTAAGGGGAAGGGATGATGTTCCCGTGACGTCGGAACGACCGCCGTGGGACGACGAGGTGTGGCACGGAGGGGACGACGAGGTCGCGACCCGTTGTGGTCGGAGGGTCGGAGGGTCGCTTCCAAGACCTTCGAGTTCGGACCCGGTTTTGGAGTCTCAAATTCTTAGTAAAACCACAGGGTTGAACGGTTGGATGATAAAAGAAAGACATAGAAAAACATAAAGACACTGAACAACAACTTTTACAATCATGATTGGCAATTGGACCCCACTCGGAGGTCTTGGAGCTCTTTCAAGCTCCCCTAGAAGTCCAGTTCGGCAGTTTTGGGCACCACTGAAGTGTTCAGGAAAATCCTTTTAGTCAAGGCATTCATTCCTTTTCAATACTCCCAACACTTGCATTCACAGGTTTTTGCTGCTCCCTCAAAACCGCAAACGGTGAGAATCCCCACACCCAAAGCAGTCTGGCCCGGTCTGTCCCTCTTCACGGGTCTGGCCCATACTCTTGTCGCGCCTGAGACCTCCGATTCTGGCAGTTTTAGGACGTCATACCCCCTGACCGTTGGGGAAGGCAAAGCCCGTGTCTTCTTTTCGCCCCCTCGTTCACCATGAAACTTCTGGTGAACATTGAAGACATCATCTGCAACTCTTGAGTCTGGTAGATGAGCCTTTCGTGGACATTACCTTGTCAGAAGGTGATTGGAGACACTGTTATGTAGGTTTGGAGGGTACTATTCCAGATCAAGTGGTCGGAACTGGATCCAAATCAAGTTCGGGGGGGGCCAACGAAATGCCTCTCTTTCCTGTTGGACGCGGCGCTTTCCTCGGGCGCCCAAGGCACAACGATCCTGCGGAGATGGAAAAGCTAGACGAATCAGGTGGGATTGGAGCTTTCCAACTCCCCCTGAAAAGGAATACACACCTGGATCTTCCAACTACGAAACAATTCCACCTTTTGGTTGGCTTTATATATAGATGAAAAGGTATACATTTTTAGATATATGATATATATATATATGTAAAAGCACTGGATCGGTCCATAGGATGGCCGACGTATCAATCCAATGATAGCGGAACCTTTCGGCTGCAAGGAAAAGGCGCCGCCTTGTTGCCCCTGGTGGGGCTCCAGCTTCGACATTGGTAGCGGAGCCCCACCAGGGGCCCCGGCGGATGCTGCTAGGTTGCGACACTCGCCGCCATGTCATCGGATGATAGAGGTCTTCGCCGTTTCGACGGCGAAGGCGAGGATCCTGGCAAGTCACTGAAAAAGTGGCGGACGTGGGCACAAGCGAAGATGCTCACGCTCAAGGACGTCAAAGCAGAGCAACGAGGTCCTTGGCTTTTCACCTTACTGGATGGCAAAGCCTGGGACGCACGCGAGCATGTTACCCTAGAAGAGCTAGCCACGGACAAAGGAGAAAAGCTGCTATGGGATATCCTTCAGCGAAGGTTTCCTGAGAAAGAAGCCCATGATCTCATGGGCGAAGCGCTGGGTGAAGTTTTTGCTTTGGCTGCCAACGACTCGGAGACAATGAAGCAGTGGACCTCCAACTCCGAGAAGTTTTCGATCGCTGTGAGCGACGTGCCAACGTTCGATTCCCTGCGGCTGCTGAAGGCTGGATTGCATTGCACTGTGCAGGGCTCACAGAGGAACAGAAAGCCATCGTCAAAGCGAAGACTCAGGGGAACCTCGAGTATGACAACATTGCTGCTGCCCTTCGTTCATGTTTTCCAATGTACAGAGCCTCATCGGTGAAACGCAAGCCTGTCGGTGCCCTCCAGGTAGACGTGGTCTCGGGAGAGGATGTTGAGTCCGAACCCATGGCTTCAGAACCGTTCCTACAAGAAGTTGAGGCCTTTCTTCTGGAACATGAGCAACAAGTTTCTGTTGAGGATGAACCTCCCTTCACAGAACAGGAAGCAGCAGAAGCCTTAGCAGTGTCTTGGAAAGAAAGGAGGAAAGAAATCTCTAAAGTACAGAAGAGCCGACAATTCGGCTATGCCTCCACCGCCAAACGACAATTCAGGATCGAGGTGGAAGAGTTGAAGAAACGCACCAAGTGCAACCGCTGTGGCAAGGTGGGTCACTGGGCTCGAGAATGCCGAGCTCCTCCCACCAAGGATGCATCGTCATCATCCGCTCCACCCACGACCGCTGTCAGCTATGTGGAAGTTGAGGAAGAGACAGAGCTGGCAATGCAGCCAACCTTTGTGGGACATGTGGTCCATGTCTATGCAGCTGGCCTGGTCTCATCCCCCGGATTTGGGGTGGTGGACAGTGGTTGCGGGAAAAACCCTCATTGGAGAACAAACACTGAAACAGCTTGAGCCGATGATCCAAGCTGCGGGTTTTGGACCTGTCGTGTACTACACCAATGAAGCTATTTTCAGGTTCGGCAATGGGGCTACAGAAACCACACATAGAGCATGTCGTTTGCCAGTGGGTAGTGCACAGTGCTTTGGAACCATCGATGCAGCTATCATCTCAGGAGCGGCTCCACTGCTCTTGGGTCGTCCAACTTTAGAACGGATGGCCGTGAAGTTGGATTTCGCTCAGGGGCAAATGGAACTGCTGGGTCACACTGCAGACCTGAAGACGAATGAAGCCGGTCAACTCCTCATCGACGTGTTGGCCTATCCTGACAAAGGAGCGCCAGTGGCCAACACGCAGGCCACCTCCAGCCCACAGGCCTGTTCGCCAAGGCCTGAGCAGTGCCCTGAGATTCAGGCGGGAAAAGGGCAAAAGACAAAAATTACTTTGAAAAAGAAAGAATGTCGCTGTTTACTAGCTCAGATCAAGAAACAAGAAGCACAAAAAAGTGCAACAGTGGCAGTGGCAGAGTTGTTTTCTCCGCCAAGATTTACCAAGGCTGCTGAGGCCCAGAATCTGCAGGGTCTTTCGTATGATATCAAACAGGGATGGGACTTGACAAAACCAAACGTACAGAACACAGTGACCACCGAACTCGAACACTCGCAGCCTTCGCTTCTCGTCGTGTGCCCACTCACTGGGGAGGCTGGGAGCATCTGAACCGGACCAAGCGATCGCCGGTCGAGACAGCTCGTCTAATTCGAACTGCCAAGGAACAAGTCCGATTTGCTCTCACACTCAAATTCGCAAACAGTTGGATCGTGGAGGCGACTTTTTGTTTGAGCATCCCTGGAGTTCCGATGTTTGGGGTTTTGAAGATATGAGCATCCCTGGAGTTCCGATGTTTGGGGTTTTGAAGATATGACTCACTTGCGTCGTAAGTATGGGGTTCGTAGAGTTGATATGTGTGCCTATAACCTGACATGTCCCGACACCGGGTTACCAATCCGCAAAGCAACTGGTTTGCTGACATCATTGCAGCAGCCCACACTGTTCAAGCAGTGCCCCGGGTGTTCCAGACACCGACTGGTGGAAGGGAAGTTGCGAACAGGGCAAAATGTCAGTGACTATGTGGCCGAGTATACCGCTGACTTTGTAAACCAAGTGCTCAAAGCTGCCTTGAGTGATCAGGAGCTCACTCCATGCGATCTTGTAGATTTGACTGTTTGTGAAGATACAGAATGTCTTGCGGGAGACATTGAGAGAGTACCTGACACCTTGGCCGTTCCTGAGGACAGGACTCGAATCAAGCAAGCCATCAAACGTCTTCACGCCAATCTAGGTCACCCTAGTGTCAAAGACCTGGTCCGTGTTTTGCAGCATAGTAAGGCCTCACCCCAAGCCATCGAAGAAGCGAAACAGTTCACATGTACGATCTGTAGCAACAGCCAAACCCCACACGCTGCTCTTCCTGCCAAGACAGGTCGGGTAACGGAGTTCAACGCTAAAGTCGGGATAGGCATCAAATGTTTGCCGGGATGGAAGACCAATCAAAGGGTTCCGTGTGTTAGTATGGTGGATTATGCCTCCTCTCTGCACATTGTAGCACCTATTTTCCGTAGAGAAGATGCTGAAATACTCGGGTGTTTTGCGGGACTCATGGGTGGCATGGGCAGGACCACCCAAGGTGATCGAGCTAGATCCAAGCAAGCCTAATCTAAGTGAGGCCTTAGGAGCATTTTGTGAAGCACACGGCATTGACCTGATGCACACGGCTGCTGATTCACATTGGCAACTCGGCAAGGTGGAGAGACACGGTGGGTGGTTTGAGAGAATTTTCATTCGGACATGTGAGGAAAACCCACCAACTTCAGCTGAAGAGTTCGTTGACAATGTGTTGCAGGTTCAGGTTGCCAAGAACTCACTCATCACTGAGGCCGGAGCGAGTCCCTACCAAATTGTTTTCGGACGGAATCTTAGGATTTTTCAGGACTTATTGCAAGAAGACCCACACGTGTCATCCATCGATGCCTCTCTGGAAGAATCCCCTTTTGATCGAGCGCACACAGTTCGACAGGCAGCTCGTAGGGCAGTTCTGGAGTGTCAAGACAACAAGGCACTCAAAGCTGCTCTCCGTGCACGACCTCGCGTGAAGCAGGAGTTTCGCTCTGGCGACTGGGTGTGCTGGGGAACTACTGCGGGGGGGTAGATGGCATGGAGCAGGGATGATTTTGGGGAAACTTGGAGTCAACTGATTGTGGCACATAGACGCAGTCTTTTCAGATGTTCTCCAGAACACCTACGACACGCTACCTCTGAGGAAACCACTGTGGCAGAGTTCGATCAAAATGATTTGTTGGGTATTCGCAATTTGTTGGAGAAGGGTCAATTTCCGAAAGGACAGTTCGTGGATCTGGTGAACACGACAACACCCCCGGCACCAGAAGATGCCGGAGCAGAGCTTCTGCATTCAGCGGCGCGAAACGCCGCGCAGCTGTGGCAAGATGCGGAAACTAGCGAGAAGTTGCTGCCGACACCACCGCTCACCTCCAACACGGAGAGACGACTGGCTGCTGATGAGACTGACGACTCCAGACGTCCCAGGGATGAACCATATGCAAGAGTTGAGGGGGCCAGTACATGGACACCTTTGGGGAGAACTGAGGATTATGGACCTATTCGACGAGTACGACATACAACAAAGTCACCCCCAGAGTACTTCCATCGACCTGCTTCCCTTCTACAAGAAGACTTGTCAGAGCTACTTCAACAGATGATCCCCCAAATGATAGAGTCGTCCGAGTCAGGAACCAGTCCACGCGGAGATAGCAGCAAGCGCGAGGCCAGCGCCGAGATTGATGACCGTCAACACACCCGAAGCAGGACAGAGGACTACCAAGACACTGAAGCACTTGTTTGTTCCTTGATTTCATCGGAACAGATCTCTGCGCTGCCGGGTCAAAGTCCAGTCGAAGCACTGGTGGCCAACTTTCTCCAGAAGCGTGCCCAGAAAGAGATACCAGCAACGGGCAACGCCCCGGAACTGCAGGCGAAGATCGACGAGTCCAAATCTGTAGCGTGGGAGACACTCACCGGAAAACAAGCCACTCGCATCTGGACAGGACAGAAAGCTCGAGATATCAGAGAACGATTCGCACATCGTTTCATTGGCAGTCGATTTGTTGTGATCAACAAGAAAGACGAGGACGGAGAAAGAATCAAGAGCCGGTGGTGCCTCCAAGGACATTTGGACCCCGATTTTCGGGAGAAAATCCAGTCTGGTGCATGCCACAGCCCGACTCTTCATCAGCTCTCACGTTCGTTGATTTTACAGATACTGGTGAGCAATCGATGGGTCATGCAACTAGGTGACATCAAGGGAGCGTTTTTGGAAGCCGGACCGATTGACTCAAAGTATGCACCCCTCTATGCACATCAGCCCCCTGGTGGAATACCAGGACTTTCACCGGACGACGTGATAGAAGTGATTGGAAATGTCTATGGTTCAAATGATGCTCCTTTCAATTGGTGGTTCAAGTTCGATGAAACAGCACGCAAACTGGGTTGGCGCAGGTCTCAGTTTGACAACTGTTTGTATTACCTGACTGATCCTGAACAACCACACCAACTGTGCGGCGTTCTCGGGGCTCATGTTGACGACACCATAACAGGTGGATCTGGTCCCATTTATGAGGCTGCCATCAAAGCACTGAAAGACACCTTCCCTTACCGTAAGTGGAGAGTTGGAAACGGTGAATTCTGTGGTGTGCAATATTCTCAGGACATGAAGACTTTTGAAATCACCTATCAACAATCGGAGTATGCTAATCACCTTCGACCAGTTTCCATGACCAGAGACAGAACCAGGGATAAAGAAGCTCCAGCATCCGAGCGAGAGATCTCAGCTCTCCGGGCAATCAATGGAGCATGCAACTGGCTGAGCTCCCAATCCCGGCCAGATTTGTGTGTGCAGACCTCTTTCTCACAACAGAGCTTTCCACAACCTAAGGTAAGAGACCTGTTGTTTGCAAACCAACTGGTGCATAGAGCACGACAGTTTAGCAGCACGGAAATCGTGGTCAAACACATTCCTTGGAAAGACCTTGCCATCACCTTTCACTCAGATGCAGGGTTCGGAAACGCCAAACAAAACAAGACTCAGGCCGGATACATAGCGGCATTCGTGCATAAAGACCTAGTGAAAAATGAACCATCAACATTGTCGCCTTTTGCTTGGCGCTCATACAAACTTCCAAGGGTGGTGGCCTCGACCTTAGCAGGGGAAGCTCAGGCCTTCGCGACGGCCAGTGCGACAGCGGAGTGGATGGGTCTGTTGGTTGCTGAGGCAAACCACGGAGCTTTCGATCTTAGGACAACTGAACAAGTCCAAACACAACCAAGAGTTGAAGGTCTAAAGTGTAGAGATGAGCTAGAACTCGTTCCGGTTGTAGGTGTCACCGATTGTAAGAGTCTTTATGATCACATGATCTCCATGTCGTCTGTCAGCAAATGTGAGGACAAACGGGTGGCCATAGACTTGGCTATCCTAAAGCAGTGCATGAGTAGGACCGGGTTGCATGTTCGGTGGTGTCCCACGCAGTTAATGTTAGCTGACGGACTCACTAAAGATCAGCAAGATCCAGCCGACCTCCTTCGTGCAGCAGTTGCCATCGGTGAGTATCAGCTGAACCCAGAAGCTGTGATCCTCGAGAAGAAAAAGACACAAAGACAAGAACGACTAGCCAGGCGAGCAGTACAACAAGCTAATACTCATAAGATAAAACACTAAGGTCAGCCAAAGTTCCGGAGTCTCACAAGAGAAAAGGACTCATCGATCGATAAGTTCGATCATGGGGTTTTTGGGTATGTGATGTCAGTGCTTTCGCTTTGTATGTTCATTCCGTTTTTGCTTGTTTTGCATGTTTTGAGTTTGGGTTGCAAGTTTCGTCGTTGGAAAAGCCAGTGCATCAGAGAATAAGCATTCACTGTGTTCACTTGAGTGTAATGCTGTCACGGGTTATTTTGAGTGTGCACACTCATGGGCAATTTTGTGTTTCAATGCAATCAAATTCATCAGTGATCAAGTGCGAAGAGGGCACTCATCTTTTTGCCAAGAGCTTTTATTTTCATCGTGTGCTTTGTTAGATCTCCTCTCATCCTCATGTCGGCCCCATACCGCTCACGTGAGGAAGTTCGCCAGCTGCTCAAGGCCTTGCATGACTCAGGTGAACTAGAGGCGATGATTCAGGAAGCCACAGCGGCCACATCTGAGGTCACTCACGGAACAATGAGTGATGGTGCAAAACGTCGTTTGGTTCCCTCTAGTGTGGTCCCCTCCGAGGAACTTGACCAATTCGAGGTCATAGCCCTACATCAGGAGATGTGCCACCAGTCTGCAAAGCAAGACCAGGAGCCAGTGCCACCTTCCAAGACCGCTTTGAAGACCGGCTACCGTTCCTCACCTCCGACCTTGCCTGAAGGCGTGACCAGTGTCGCTGAGTGGGGGAAGACGATTTGTGAGCTTACGAAAGTGGCAAAACGCGGGATCACATACGCTGCCATGCTGGAAGAGTCAAAGAAGTCCAAAGAGATGCGAGACTATCTCCAATGGATCGACACAGCTGGAGTGAAATCAGCAAAAGTGGATGATCTTCGCGGCTACATGACCGCGGTTGAATTTAATGTGCCGTGTTCCACCTACACGGTGACCTATCCCGGGAGCTCGGAACCCCGTCGTTTTGGCAGTTAAAATAATTAAGGATTTGGAGGAGTGTAAAAGCACTGGATCGGTCCATAGGATGGCCGACGTATCAATCCAATGATAGCGGAACCTTTCGGCTGCAAGGAAAAGGCGCCGCCTTGTTGCCCCTGGTGGGGCTCCAGCTTCGACATATATATACCAGCACCCTCCAACAGGCTGTTAGTTGAGGGTTGGTATACGTATTATAGTTGGAAGATCTTAGGTGCGCGTTTCTTGTGGGGCAGGGGGATGGCGACCTAGTTGGCCGAGGAACAGGTGACTTTTTGACTGAAGATTGACAGGATACGTAGGAGAGCCACCTGCGAACCCCCCCAAATACAACTTTCCAAGCGATTGGATGTGTCACCTGAAACTTTCTCGGAGTACTTGGTGTGTTTACCAAACAAACCAGCTGTTTTTTTCAAGAATGTGCGCTCCAACAACAGGTCAGAGGTAGAACGGGTTCGGCGAACGGACGAACGAGAGATCCTTTGAGCGACGCAAAGGGTCCGGACATCGGCTTTGACGACGCTCGACTGGGGTCCGGACCGTCGGCTTGAGCAAGCTTCGAAGGCGGAGAAAAACAACACCTAACCGGCAGAGGTGGGTCAGAACCCGAACTAGACTGTCCTATAGGTACCCCTGTAGGGTCCTATAAGGTCACTTAACCTCTGTACGTAACTCCACGGAATTGACAAGTGCGACCATGTCCTTCCCTTGGTCCTCTGACCAGGACTTGGAGTCTCCAAGAAGCATGGCTGCTGGGTCTGAAGATGGGCAAGGCTTCGGTGGCAGCTGACCTCGAGTTCCGTGTTCAGACCTTTTTCGTTGGGACCCGGTTTTCCTCGAGGGTTTGTTTTCTCACCAATGCTGTAGGTTTTGAGGGACCAGTGCCATATGTAGGGCTGTGAACCCAGCATCTGGGAAGTGTGATTTTTCCTCAAACAGTGGACACACTAGGGGTTCTTGCGGTAGGGGTTAAGCACCGCGGCTAGATCGAGGTGACGGCGCGGGCGTGTCCGGCTGTCCGGCTAATTCGCTGATATGTAGACTCCCATGTGCAAAAGAACAGACGCAGGCAAGAAACAAACATGTGAGATATTTATCAAACATGCACAGCCCTTCAATGCAAGCTGTACCATAAACCATGCAACGCACACACAGACTTATGAGTCCCTCAAGCAATGCGAAGAGAAAGCGGGATTGGCGCTTGGCACGGGACAAAGCCGAGAAGAAGCACCTAGCTCGGCTCATCTCAGCTTTGCAGAAGCCTCGGAGGTGGAGCTATAGGGAGCTGAAAACAAAGTTCAGCTGGAGACTGCCAGTGGCTGGAGACAGCTGGGGAAGAACAACAGCCCACGGTTGACCTTCACTTGCGTAGGCAAAGAAGCCGCACGTGCCAGACAAGCAGTCCGACCATGTCAGTCGCCAGCGCCCCACCAGGCTCTTCTTCAAGTCACGTGTGCGAGGTGCATGTCCGTCAACCCGCGTCAAGCAAAGGCCGACGCGGAGGTCGAGGGGCAAGAAAGCTGCCGAAGCCCTCTGGCTGATCTCCAAGTGTATGGAACATCACCTCCCAATCTATTGAACTACCTCACCTTCCATCGACGAGGCTCAGCGGCGCTTCCATGAGCATAAGCCAAGGCCGGACGGTTTCTGATTGCTTGCGCCCCTGAGTACATTCATGTCTCTCGAAATCGTGGACGTGCATTTCGACTGCGCAGGCTCGCGAAATCTGGGTGGCTGGAGCGGGTGCTTCTCGTGACCGCTGGTGCAGCTTTGTAAATGCGTGGCAGGTGCAGCATGTTGGACTGGTGGTGATCTTCGACGCGCTCTGATTTCGTGACAGGTGCAGTGAATCGTGACTTTTGGACATGTGGCTCGTTTGCGGCTTTCATGGCAGATGCAGTACTTTGCGGACCTTGAAGTGCAGATTTCATTGCAGGCGCAGCACTTTGTGAACCTCGAAGTGCAGATTTCGCGGCAGGCGCAGCACTTAGTGCACCATGAAGTGCAGATTTCGCGGCAGGCACAGCACTTTGTGAACCTCGAAGTGCAGATTTCGCGGCAGGTGCACAGCACTTTGTGAACCTCGAAGTGCAGATTTCGTGGCAGGCACAGCACTTTGTCAACCGGGAAGCGCAGATTTCGTCGCAGGCACAGCACTTGGTGAACCTCAAAGTGCAGATTTCGTAGCAGGCGCAGCGCTCTGTGAACCTTGAAGTGCAGATTTTGTGGCAGGCAGGCGCAGCACTTTGTCAACCTTGAAGTGCAGATTTCGTGGCAGGCGCAGCACTTTGTGAACTGGGAAGCGCAGATTTTGCACCAGGTCCTTCCGCGGAGTCCTGAAGAAAGTTCTTTGCTTCAGATCCGCGTTGCGCAGATATTCGATGGTTCCCTGCATTATCGTGGTCAGGGGCTCCCATGACGCTGAGTGATGACAGCCAGGCAGTCACCATGACATTCCGGGTGGTGCAACCTGACATATGGAAGACGGGCGTCGCTGGAGTTGGAAGGGCCGTGAGCCTCTCTGGTCCAGCAATGGTAGGCACAGCACGTTGTGGGAATACACGCGCATCGATAATTTCAGATATCGGTGCTGCAACACCCGGACGGTGACAGGCCGGAAGTTTCGTGTCAGGGTCTAGTTTGCCTTCTGGTAACTATGAGGAACGCCCGAGAACTACATGACAACATATATTCTATCAATCAGTTCACAAGAAAGACATATGGTGTAGGATGTTGCAAAATAAATTGTGTCTAAACACTTTTCAGCACATAATGACGTAGAATGACAACAATCCATGGAAGAAGGTATGATGCAGGGTTCATTGAAAATTATTTGGCAGGTGGAGGGGTGAGTGTGCCAGATCAAAAATATTTTAGTGTGTCTGTCCGCATAGCCGAGAACCTGCTGATTGAATGCTGAATAATGGTGAAGACAAGTGAAAACGCACTACTCTTGCATGAATTGAACATAGCTGAATGAAGGAAGATAAGCACATACATGGCTTGGCTGGAATCTGAGATACCGTGATATGGACACAAAATTATTTCAGGGGTGGGGTAATGTTGACCTCTGGTTAATGAACACCCCCAGAATAATGATTTTTTCCTGCTCTGATTAATAAAGGCCCCCAGAATAATGTCTTATTTTTTGGAGGGATAGTTGTAGTGGAATATTTTTTATTTGTTATATAGTTTACTTTTCCCTTTTGAGTTTGCTGGGGTTTCAAGCTTAAAACATAGTTTGCTTTAAGTAAACTTGTATTCATTCCCTTTCTTTTCCTTTTGATTTGCTTTACTTACCTAAGCTGTTTAGTCTCTAAGCTTTCCAAGAGTTTCCAAAAGTCAGTGCACATTTTCTTTACAAAATCCCTTATTCAAAAATATTGAAAATCAAAAAAACCATTCAAGCGAAGGGGGTAGTCCAGCAAGCAGCTTTCTGACATTATTTAGGGGGGCCCCTAGAATAATGTCTAGAGATGTCAAGCTTAAAAAATATGTTGCTTTAAGTAAACTTGTTTTCATTCCCTTTCTTTCCTTTTGCTTTGCTTTACTTACCTAAGCTCTTTAGTCTTTAAGCTTTCCAAAAGTTTCCAAAAGTCAGTGCACATTTTCTTTACAAAATCCCTTATTCAGAAATATTGAAAAACACAAACATCATTCAAGCAAAGGGGGTAGTCCAGCAAGCAGCTTTCTGGCATTATTTAGGGGGGGCCCCTAGAATAATGTCTAGAGATTTCAAGCTAAACAAATATGTTGCTTTAAGTAAACTTGTATTCATTCCCTTTCTTTTCCTTTTGATTTGCTTTACTTACCTAAGCTCTTGAAAAGTTGAAGATTTCCATTGAGATTGGATGCGTTTCAAGGTCTTTGGATTGAGATTTCCATTAAAATATTGAGAATTCCATTTCCACTTTATTGATTTCCTTTTACTTTAGTATTCCAAATGTCTTCAGTTTGAGATTTCATTGATTCCCTTTTATTTTTAATATTGCCAGAGATAGCTAAGTAATGATTCCTTTCATTTTAGTATTGCCAGAGATAGCTAAGTAATGTTTCCTTTCATTTTTAGTATTGCCAGAGTAGCTCCAGAGGTAGCTAGCTAAGGATTCCTTATTTATTTATCAATTGATTGGTTTTCTAGCTTATAGAGGCCCCAATTGTTGGAGGGGGGGGGGGAGGGGGGGGTTGATTAATCAAGAGTCAACATTACCCCCTAAGGGCCCTCTAAAATATATGATTGATTTGTTGTATTTTGGGGGATGGATGCCACGTAACCCACCTGCCAAATAGTAATATGTTTGTGCTGGAATGCCCTGGAAAGGATGGTTCCCCAGCGAGTTTTTGACGATGATCTGAAGCCGAGTCTTTTGGCCGATAATAGGGCCATAGATTATTTTGCAGCTGGTTGCGCTTGAACCACCTACTTCTGCTAATGCTGAAGACTTTCCTAGGAGATGTCCCCATATATCTACCCACCTAGGTGGGTGGTTTATACCACCTCCCCCTATCTTAACATGCTATTTGGATCTATTTGGCTTATTATTTCTGAGCCTTCCTACTCCCTAAATAATTCTTAGCTCAGGTGGGGGCACCCACCTAAGAATAATAATCAACTATTTTGAGGTGGGTGGGAGGGTGGGTGGGCAGTGGGCGGCCCCCATTGCCGCAGAAATCTGTCGAAGCCACCAGTTCTCAGAGCGAGCAGAGAAAAATTAATTTTCCGATGAAGAGTTTGCGGATGACAAGGACTTGCAAGCAGAACCCATTCCTTCATCCAAGCTGCAACATCGCGAGGCAGGATCTCGCATGTCGGATGAGTCGGGTGACTCCGCCGATATCATTGTTCTCGACGCGGGCCTTTTGACGTGTGAATTGATGGAATTTCCGTGGTCTATCCCAGACACTCCATGTATTGTATGCCATATATGCCTACATTGGGGTGGTTTTGGGGGTCAATGTAGGGTATAGGAACCGCAACGTGCACGACATTTCTGAGACGCGGCCCGCTGGAAATACGTCGTATGACGCGGCATTTCGAGATAGTGTGAGGTTGCGTCCGGAAAGTTGGCCTTCAAGGTCCGCAAAGTATTGCATAGTATTGCGCGTGCCACATAGTATTGCGCCTCAAGTGTGGTCCACAAAGTGCTGCGTCTTTTTGAGCAACATATGAGCCGCAACGAATGAGCCGCAAACGGTTCGCATCTACCCTCGATCCGACACCTGTTCTTAGCCGTTGCCACACTGTTTGGGCAAAAATCGGGTCGTGTCGTGGCAGAGTTTGTTTTCCCCTAGGGATCCGCATAGCCTTTGAGGTACGGTGATTGGAGACCATGTAGGTTTGGAGGGCTCAGTCGTACCTTCAGAGAAGGCACTTGGATCGCTAGGGCAGGACCTTCAAAGCGGTCTCAGTCGGGGCCGCGTCTCCAGACCCAGGGACCGATTGGGCGGGAATTGCATCCCCTCTGAGGCAAACATGTCTATCTCATTGGCGAGCGCTTTGACGCTTGGGAGAACTGGACGGCGGAGTGCGCGTGAAAAAACGCGTTTGTGCGGGGCGAAGCAAATGGAGCGAAGCGAAGCAGACGTATCCAGACGCGAAGTCTGGACTCTCGTTGAACAGTCGGGGTTCGAGCCTCCTTTGCAGGGGTTTGGGGTCGAGCTAATCACCAGGTTTGGGGTCGGAGCAAGGCAGGGGATTTTGCCACGCGGTTTGATTCCAAAGAGTGAGACACGTGAGACGGAATTTGGATATGAATTTGGAACCTCACAGTCATCTCACAATGCCACGGACTCCTTTGGGAATGCCACGGATACTTGAGACATACCTTGGGGAATTTGGGAACTTGGGATGATTTGGGAACTTGGCCTTGGCCTTTCAAGACACATCGGTGACTATATAAGAATCAGTTGTAACTGTTACACTCCGAGTCACTGACAGAAGTGGAGTTCACAACCTGCTTGGTACATTTGGATTTCATGGTCGCACTCGGGGCCATGCCATCCTGAGAAACATCACGTCAGCTGTTGGCTGTAGTTTGAATATTAAATACTGGGGTTTCTTCCAAAACATTCCAAGACCATGAAATTCCATTCAGCAATGGTTGACCTGGTTTTCTAGTGAAAACAACCTCCCTCCCTAAGAGTTTGGAGACAGCACCTTCTCTTCCAACCGAGGTGGTGTGTCTCTCACGGGTAGATCCGCAGGCGTTCACTCACCTGCCGGGCGGATCCGAGCGGCTCGGTGGTACGGTTCGGTCACGGACCGTACCGAGAATATGTGGCACAGGTCCGTACAGAGCGGTGTTGAAGACATCACCGGAATGTGGAGAAGGTACTTGGATTCCTAGGAAGTATGGGGATGTAATTATGGTCTATGCAGTCTAGCCAGGACACTGGTCGTGTGAGGATAGTCCTCGTTACATTGGGGGTTGAAACCCTGGTTGACCGGAGTTCAACTCGCTGGGCGCCCGAGTCGTTTGGCGGATGACATCGACCACCTTCCAGGTATCCGATTCCTATCCGCCGCATTTGCAACCTGAAGCTGGCTTTCGTTCCTTGGAGAGAACAGCCGACCAGGGCGCCAGGTTGGAGGTCACAACAGATACAGGCTTGCCAGCCCAAGCTTGCCAGCCCAAAAGGGCTTGGCTGGAGTGGAGAAACATGGTTTTACAGCAACTTCAACCAATGCGTGGGCACGACCACTGTGGTGGTTGAAGAAAGTGATGTTCCATGCGAATGTTAATGATCATATAATATATATATATATAATAGAGAAGAATGTACTATATCCTAGACACTCTGGAATCCTACTGCGCTCCTACTGGAGCAAGACTTCGGATGACCAGCCAGTGACGGTTTTTTTAGCACCTGACCCCAAAACCCCATGGTTCACAGATAGAGTTCTAGAAGCACGGCACAATCATTGCACCCCTTAATAGATTGAGGATCGATACGTGTTTATTTGGAGCCCCTGTGAATAAATGCATGTCTTTTTCGTTCCCAAAGACGAGCCTACCAGGCTGGTCGAGTCGAACGTGGCTCTGGCGCCAGGTTTGGCCACTTCGACTTCCGACCTCCCGACCGAACCGCCTGGAGCGCTCAGGTGAGCCCCCGCGCGCCCGAGAGCCCACGTGTGGGCCCACCACCGAGTGGTGCGCCTGGAGAGCCCAGGAAGAAGGTTTCAGAGGGCATGCCAGTAACAGCTGCGATCTTCCCACGGTGCCATGTTTTTGTTGTTTTCTTATATGTAATCATTGATACACATTGATCACAATTGCAAAGCCAGCCAAGTTTGGAAGAACTTGTTTGCGAGATTGGACGATCTTTTGGCATGAGTATGCCAGCACAACCCAGTTGGGTATGGTTTACAGACACCCCCTGACGTGGTGGTCTTGGTGCTGGGACCGTATTTAGTCTTATCGAGGGAGAACCTTGGTGTACACCCTCAAGGTTTTCAGGGAGCCCACACATGCTGGGACTTCCCCCAGTAAACAAAAATCACCGGAATCGCCAGAGCTGAACAAGTTGGACAGATGATCTCCGATCTCCTTTTCCCCTAGCCTTCCAACACAATGCAAAACCATGCTTGACCCAGGTTTCGTTCTCCCTGCCTCTCGTGTAAAATCCTTGGTGAACACATGTGAAAACCATCATAGTTCTTTGCAGATTCACTCTATTCAAAGGTGTGCTGGACCACTCCGCTTCATCCCTCCGGGCGATCGAAATCCATCGCTTTGGAGACTATCGCTCTCATCGATCGCTCCCAGGGTCGGAGTGCATGAGCCACGGCTGGTGGAAACCGACGGGGAGGCGCTCGGCGCTCCGTGGCAGCGCGGTGGCCGCGCGATGGCCTCGCGAGGAAAACATGGGCCGATGTTTTCCAGGAGGGTATGGAGGGGTCTCCGGACCCGGTTTGGACACATCCCGGATTGGAGGGAGGGAGGGAGGGAGGGAAAGGCCTCTGAACTCCTGGAGTCTTTGGGAGGATGTTTGTTCCGGGTTTTGACAGGTTTGGATCGAAGAAGGTTCGACATCACCAGCTAGGCGACTGCTAGCGAGATGTTGCTTCGGTCCGAAACCCAAGTTGTGAGGGTCCCAAGTGGAGCGAACGGGTCGGCTTCAGACTTGGGCCCCTGGTTCTGCGCTTTTGCTGCAGATGTTTCATGCGAAGTGTCGGTCTCGGGTGGTCGGGTGGTGCGGTCCCACTCATTGGCTCATGGGTTGGATCTCCACAACTGATCCAGATGATCCATCTTCTGGGGCCAAACATCCATGGCCATCCATTGGCTTTTGGTGGCTTTGGGTGGAACGTCGTTCGGTCATACAATTTTGACTTACCATGCATTTATTCGTTAACAGGTCACCAACATTGAGACCTGTTAAAAGGATTCTAAGGTCACCAAATATACCACGAGAGGTTCAGTGACCAGGACCGTATACTGGGGTACCCAACTGGAATAGTCTAGTTCGGGTCCAGACCAACCTCTGTTGGTCTGGTCATATGCATTTCTACGCCCATCCGGAGCTCGGGCCGAGCGCCGAAGCTGAACCGGTGCTCTCCGAAGCCGGAGCGGGCGCCCCACAGGTGAAGTCTCCCTGGTTGGGCTCGCCCTATCGAGCTGCAGGCGGGGCGGTCGGAGCGTCGGTCTCGCCGTCGGAGCGTCGGTCGGTCTGGTCTGACGAGGTGTGGGTCGCAGTCAATTGGGTGGTCCCTTTGGGTCTGACAGAATAACAAGCATGACTGCGTGGGTGGTGATTTCAGATATTTGTTGTTTCAACCATGGGGATGATTTGACCCACTGACTGGTATGGTTCAATTTAGCTGGAACCACCGATGACATTTGATGCAGTTGATGCAGAATCACCCAAGTCGGGTGGTTTACAGGGCTACCAGACAAGGCCTTATCATCCAATAACCATGCGAACTGGGTCGGTGCTGATAATCTTTGATGTTTGTTGAGTTAGTGATCGATGTTACAGTAATGAGGCAACAATCCTGGGGATTGGAACTTTTTTTTTCAACTGCAAACGACCTGGTGTTGTCATGTAAAATCCTTAAGACAGTGGTGGTTCAGATTCGGATTTCAGAGGATTAATGGTCCATGGTGGGCCAGGAAGGCTAGGGAGCCAGACCCCAAATCGCATCCCAGATGTTCTACCGTCCATCCATCGTGTTTTTGGACCCTGAAACAACGCTTCAAATCCATCCATCCAAAAAGAACACGTCCAAACCATCTTCACCCCCAGCACGGAGACGTTGCTGGGAGGGAATCGTTTCCCCTTCGTTTCAGGTGCCGGCGATTCCTCAGGCCCACCGGGAACCCGGGGGGTCGTGGGGTTGAGACCCGCAGAGGTCAGACCGGGACCGGTGCGTTCTCCCCCCACACCGAACCCCCGGTTGGACCTGACCTCTCCACCTCTCTCAACCCAGAGGTCCCGGAGGGTAGTTTTGAAAGCCTTTCGATTGGAGAAGGGCCCGGATTCTTGCTGTCTGGTCTTTTTGGGGGCTTGGCATGTGCAAGACTGACATCTGTGGCACCAGCAAAGTGTTCAGGAGATTCCTAGACCAAAGGGTCATCTAGTCAGACTATTTGAGGTACTGTAATAGACTGGACTCCCAGGGGGTGTCTTGGTTGACAAGTCTTTTCCAACTAATTAAAGTTAATAGATGGTTAAAACAATGCAGGAAACAACTTCTCATGTTCCAGTTTTCTCAGTTTATTGGATTTTATTGGCTGTTTTCCCAGTGAGCGAGTCGTTTGATGTGGTTTGTATTGTGCGCAACATGTCAAGTTTGCTTCTCAACCTATTTGCAGCAAATGAGTTGAGACGCGCAGGAAGAGAGATCCCAATCAAGTAGTAGGGTGGACCTCGATTTTGCTTCACGGACTCGAGGCCGGTTGTCTCAAGGATTATTTATTTGACCCACCCAGACGCGACCGTGACTGGACCCTCAAATCTCACCGTACCGGGAAAGGTCGGCGTGGCTGCCTGGCTCGCGTGGGTCTCCATGTGCCCAGACACCACCGTTTTCGTATGGAGTATTTACATACATTTCGGTGGTTGAACAGGGGTCCTATGAAGCCGCCCATTTGGGGTGAGAATCTGTCCTGAACAAAACACACACGTGGTTCCGCCACCGTCGGCGGAACCTCGCCCGGTCGTGCCCCACAGATGGGTTGAGCCAAGTGGAGCAGGTGGAGCCAAGTAGGAGTTCCATGATCCCTTTGCCCAGCCTTATGTAGACTCTTGATTCAGAAAACAGGATAAGACCCTTTTGTTTTGGATTGAACATCCTCTTCCTGGGGGGTAAACTTGATCAACATGCGTACAAAAAATAGACCTCCCAGTTCGACCGCCAGAACTGACCAAAACCGGTCGCAGCGATGGTGGAATTCGTGTGGCTCGGCGGAGTGTGGCTCGGCGGACGAAGGCCGTCCGAAGATCGCTTTGGACCTTGCTGAAGCGTTCCGATTCCGAATCAGTGTGTACTAAGGACGCTACTAATTAGGGGCTCCTGGCATCGCTACGAACGGAACAAGGGCCTTACTACTAGGAACAAGAAGCTAAATAGAATTTAATTTAGGACCACCCTTTCTTGGAGAGGAGATATCCCTGTCCAGCTACGTTCCAACATGACTACAGTGCATGCTGGTGAGGGCCACGCGTTGAGCAGAGTTTCTAGACATAGGCCGATTTCGTTGTCATGAAGCCTCCAGGTCGTTGACCTGCACGGATAGCTCGTGGTGTGATCTTGACTCAGCAGAACCCTGGAAGTCCAAGACATTGCAAGACCATTTTGAAAAGATTTGGTGTCGTGTAAGTGAAACAAGGGCTGTTCGGGATGACCCGGCTATTTATGGTGGGCCACGACTTCTCCCTAGGGCTCCAACCATCTCCTCAAGTTCAGTGGTTGGACCCGCTGGCAGCCACCCCAACCACCTGAGGAGATGGTTGGAGCCCAAGCAGGTCTATAGGGAACTCTAGACCGTAAACCACTGAGCTCCGCCACCCGACCGAAGGCCCGGCCGGGCACCCGGGGCGTCGCCAGGTTTCGAAGTCTTCGAAGAGTCGGAGCAGATCCGCGAGGCGACGGACGCGGCGCGAATGGCTGGGTCCGGCTGCCATTCTCGGTGCCACCGAAGGTGGGGAGCTGAAAGAAGGACGTAGGTTTGGGCACCTGGGATGGTTTGGGGAAGCACCTGGGATGGTTTGGGGAAGCACCTGGGATGGTTTGGGGAAACACCTGGGATGGTTTGGGGAAACTAGATCATCAGGTGGTTTTGAGGTGAAAAGGTAGTGGAGTTGCCATTTCGGCAGATGGGCCCATTTCGGTGGGTCTTGGTCACTGAGTCAGTGATTTTAGTCGACGATGAATTCTTTATACGTACTTCCAGAGGATTTGCTGGAGAATTTGCTGAGTCGTTTGGACTGTGCCAATTGTCCAAACCGCAAAGTTTGGACCTCAGAAAAGGCGTTTGAGATAGAGTCCTTGCAAGATCCTGTACTGGTCCACGATGTTTGCGTTGCTTTGCGCCATGGCCATGTGCCGTTTTGCCTCGGCTGGCCATGGGCTGGACAACAACTGGACAGTGAAGGTGACCGGACTGCGAGATGCGGCTGGCTGTGTGACCAAGTCTGGAAAGCTCAAGCTGTTTCTTTCTTACCCGTTTGGTTCTCAAATGAATTCCTTGTGATGAATATACCAGCACCCTCCAACAGGCTGTTAGTTGAGGGTTGTTGGACCCTGTCTCAATTGGTGACCTGTAGAGTCGGGTCCTGGTAGTTACTTCTCAGTTCGACTCAGTTCGACTAAACTTTGTTTTTGGACAAGCTTCTATTCTATAGGGTTGCTGCATATGTTTATAGAACTTCCTGGACCATCCCGTCGGGCTGCGAAACAGATCCACCGATATAACGTTCTTTTTTTTTCTCCTTGGCGCCAGTCGCAGTGAGGTCAGGGTGACCGAACTC